TCGCAAATTTAACAATTTGTGTGTGTGTGTGTGTGTGTTAATACACACATCTTGGCAAGAAAATATAAAAAACTTCAAAATTTAACATTTTTGTGTGTGTGTGTGTTAGTACACATATCTTGACAAGAAAATTAAAAAAAACTCAAAAATTTAACATTTTCTTGTGTGTTAGTACACACATATTGGCAAAAAAGTAAAACAACTACAAATTTAGTATTTTTTATGTGTGTGTTAATACATATTATTGACAAAAAAAATTAAAAAAAAACTCAAAAATTTAACATTTTCTTGTGTGTGTTAGTACACACATATTGGCAAGAAAATAAAAAAATCTACAAAATTTAGTATTTTTTGTGTGTGTGTTAATACACATATCTTGACAAGAAAATTAAAAAAAAATCAAAAATTTAACATTTTCTTGTGTGTGTTAGTACAAATATCTTGGCAAGAAAATTAAAAAACTCGAAAATTTAATATTTTTTGGGTGTATTATAGTACACATATATTCACAAAAACTTAAAAAAAAAACTCAAAAATTTAACAATATCTTGTGTGTGTATTACACACTTCTTGGCAAGAAAATTAAAAAACTGGAAAATTTAACATTTTTTTAGTGTGTGATAGTACGCATATATTCTCAAGAAAATTAAAAAAAACTTAAAAATTTAACATTTTCTTGTGTGTGTTAATACACATATCTTGGCAAGAAAATAAAAAAACTTCAAAATTTAGTATTTTTTGTGTGTGTGTTAATACACATATCTTGACAAGAAAATTAAAAAAAAACTCAAAAATTTAACATTTTCTTGTATGTGTTAGTACACACATCTTGGCAAGAAAATTAAAAAACTCAAAAATTTAACATTTTTTTAGTATGTGACAGTACACATATATACACAAAAATTAAAATAAACTAAAAATTTAACATTTTCTTGTGTGTCTGTTAATACACACTTCTTGGCAAGAAAATTAAAAAACTCGAAAATTTAACATTTTTTCTGTGTTTGTTAATACAAACATCTTAACAAGAAAAGTTTAAAAAAATTCAAAAGTATAACATTTTTTTGTGTGTTTGTTAATACGCACATCTTCACAAGAAAATAAAAAAATTAGTCCTGCAATCTTAAGAAGGAAAAATTCACTGAAAGAAACTAAAAAATTTAACATTTTCTTGTGTGTGTTAATATATACATCTTAGTAAGAAAATTAAAAAACTTCCAAATTTAATATTTGTGTGTGTGTGTGTGTGTGTTAATACATATGTTGACAAGAAGATTAAAAACCCTCGAAAATATAACATTTTCTTGTGTCTATGTTAATACACACATCTTGCAACAAAATAAAAAAACTTCAAAATTTAATATTTTGTGTGTGTGTGTGTGTGTGTGTGTGTTAATACACACATCTTGGCAAGAAAATAATAAAAAAAAGTTCAAAATTAGCAATTTGTGTGTGTGTGTGTGTGTGTGTATGTGTTAGTACACATATCTTGACAAAAAATTAAAAAAAAACTCAAAAATTTAACATTTTCTTGTGTGTGTGTATGTTAATACACACATCTTGGCAAGAAAATTAAAAAAAAACTCAAAAATTTAACATTTTCTTGTGTGTGATAATAAACACATCTTGGTAAGAAAATTAATAAAAACTCAAAAATTTAATATATTCTTGTGTGTGTTAGTACACACATATTGGCAATAAAATAAAATAAAAACTACAAAATTTAGTATTTTTTATGTGTGTGTTAATACACATATCTTGACAAGAAAATTACAAAAAACTCAAAAATTTAACATTTTCTTGTGTGCGTTAATACACACATCTTGTCAAAAAAATTAAAAAATTTCGAAAATTGAACATTTTTGGGTGTGTAATAGTACACATATATTCACAAAAAATTTATAAAAAAACTCAAAGGCAAGAAACTTAAAAATCTCGAAAATCACGAAGGGCCTCCCCTCTGCCCAATTTCACTACCTTCGCTCCAATCTTCGCATAACATTTTTTGTGTGTGTGATAATAGACATATAAGTTCACAAGAAAATTAAAAAAAAAACTTTAAAATTTAACATTTTCTTGTGTGTGTTAATACACACATCTTGACAAGATAATTAAAAAACTTGAATATTTAACATTTTGTGAGTGTGTGATAGTACACATATATTCACAAGAAAATTAAAAAAAAACCTTGAACATTTAACATTTTCTTATGTGTATGTGTTAATACACACATATTGGCAAGAAAATAAAAAAACTACAAAATTTAGTATTTTGTGTGTGTATTAATAAACACATCTTGGCAAGAAAATTAAAAAACTCGAAAATTTAACTTTTTTTTAGTGTGATAGTACACATATATACACAAAAAATTAAAAAAAAACTCAAAAATTTAACATTTTCTTGTGTGTGTGTTAATATACATTTCTTGACAAGTAAATTGAAAAAAAAACTCAAAAATTTAATATTTTCTTGTGTGTTTGTTAATACACACATCGTGACAAGAAAATAAAAAAATTAGTCTTGCAATCTTAAGAAGGAAAAATTCACAGAAAGAAACTTGAAAATTTAATATTTTTTTGTGTGTGTTAATACACACATCTTAGTAAGAAAATTAAAAAACTTCCAAATTTAATATTTGTGTGTGTGTGTGTGTTAATACACATATCTTGGCAAGAAAATTAAAAAAAGCTCAAAAATTTAACATTTTCTTGTGTTTGTGTTAATACACACTTTTTGGCAAAAAAATTTAAAAACCAAGAAATTGAAAATTTTCTTGTGTGTGTGTTAATACAAACATATTGACAAGAAAATTCAAAAAAAATTCAAAAGTATAACATTCTTATTTGTGTTAATACACACATCTTGGTAAGAAAAAATAAAAAATTTGTAATATTTTTTTTGTGTGTGTTAATACACATGTCTTGACAAGAAAATTATAAAAAAAAACTCGAAAATCTTGTATGTGTGTTAATATACATTTTTTGACAAGTAAATAAAAAAAAACTCAAAATTTAACATTTTTTTGTTTGAGTGTTAGTACACATATCTTGACAAGAAAATTAAAAAAAAACTCAAAAATTTAACATTTTCTTGTGTGTGTTAATACACACATCTTGGCAAGAAATTATAAAAACTCAAAAATTTAACATTTTCTTATGTGTGTTAATACACACATCTTGGCAAGAAAATTAAAAAACTTGAAAAAATTAACATTTTTTGGGTGTGTTAGTACACACATATTGGCAATTAAATAAAAAAAAACTACAAAATTTACTATTTTTTATGTGTGTGTTAATACACATATCTTGACAAGAAAATTAAAAAAAAAACTCAAAAATTTAACATTTTCTTGTGTGTGTTAGTACACACATCTTGGCAAAAAAATTAAAAAATTAGAAAAATTTAACATTTTGTGTGTGTGTGAAAGTACGCATATATTCACAAGAAAATTAAAAAAATACTCAAAAATTTAACATTTTTTGTGTGTGTGTGATAATACACCTATATAAACAAAAAATTAAAAAAAAACTTAAAAATTTAACATTTTATTGTGTGTTTGTGTTAATACACACTTCTTGGCAAGAAAATTAAAAAACTCAAAAATTTAACATTCTTTGTGTGTGTTAATACAAACATCTTGACAAGAAAATTAAAAACAATTTCAAAAGTATAACATTTTCTTGTGTGTGTTAATACATACATCTTGGCAAGAAAAATTTAAAAATTTCTAATATTTTTGTGTGTGTGTTAATACACATATCTTGACAAACAAATATAAAAAAAAAACTCGAAAATTTAACATTTTCTTGTGTATGTGTTAATATATATTTCTTGGCATGTAAATTAAAAAACAAAACCCAAAAATTTAACATTTTATTGTGTGTTTGATAATACACACATCTTGACAAGAAAATAAAAAAAATAAGTTCTGCAAACTTAAGAAGGAAAAATTCACAGAAAAGAACTCAAAAATTTAACATTTTCTTGTGTGTGTGTTAATACACACATCTTAGTAAGAAAATTAAAAAACTTCCAAATTTAATATTTTTGTGTGTGTGTGTTAATACATATATCTTGACAATAAGATTAAAAACCCTCGAAAATATAACATTTTCTTGTGTGTGTGTTAATACACACATCTTGACAATAAAATAAAAAAACTTCAAAATTTAACATTATCTTGTGTGTGTTAATACACACATTTTGGCAAGAAAATTAAAAAAACTCTAAAATTTAACATTTTCTTGTATGTGTTAATACACACTTCTTGGCAAGAAAATTAAAAAAACTCAAAAATTTAACATTTTTTTAGTGTGTGATAGTACGCATATATTCACAAAAAAATTAAAAAAAAAACTTAAAAAATTTAATATTTTCTTGTGTGTGTGTTAATACACACATCTTGGCAAGGCAGACAGATATCACCTATAGCTACAATTATTCAGATTATGTTACAGTAACAAGAGACAGTGAGACACTGTTTCGTATAGGTCCATGCATGATACAATAATTAAAATGAAAATAATGTAACAGCATGTCCTTTTTTTTATTCTCTTGTTTTGCTTAAACATATAATATATTTTAGAGTAGGATTAATATTAATTTAGCAGGAGTATGTTATGACCATGAACAACCCAATAGAACTAGCTCATGATATTAATTAGATCATGGTAAGGCCATGAACAACCCAAAATGAACATTTGCGAGTAAGAAGCATATGTTTAAAGCGAATTACCTTTAAGTTTATCGTATTGATTTATATGCTCTACATTTAAGCAGTTTTTGAAAATTTCGGTGAAAAGATGAATACGTCCCATTTCAATATGGCCCCATCTATTTACTGCAGATTGAGAAATGCTGTTCCATTATTCTCATACTATAAAAGATTAATTTGGGATAATAAAACTATAAAAGTAACCAACCATAGTGATCAAGTGATTGTATCTCAACAATTTTGTTTGGTCAACTGATTATCCATGTTTTTTTATAAAAAAATCAAGCAACACAAAAGAAGAAAAATGCGAGTTGATAAATTACTGAATGATGAAAATGATTTTGATTTTTTCAATCTTTGTTTAGAAACACCCATCATTTTTTTTTCTTTTACATATCAAAGATTCAAAGTGTGCCCATTGAGACAAGTTGGTGCAATCTCAGATTCTTAATAGCAAACAACACAGCTTATTCTTCAACTTTTTTTTGACATTTTTGTATCAGAAACCATAGAGATGGCATCACATTGCGTACACAATCTCTCCGCTACTGTCGATGTCAAGATCATCCAAGTCGCTCTCTAGATCTTCCTCCATATCATCGTCTATGTCCAAGCTTCCTGTTTTGTCCATTATGCAAAAACATTGAGAACTAATAAGAAACTGATGAAAAGCTTTTTGCTTTGTTTTGTTTCACCTGTGAGATAATGGTTAAGACTCTGAGTGCCTGCAGGAGGAACAGTCGCTTCTGCAATGATCTGCATGATCTCTTCGATGCTTTGACCAGGTTGATCCGATTCATCAAACTGGCTATTCACGGCGTTATCGTTCATGAGATCTGCCGGGAGATTCTTCAGAAACCACTCATGATTTCTTATTTCAGGAATTGATATCCTCTGCAAGAAACCAACCAAACCAAGTGGAGGCCAATTCAGCTAAACAGAACACGTAGTAAACATACAAACTGTAAGCTTTGAAGTAGTTATATTATACCTTTGCAGGGTCAGCCACGAATATTCTCGAGATCAGATGGCGACATTCAGGAGATATGTGAACATAATCCGGAATAGCGTACTGAACATTCAGGATTCTCTGACAAAACAGTTTCAGAACAGAAGAGAATGTTTAGATAGAAAGAAAAACAATTTTTTCAACTATTGAATCATGAAGTAAGAAAGCTCACGTGTATAGTTTTCCTGAAATTCTTAGGCTCATCGGGATCTTCGAAAGGATATGCTCCAACAAGCATAACATACAGAGTTACCCCACAAGACCAAACATCTGCAACCTGAAAGAATTATGATGCACTTTGACCAATTCAACCAACAATTCAAGAGCTATTATCAGTTTACAAATCAGATTCTAAATAACTTTCTTCAAGGGCATCACCGAAATAACGTATAAAGATTGCTTCTTTGTGCGAGTTCTCATCAAGATTGTATCTTTGTATAGCAGTAGTATATGGTTACTACGAAAAAGGAGTACCTTGCCATCATACTCTTTCTTTAGTAAAACCTCGGGAGCGATATAAGCAGGGGTTCCAACAGTTGATTTTGGCTGCGAATGTAACACTGACGACTGAAAAACAACAAAAGCATACACAAAGTTTGAAAAGTTGAAGACAGATAGTAACAAAAGAATCAAAACATTACACATATATTGTTGACAAAGGAAAAGGTACCTTGGAATATCCAAAATCACATATCTTTAGACGAGGTGCAGGGCTACCATCTAATAAAGTATTCTCGAGCTTTAAATCTCGGTGACACACTTGCTACAACATAAAAGAGTCTAATCACAAGAGAGTCAAGTTTGATGAAGCATTGATTTTGACACAGAGCATTTCTCCTTGGTACTTACCATAGCATGACAGTAACTAACTCCTGAAATGAGTTGCTGGAAGAAAAACCTCGCCTATAAAGGTAATTAGTTATCGACATTTTAATCCTAAGCATTTTTGAATCTTAGAAAGCACAAAAAAAAAAAGAGACTGAGATTATCTTCACTCAGAAAAATGACCTCGTCTTCGCTGAACCGGCCTGCATTGCAGATTCGCTCAAAGAGTTCTCCTCCAGAAGCGTATTCCATAACGATGGCCAAATGTGTTGGTGTTAATATGACCTACAAGCAAAACATGAGAATTTCATATAGGAGACAACAAAACTTATCCTCTTTGTTTGTGTTTTTAATAATAAGAAAGGTTAAGAGAGTGAAACCAGACCTCTTTGAATCTAACGATATTGGGATGTCTTAAGGACCTGTGGTTGATTATCTCCCTTTTCACATTTTCATCTATCTGTAAATAAATGAAAAATTAGATTTCTTTTAAATACCATAGCAGAACAAAATAGTGAAGTGCATGTAAAGAATAATGAAGATTTACTAATTTTAGCATCGATCATCATAACCGTTTGGTAACCATAATGAAAGCTTACTTCATTTACATAAGCCTTCAGACCAACATATCTCATTAATTGATAAAGAAAAAACACAAATTTTTTTTTTTTTTTTTTGAATTCAAGAAACCAGAGGAATTGAGATATGAAAATAAAACTGGACTTGGAAAATTCATAAGAAAAAACACTGACCTTCTCACCTCTCTCGATGTATTTGACAGCAACAAGCTCGTTGCTTTGCTTGTCTCTCATGAGTCTTGCAACTCCGAAATTACCGGACCCGATATCCTTAACGAGCTCGTACCTATCGCTGTCGTGCATAATCGGCAAATCCATTGGCCCACTCACTGCAGGCCGATCCATTTTTTGTTTTCTTTTACCTTTCCTCTGTCTCTCTGCGACTTCAAATTGTCTCAGGTGATGATCTGATGAGGTTTCTGGGAGATATCTAACAGAGACTCGACATTACTACTGTACATCTGAGGAAACGAGCGACTTGTGAGACGTGGAGGAATTTGGGCCGTCGAGATTTGGGAAAGGGTAGTGGGTGATGGTGATGATGATGAAGTTATGGGTGTGGGAAAGAGACTTTTCAGAGATTTTGAGACCCGTGAAATCTCTAACCAACAACAAGTGGGTTTCTTGAGATCTTTTTGTTCCTTTGATCGCTGTCTTTTTTTCTTTTTTTATATCAATTCAAAGACGATTATGAAGAAGAATAAGAAGAAGAGAAGCTCGTGATCGTGAGCTCAGTTTCTCTCTCTATCAGCTCTCGTAAGATAACACTTCTCTGTTCTGTTTAAACCACAGCTTGAAGGAAGCTATACAGCAAGACAGAGAGAGAGAGAAAAAGAGTTTTCACATTTTGTGAAATGTTGAAATGTGATTTGTTAAAAATAATTTGGGAGATGGTTTAAAATGACGGAAGTACCCCCTCTTTCTTATTGAACTAAATTACTAAAATATAGGTAATATAAATATTATTTTTGCACTAATATTCTAATGAAATTTTAAAATATAGTAAAATAATATAACATTAATAAATTTTGAATCTTACATTTTTTAGTTATTTTTGTTTATTATTTAGTTAAACAACCTTTAGGGGTTATATATGGCCAATTGTGGAGACCGCTATTCCCAACGTATTTAATGTCACTCTAAATTTTATGCAAAAACAATGTTAATCTAAAAATAGAAAATACTTTCCTTTTCCGTATATAAAAAAGTATTTCGAAATTTTAAAAGGAAAAACAAAATAAAAAAGGTTACCACATTTGTGGAGGTATTGTTGGCTATTTTGTCCGATCTCCACCTAAAAGTAGAAACCGACAGAGATGCATTCAATAGCCCATTCCCTGTATTATTATTAAAATTGTGAATGCGCCTCCACATGACGCAACATTTTTTTAATCACGTTAAAAAAATATACTCCCGTACATAATAATATTCCGAATACACTCTTCTAGAGATTAACTCGTGGATGCAATGCAATTATGCAACATGAACATTTTGACCTCGTTTTTTAATTTTTTCGTCAAACATTTTGTCCTTGCTTAAAATCTAAAATTGATTTAGAAAATAGTATTTTTCATCTAAAATCAAATTAGAAAAAATAATTTCTCAAAGTAAAGCAACAATTATTTTTAATCTATTTTGTAAGCGTTTTTTTATTTGTACCTTTATTTATTTGAGGTTTAGTGAGAAATTGAAGTGACTAACTATTGAAGCCCAACATTGTGAGAGTTAACAACCTAGGATGATAAGCCCATGTTTATTCATGTATACTTTATTTTAGCCCAAATATAATAATATACAGTTCCTTACAGATATATACTCATCTCTTAAGGTAAAATCAAATAAAACCAAAACACTATTTATAAAAAAGTTTGCATTTTACTTGCCCTTTTTTCTTGGGTTTTTAGTAACGGACAAAGAAGATGAAGAATTTTTTTTAAAAAAAAAATTAACTACTCTTTTTAGTGGTGTGAGTTTTAGTGGACAGCGGAGAAGAGACTAACAAAAAGCAAAGGATCGCATAAAAGAAGTGTTCATAAGACTCAGAGTTGTCTCAAGTTCCCCATTTTAGTACATACATGTTCTATTCAAACAAAATCTTTCGAGGCATAATTTCTTGATTAAAATGTTTTCTACCCAAAAGCTGAACTCAATGCAAACTGTTGATGGAATTTGAAAAAAAATAAAAACTGGATCAAGTTCTTGCGCTCTTCCTGAGCTTCCTCTATGCTTGAATGACGCGTAAGAAAATGCAGAAACGATTGGTACCAACCTCGTAAAACTGTAGTTTGCATGATTTGAGCGATGGAGAAGATTGGCCTTAGCTATTGTAGTTATCAAGGCCAAGGTCTCTCAATGCATCAGTTGCAGAGGCTCTGCATATCTCATTGTTGGCCTTAGCAGTCCTTATCAGCTTCTCGATTCCACTGGCAAGCAGAATAGTCCTGCAATGTCGCGATAGAAGCTGATCTGATCAGAGTTTGTGCATATTGTTGGGATGATTTTTTCTTTTTTTTTGGAAAGAGAGGTTTTTTACCTGTTCTCTGCATTTCTTACAGCAATATTCCGTATCATGTTGCAAGCGTTTCTCTGCATTTGAGCCGCTGTTGGAAACCTCTTCATAGCCTTGACCGCCAGATCACCAGCTCCAGCTTCTATGGCACTGGCAGCGTGGTCCGGTGATCTCAGACAGATTATAGAGATTATCGACATCACCTGAACCAACCGGTATATCTTGGGTCAACCACAAGGATTATGCACTCAGACCCTAGTGTACTGCTACAATAAACATTCTTTACTAGACATAAACGTTCTTATCTATTCTAGTGTAACACTGGCCTGTAGCCACAAGCATCTTCACTAGACACGAAAATTGAAAATGGTGTTGTGAGAGGGTTTTACTTACCTCTTGTATGACTAGAGGATCGTCCGAGAATCGTTGAGCGAGTTTGATTAGCTTGTCGAGACCTCGCTTCTCGACTATGGTACTCTTGTTAGAGTCACTTCCAGCCAACTGGAGATTCAAACACACATTTAGACAACCATTTCTCACTCGTGATTGCAATGCTAGTATACACCAACAATCCTAGGCTCTGGAAATGCTTAAACCTCGAGAACATGCATTCATAAATGTTCTGCTATTAGAAGAACATGAAGATACGCCACTGTCTAATAGTGGCACGGCAAAAACTTGAATTCTGAACTTTGAAGCACGACTATGAACAGTTGAAAGGCATTGAAAACTACATAGGCAGCTTTCACAAGAGTTAGAAGCTACACACCTTAGACAACAACGAACAGCAGGTCTTAGCAGCAGTTTTGTTGCCTTGTTCACCGCTATCATCAACACACCGAAGAAGTGTATCTATCCCCCCAGTTTCAGCGATAGATTTGCATATATCATCCTGTTTACAGCAAAAAGAAAAAGTGTGCAGCCTATGAGCATAAGATATTACCAGGTATAAAAAAAAGGATAATAATGAGGAATTTGCAGTGACCAAACTAGTTAAATGTTACGAGAGAGAGAGATTTATGTTAGGAGACTTACATTTACAGCAATGGATTTTAACGCAATGCTTGCTGACACCAAGCTATCAGAGCCAATCCCTGCCTGTAATGCTTCGGTGAGAGCTGTTGCAATTCCTAATTTGGCAAAAGTCCGTGCATAACCATATACCTAAAACGTACCAAAGCAATAAAGAGAGAATCATATTGACTTGAGTTCTCGAAGCATGTTGATGAAGAAGCACATAAATGACTAATTTTTTTAATGTTTAAAGACAGCAATTCCTAGTAGTTTACTAAGTTCCAGTAGAGATGCATACGTATATATCTCGCTGTCCATTGGCAATACATACCAAACGAGTATGATCCTACTTACTTGGGAAGCAACCACACGGTTGTCATCAGGCGTCAAAATAACACGAATTGCGTCATACAAAGCTTGAATGGTGGTTTTACTCTCTCTATTCAGCACTTTCAGAATAAGCTCATCAATTTTCAGTTCCATGAATGACTCTTTGACGACTTCATTACCAGTTGCAGCAGCAGCAACAACGGCAAAACCAGCATCTAATGAATCAGAATCGGATCTGGGGTCCCTTAAGAGATCAACAACAATCCTTGGTCCAGAAGCATTCCTGAATGCCTCCGTGCTCTGAATGTCTGCAATTAGATGATTACAACTCATGAACCAAAAAATATGAAGAAAAAACACCAACCAAAGTTAAGTACCAGGAAGACAAGTATTACCATGGATCAAAACAGCCAAAGCTTTCAAACAAGGAACAACAATGGCATTACTTCTGGTGTCTGTCTTGATTTTGGAACAGATGGAGCATGTTAATTCCACAGCACCGTGTTTTGTAGCAATCGCCGCGTTCCCTGATTCCTGGCTGCTACAAAGCTCGTTGAGCTTGGCGAACAAACTCGAAACCTCATCCAAATCATCATCATCTCCAAGTAGTCCGACTTTAGAAACACTATCGAGTTCCTTTAGTCTATCTAAACACGCAATCACAGGATTGTCCTTAACGGTACTTTCTCCTGGGACACAAGTAATGATCCCTGTAGAACAAACAGAACACACAATTGAACTTGCGCAGGCTCATTATCTCCAAACATAACTACAAATCCAGTTCCAAGGGAGACCAACTAGATTTTTTTTAAAAAATCGGGAAAGCAAAAGAGAGGAGAAAATGACTACGGACCGGAGAGATCGACGCCTTGAAGCTTGAGTGTGTAGAGAGCGTCTTCGAGAGCTTCGGAAGGTTCCATTCCAAGATCTTCCACATTTTCCCTAACGAGATCGTCGAATGCCTCCTGGGATATTGCACGGACAGCCATTCTCCTTGTTCCGCCGCCCCGACTCGTCGGATAAAGTTCCTTCGTTCGTCTTTGCTTATGAATCGGAATATATAAACCCCCGGTTGGGTAGATCGGAGAAGATAGTGCTTTAAATGTATGTTTGGGAGTAGAAAAGGCGAGAGAAGAAATACAGAGAGATCTTAGTTAGACCATGTGCAACGCTAGATCTTAAGTATGATTCTTAACAAAATTTTGTATTTAATTAACTGAAAATTAAATAAAAAGAGAAGAATCGACTCTTCGTTAAGCTATTTAAGAGCTGGATTTTACCTGTGACGTGTCTATACTTGATTGGAAAGAGATCCAGAATTCAACACTTTTTCTTTTTACGGAATCAATCTATGTCCTTTCTCGCCTTCTGCCTTCTTCTCCGATGCGATTCAATGGATTCTGCTTTGAATCGGCTTTGAATCGATGTCTTCTCTTTCTCTCCCTCTAATCTTTCTGCGATTCCGGCCGATGTTCATCACAATCTCTCCGATAAACAATATGAGAAGCAGAAAAATGTTGTGCTTGAAGGGAACGATGCTGTCAAGTGGAAAGGTTCGCTAACGAGTTCGGTGAAGGCACGCTTCACATCAAGGTGAAAATGGAAATCCAATGAGAATATCAATTTTGTTTGCTGTTTGCATGATCATCGTTCTGTTGCTTATTCTCTCTCTCGTTTTTGAATGTTTATGAGAGTTATTGTGTTTGGGCCCTCTTCAATTTTGGATACGACTCGTGATTTTTACTCAAGTTTGGGTTTAATCGATTTTCATGAGAAACTTGTGTAGTTGTGTGGTAGGCTTAAAAGTGGAGCAATCTTTGAGAATCCATTGTTTCTTTGTTGCATCTTATCAAGAGTCGTGTTTCTATAAATCGATAAATCATAAGCTATGTTCCTTTGTGACTTTGTTTGATGCGTTTATGGGGTTACTTGTTGTATCAAGTTAACTTCTTGCAAGCACTTGCGGTTTGCCTCTCGCTCTGTCCTCAAACAAAACTTGTTGATGAGTCTGTCAACTCTCCATTGCGAGAGAACTATGGCGATAAGATGTTGAGGATGCAGAGGTACGATGATGAAGCATTTGGTGTTTATGACGAGCTCTTCTCCTATGCGTGCCCCAAATTCATCACCTACATTGACATCTTTAAATTTATAATATTGCAGGACTATATTGTTAACATACAAGCACAAAGACTCACTCAGTTGACTCTGATGGGAAGATCGTCTCCAATGCAGACATTAATTTCTACATCAACAGTGTATGTTTTTCCTCATCTTTTCATATCTCTTTTACATCAATACTTTGGTGCTTTTAGAAGTTAACTTTAAATCTGGTGAAACTGCAGGACATGATCAGTTTAGTTCGAGTTTCCTTCCTGCTTTCATTATGCTTTAGTTCCTAAGCTCATTTGAAATGGTCTTAATGTTTAAGACTTCTGTAATCATTTCTTTTAATCTTTGATTTGTGTCCATGATTCTGTTTTTTTTCTCTGCTTTTTTTTAAGAACCTCTAAATAAAATTCTACTATTGGAAAATAGAAAATAAAATTATTTTAACAAAAATTCTTAACAAAAAAATTATAATTAAATAATAACTAAGATCCCATTAGAGTTTCTCCCATTGCACATGCTTTACTTTGAGCTGCGACAAAAAACGACGCCGTTTCAATTCATTATTTTGTTTCCGAAGCATTTTTTTTTTTGGAGTGTTAGAGAAGGAGAGGGAGAGATATGTGCACATGCCAAAGGATAATATGATTGCTTATTGATATTAAAACTGCACAATAATCCTTGGGTTACTATGATCTACCAAACCTATCCACAAGGAACAAACGCTTCTTCAAATGTTAATACATTCACAGGTTCTTGTTGAAGCTCCATTTGATCTCATTCCGGTTCAAGTTCTACAGCCGCAAGATGCCTAACCCGCTGAGCAAGCCGTCTCCTCCGATAAATCCCCACCAAGCGCAGAATCAGGATCATTGCAATAGCAGCGTAGTCGAACACCGTCACTATTCTGAACCCTCCTGTATAAAATGGCGAACAATCAATCTTGGAAAACTTAACCACAGAGCGCTCCAGAGGCATACACAAGAGTCTCAAATCTGTAACCCGTCGTTGCTGGTTTAGAGCTTGTGACTCAAACTTACCCGTTGGGATGAAGTTAAACTCTGCGGCAGTGTAAAGGCTACTGATGAACATCTGCAACACCAAAAAAAAACTTAGTTTCTCATCTTTCAGTGGAAGAAAGCAATGGCCTTTAAAAAAAAAAACAACAGCAAAGTAGTAACTCCTATGATGATCACAGACATTGAGCTGTGTAGTCTTGCTTAGTCATTAGTACAGAGCACAAGTGACAACGAGAATTAATGGGTAAAGATCATAACAAGCAAGATGGAAACTGAAACAAGTTTGTATGACCAAGGTAGGATTTTCTTAACTGCAAAGATGCGCACTTCGTGAAAATACAGATTGTTTGTATCTGGATCCATCATGTGCCACACCATTCTCTTCATCAGCAAAGGCAGCTCCTGCACCTTCTGAAACATTCGAAAGATGACCCATTTATTGACGAGAAATGCACCAAACAAACAGTAAAGTGAACAAAACATAATCCATATGAGAATCAAAAGACATTACCTGAACAAACCCAGTTAGACCTCCAACAAAGAGACGATTATACCTACGGATATTTGCAAGAACCTCCTTCACCTCTTGCTCCTGGTGCTGTTGCAAGGATGGTTCCGGTGACAGCTTAGTGATGTGCCGAGCACACATGGGACACTTGCAAGGCCTAGACACTGCAGCATAGTTCCAGTACTGCAAGATGCAACTTCCTGTATATAATGTAAAGTACACTTAAATAATCATCATTAATTTCCAAAAAAAAAGGCTACTTCCAAGAATCCAAGACTGGAACCCTAAATCAATTCCAAACCCAACAAATGAAGTTCCACACAGAGAGCTATGAATCTTCCTTTTGGGGAGCAAAAATACACAAGCGGGATACTTCAATGCAAGAAGAAATGGATTAGAAATTCATGAGATGAGAAAAAAGAAGAAGACACTAACCGCAATACCAATGACCACAATTCCCTCGACACGGAACCGTAAATGAGCTGAAACAGATCGGGCAACAATCATCCTCTGGAGGCGTCTCGCTCTCCGTCTTCCTCTCTACACGATTATCCTCTTCGATTTTCCCCTCCTCGGCCGTCGCGACTCCGTCGGCAAGAACGACGGCGTTCGGCGTCTCCACCAGCTCATCCCGATCATGAATTTCCGCGTCCCTGGCGTCTACCTCCTGCAATTCCTCGCCGGTTGTTACCTCCATTGCGGCTGCTGCTTGCTGCTCCTTCATGAAGAAATTTACTTCTCTTTGAGACTCTCTCTCTCCGTTTCGTCACTTTCTCGAAAGATTCTTAATTTGTAAAATGAGTAAATTAAAATTTCCAAATTATACAACAGTTTGTTAAGATGAAATTCAAAGCGTGTGTGTTGTGAAACGGTGAATGACCGATTTGTCCTCGCTATTTTCGGCAAGGTGATGGATCCATTTAGGCAAATTAGTCATTTTATTAGCAGTAGTTGGATTGAAGACACTTGGATTTTATATAACAAGTGTTTAAGTTTTGGCAAATCCATCTAACAACTAGTCGACTACTTCATCCGACTCGAATTGAAGAAAATATCACATTTAAAACTTTAACTTAGACAAATTAAGTTTATGTTCTATATAATTATAAAGTAAGTTTATGTTCTATATAGTCTGACCATTAAAACATATTTTTTTATTACTAAAAGAACTAGAGCTATTTTTCCACGCGTATGCCAAAGTAGACAAGCGTTAATTTTCCGAATTATCAACGGATCCATAGAGAATAGTATTCTCAGATTCATGGGGGATAATATAGAAAAGAAATAAACTCAGGACTTTCATAAGTCAAGAACATAAAGACTCTTGATACAAAAGAAAAAATATCTGATAAATTTGAAAGTAAGCGAAGTCAATATTGAAGTTGAGCTCGTAGCATACTGTATCTGTGTCACTCTTATTTTTGTTAAGATAAACTAAACCCAAAAGGAAATTGGAAATCAAAGTTAAGCAATAACGGTCCTATATGAAAAAAAAGATATTCATAAAACTGAAATATTAAGGCTAAGGTTATCCACTTGCTTTATAACAAAAGGAAATCCCTTAAAAATCAAAATTCATATTCCCTATTGTATTTGGAAACCGACTCTCACTAGATCCCACCATCCTAGTCTCTATAAATACGTAAACAGAGAGTCCCTTGGGGAGCTTACGCTATCAAAAACCAAAGAAAAAGAAAGCAATCAGTTTAATCAAAGAACGAGAAGAAGAAAGCGATGGGGATATCTGGGGCACGCAAGTTACTCTTGGTCCTCGTGATCACTGCATGTGTCTTCTCCGGGAGTGCTGAGGCATGGAGCTGGAGTTGGGGCTCTGGCCAGTCCGGTTCGAACTGGGGCTGGGGATGGGGCTCCGACAGCTCTGGCGGTTCTTCTGGCTCAGGTTCAGGTGCTTCAGGCTCAAACTCGGGTGGTTCGAGCTGGGGTTTCGGTTGGAGCTCGAACGGAACCGATACAAACTGGGGTTGGGGAAGCAGCTCCGGCTCACACCACTCAAGCGGCACTGGCTCTACAAACAACAGCCACCACAACCACACGTCCCCATCAAACCACTCAAGCGGTACAAGCCACCACAACCACACGGCTCCAGTATCGTCTAGAAGAAAGATTGAGGTCACCGTGTGGAAAAACGGATTCGATTACCAAGCATGGGCTTCAAAGCATGCGCCTTTCTACGTCGGCGATGTACTTGTTGTCGAGTTCAAGAATAATGATCAAACCCAATCCAAGGCGAAGCACAGCAACAAGAACGATGTCTACTTGCTCCCAGACTTGAGGAGCTACAAGAGATGCGATGTGGGCAGAGGCAAGAAGCTAGTCGCAAGAGGAGGCTCATCATCATCATCATTAGGGTTCAAGCTGCTTCTCCGTAAGAGTCAGACTTACTACTTCACCAGTGGTGACCAAAACGGCTGCAACCACAACATGAAGTTCTCTCTCTCCCCGATCCCCCGCTCTTCTCCACACACTAAACCCTAAATCCGATGTACGATTTGTTTCCTTTTCATCAAACCTCTAGTTTGATACGTTTTCAGATCCTGCTTGCTCTCCTTTTGCTGTTTCTTCTGCTTTAAGGCAACGATGGATTCATATTTCCAAGAGCCTTCGTTTAGCGTATAAATATTTCTTTGTTGTAAACTTCATATCTCTTGCTTGTTAAACAACAACAAAAAAATAATGAAGGAAAATTATTCAACTAAGCTGAGGAATCTTGATGTTGCTGGCTGGCACGGGCACTTGTGTCTTCAGACATCATGACTTTGTAGACTTATGTTATTGCAATGAAAGTTTCAGATCTTTGAAAGCATCAGGGAAAGATGCTCATCTGAAACCTCGATTTCGCTGAATGTACCCAAAGAAGAAGCCAGCCTAGCGGCCAGTTGATGTTTACACTTGGCAAAAAAGAAAGCAGAAAGTCAGTAACAGAGTAAGGTACAAACAAATTCTTAGCAGTAGAAGAACGAACATATATGGAGAAGAATCTTCTCATCTGATGTGATGATTAAAAATGCTTACACATTGCTGCTCTCCTCTGCTAACAACATCGTAGAAGAAAGAATAGCATCCACAGTAATCTCCTGGGAAGCACAGATACTCTTCCCTCTTTTGAGATTCTCCCACAACCTGAGAAGTGAGAACATCAACACAAACAAATCTCAAAGTATCTTAATTTAAGTGCTTTTAACCAGTGAAGGGAATTGCTGGTGGTGAGACCTGAAAGATGGATCTTCCACTGGGTAAGCCAGAGATTTTCTTCACGCCTCTCTTGTCGATTATTCTCGTCGCTTTCTCAAGATTCTTACCAAACAACAAATGCAAGCTGGATTTGCAAACAAATGCTTCAATTTCTAACTCAAAATCCCCCCCCCCCCCCCCCCCCCCCATTCTTTTTATTTTTATTATGTTTGAAACTAAACCTAATCATCATCACAATCACAATTGCAAAAAAAAAAAGAAGGGAAAAATCAGATTTAATATCTGTGGAGAACTGACATTGAGAGCTGTTCTTCAGTTACTGCCAAAAAAATGGAAAATTTAACGACAAATTAAAAAAAAAAAAAATTATCGTAAAAACAGGGAAAGGAAAGAGAGAATTAGTAAAATAAGGATATCCCAGGGAAGTACCGGAACCGGTAGATTCGATGTTCGACCAGACGGCATCTGCGACCAAAAGAGTGACGCTCATCTTTCCGATGGAAGTTTTTTTGTGAGCGTTTTCAGAGAAATCTCGCCGTTTTAATTGCTCAGTCCTCAAAACGCTTCCAGTTTTTGGATTTTTGCTTGGTATAGGCCTAAATTAAAAAGGACGGTTCGGTTCTGGTCAAGAAAATTGCCGCGGAAACCGTTTGGTTTGTGGTAGATAAATGGCATACAGTATAATGTTCATCATACACATAAAAAGGCTGATCTCTACAAGTCATAAAACAACAATGCAAATATTTGACTTTTAGTCTCAAACGGTTTCACTGGATTGCTTACAGAGGTATTGTTTGTCAAAACCAAAACTGCTTTACCCAAAAAGAAAAGACTTTTTTTTTCGTTCTTTGCTGGTAAAAGAATATACAAATCCAACCCCAACACTAAAAAGATCAAGACATTCTTCGTAAAATGAAAAACAAATTAACAAATGTATGTAATAAACAAGTAGTATTTTCTCCCCTATTCGGATCGCAGTCAGTACAACACATTGAGTAACCGTCGTTGCTGCGCTTCATCAGAGCGTAGTGAGTAGATATCTGGTGGAGCCGTGGTGCCTCCTTGCTGTACCAATTTACCATTCGATGAACCGGATTTGTGCTGATCCAGATAAACAACAACGACGCTTATGTCGTCATGGAAATGTCGTCGAATTCCTCTGGCGATTTTCTTTATATCCCCATATCGCATTTCTCTCTTCTTTGCAGCTTCTTCAAGAGCTGCTCTCACAAGTCTTCTTGCAATCCCCTGTAAGATCCTACAGTTGTTAAAAATCTAACATAAAGAGAGAAAGACACTAAGCTCTGAGTTAAAGGGGGGTGGCAGAACTTACGGTTCTTGGGTGTTTGAGTACGATTTCTACTGCTGTTTCATCATTAAGATGTTCCCAGAGACCATCTGATGCAAATATCAGAAACAAGTCCTGTGGCTTAAGCTTCCTTACTATAATGGACGGTTCCGCTGTCATCGCGGGTCTCCTCAAAGGAATCGGATTTCCATGTTGCTGGAAAATAGGATCCCTGTAAAACTCTGGTTTCTTCAAGTATACATCCCCGATTGATCTCGATACCTGTAAAGAAGCGCATTTTAAAAAACGATTCAGCTTTAAAAACTATACAGCGAAAGAGCTCAACATTCATGGAAAGCATGTCTCTTCGTTATCATGTAGAGACTCTGACTACCAGGTATTAAGAAACGTTGCAGGAGCCCGTGTGAGGGATTCCTGGAACATTGCAAGCCCCCATTTATATTATCAGACTACAACTTTTACGCATAGAAACACAATCATATATAACTTCATCACATAGATGCTATTAATATATCACGCAAGTAAAACTCTATGTTATACCTGAATTATGCCTTTAATCCTCCAAACTCCACGCGTGTAAATGACGATTTGTGAATCATCAGGGTTAAGTGCCTTGACCTCCTTTCTCACTTCTTCAACAGCAACATTATGATCAGTAGATAATCGTTCAGCTGCAGCACCCTTGTTCTTATTATTACTACTACTATCATCCCCTGCAGCAACACTCCCAAGAACGGCTCTTGAGTCCCCGAGATTCGCAACATACAGTGTGCCATTAGAGATGGCACCAAAAAGACAGCAAGATCCTACAGTAGCCATTTGCGGTTTCATCGGCAGGGATCGTTTAACCATATGGCAAAACTCCTCTTCTGTTTCTTTGAATGCCTTCTTTATAACATCTGCAGATAGTCCTCCTTGTTCTTTTGCGAACTCTGCGATTATAAAACACCTACTGTTAATTCGCTAACAAGATCATGATCAATGAATATATTCACCAATAACACTAAGGCAAAACCTTTTTTAAAAAGTGATTAAAAGGGTAAAAAATTAACTCAATAGCCAAATGATGAAACGAAAATTGATTGAACGGACAAACTGATGATAATAAAACATCCCAATAAGTTCACAAAGACCCAAAATTTCGTAGCGAAATTCGAAACTTTTTATATTGGAATGATCAGAGCAATAGCGATCCCAATTTAGATCATTAAAAAACGCAGTCAAAGAGTCAAAATAAGTGAGTATCCTAAAAGAGCAAATAAAAGAAATTATTACTGTGTATATAAGGAAAGAGATGTCTGTTAACGAATCTAGAAGCTTCGGGACCGCCATGGCCATCGTAGACGCCGACGTATGTAGCCGATGAAGATGTGAACACCTGACTCTGATCCTCAAGCCTGGAATTGGCCTGAACAACCGCGATCGAGTAATCTCCGCCGGCATGAGGCCTCAATTCCGACTGCCAAAGTAAACCATCACCACTCGCTCTGCTCCCCAGACACCGTTCGAGAGGCCGCGCTAGAGCTCGCAACATCACCTACTACTAGGGTTTTTCTATGCAAACTGATTAGAAATTTAGAAGTGTAGAGTAGAGAAAAACTCTTAACAGAATTTGATTCGATTTTGGAATGAAATCGAAGGGCTAAGATTTTATTGTAGACGAATTTTTGATCCGTTCGTCTCTGATCGGTTTTAAGGGATTGTGTGTTGAGTTGGTAAAAGAAAACCGCGTGAAGAAAAAAGAAGAAGAAGAAGAAGAAGAAGAAGAAGAATATGAGAGATGACTTTGGACTCTGCCGTTCTTTATTTACCTACGTAGAGTACGCGTCGTTTTTTTATATCTTTGCCGTGCTTTTTCAATCCCTATCCCCTCCCTTTTTATGCAGTTTTTAACGCGTTGTTTATTTATATTTTCCTTCTTCATTTGGCAAATTTTTTCTCCAGAAATAAACAAAACTTTGGGCGGAAAATATAAAAGATTCCCTTATATTTTAATAAATATCTTTCTTCTGGAACATTTTAAAAAGGAAGTTCTAATGTGGACCAACAAAAATATCTAGCTTGATGCCTCACCAATTCTCAATCTAAAAAATCCAGCTATTTTTTTATGTATTTTTTAAAAAAGGATATAATAATTATTTTGTATAACTCTTTACATTTTAAGAAGTATATATTTTTGTATTTAATAAATTAGTGGGGAAAATGCTGTATTTAAGAGAATGAGTAAAACGATGAGTAAAGCTGTAGCCAACGTGTAGCTGATATACTTGCTTGTCGGCTAAGATCGACGGATAACTACTGAATTCAATTTCTAGCTAATCTACTCATCAAAGTCATCTTAGTATTATAATTAATCTTAGTTTTATCATCACGTTACGGTTTCAAGTATAAAAAAAAATAATTCTGTGTTTTGTTCTAGAGAATTGATCAAAATGGTGAATATAGTACTGATTAGTTTTATTTTTGTTTAATTGCGAGTTGCGCAATTTAATTAAGAAACTGACGTGGACGGCCTTGTCTGAAGATACGCGGCGGCAACGAGGAAAACACATTGGCCTCTTTTGACGAAAAGACAATGTATTCCCAAATATACTATTTTGTTAGTTTTATTTAACATTAGATTTCTCAAGACTTTTCAGGCTTCATGAAAATAGTTGAATGGGTTTTACACAAAAGTTGGTTAAGAAAAACATAGATTCATTCAGTATTTATGAAGCTTTTTCACATTCATTATAAAAGTTTCAGTCTCTATCAAATTCACACTCAACCCAAAGCAACCAAAATCAAAATCACAATTAGTTTCAGTCATCACACACACTTACCACTCTACGGATACGCAACTAAACTTTAAAACCTTGATTATAATGTCTAACCAAACTCAAACCTAAAATCTAAAAGTTAATTTGGCGCATTGTTGGTATATAAGTCAAGAGAAGCAAAATTGGTCAACGGATTTATAATCTTTAACAAATAAAACTGACTAGTATAAGAAAAAAATTCTGGTGTATCACTGGATCGAAGAAAAGCGCCCGGACCTGAGGTTCTTTCCGCCGGAGAAGATTCGTCGGAAACTTTTTAGATCGGACGGAAGAAGAGGGGTTCGATGAAGAGCAGATTGAAGAGTTACAAGAGGAAGAAGCTAGGGCTAGCCACTGTCATCATCTTCTGTTCTCTCTGTTTCCTCTTCGGTTTCTACGGTTCCACTCTACTTTCCCAGGTGTGGAAACCCACTGATCTAACTCTGTGGTTCTTGAAGATGCGATCAGATCTTGCATTTAGTAGTTCCATGGCTTGGGTTTCGTGACTAATCGTCGAGGGTTTTTATGTTTTGGGAGCTAGCAGAATGTGCCTGGAGTTAGACCCAGGTTGAGAATGTTGGAGATGGTGGAAAACGGTGAAGAAGAAGCTGGCTTGATGCCTCATGGTGTTACTGGAGAGGAATCTGTTGGATCGATTCCGTTTCAGGTGACCTTTCGTTGCAAATTTTGGACTTCAAAACTCTTTTAAGATGTTTCGATTTGCTAGTGAGGTGAATGAAATCGATTAGTTAGGGCAAAGTTGTGCTTTTTGATCGAATTTCAACTTTGTTTTTCCGGCCAAGTGTGTGAGTTTGAGTGTGAGATTATTGGGTTAATTGAGGCTAGCTGTGAAAATTGGTGCTTCATCTTCTTCTTTTTGGATCAACTGGTGTATAACAATGGCAGGTGCTGAGTTGGAAACCGAGGGCTTTATATTTTCCGAATTTCGCAACTGCAGAACAGTGCCAAGCTATTATTGATAGGGCTAAGATTAATCTGAAACCTTCTGCTTTGGCTCTCCGGAAAGGAGAAACCGCTGAGAACACTAAGGGCACTAGAACAAGGTCTTTCTTTTTCATCAGTTTTCATATTGCATATTGCAGAAAGAGACTGCTTTTTTTCTTTAGAGACTTTTCTTCAATCAAACATTCATCAGTAGGCTCACTGTTTTGCTTTGTGTGATGTTACAGCTCAGGAACTTTTGTTAGTGCTTCGGAAGAGAGCACTGGTGCTCTGGATTTTGTTGAAAGGAAGATTGCGAGGGCTACAATGATCCCAAGGACCCATGGAGAGGTTTTAATTCTACTTCCTAATCCCATATTGTGATTCATAAGACTTGGCATGTTGTTTTTGATTACCATGGAAGTGGATATAGCCATTGATATAGGCATTAATTAATATTGATTGGTTGCAAAATCTTAAATCCAGATTTCTGAAATCATCAACATTTAATATCGACGGTTTGCCAAAAAAAAAAAGTGGTGAATTTCCTAAAGAGTAACAAGAGATTGATATGTTTGGCAATTTGCAGGCATTCAATATTTTACGGTATGAACTTGGCCAAAAGTATGATTCCCACTATGATGTTTTCAACCCAACAGAATACGGACCACAATCAAGCCAAAGGGTAAAGATATCATTCTATGTTTATACAGCTTTCTTTGGAAGTTAGAACCTTAGATCTCATTTGCTTTCACGCAGATGGCTTCCTTCCTGTTGTACTTATCTGATGTAGAAGAAGGTGGCGAAACCATGTTCCCATTTGAGGTCAGCTTATATAACATACCATTGCATATTGATTCCATTTTGTTAATTGGTTCCGTTTTGTTAATTGATTCCCTTTCAAACGCTCTCGATTGCCAGAACGGTGCTAATATGGGAACCGGATATGACTACAAGAAATGTATCGGGCTGAAAGTAAAGCCTCGCAAAGGAGATGGTCTTCTTTTCTATTCCGTGTTTCCAAATGGAACAATTGATCAGGTAAACAAAGTTTTGAAACATTACATGTATATGTCAAGTCAACACTTGATTTCTTCTCTGACTCCAACTACTTGTATTAGATTGAACCGTTTCAGTTAGTCCATGCTAATAGTAGGCTCTTTGCTTGTGGTTGGAATGCTTTTGCAGACTTCGCTTCACGGGAGTTGCCCGGTGACCAAAGGAGAGAAATGGGTTGCGACCAAATGGATCAGAGACCAAGAACAGGAAGACTAAAGCTTTTAATTCTTTTCCATATATATCTTAGAGCTTATATCTTTTGTCTGAAAAAATTCTGCTGTCGGATACATTATGTACAGTTCTTCGTCAAAACAGTGTAACTACTGGTCGTCAAAAAAAAAAAACAGTGTAACTACTGAATTTTCTTATAATACGACTCATACGGAACTTTAAGGATATTCTAATAAACGAATAGTGGTTTCTTCTTGCCAAAACTGTTCCAATTCCCGTTTATTTGACTAGTTTGAACATTAGCATTTGATCTTTCATGAAAGACATTGACTTAAAGAGAGTGTTTGAATTGATTTTTCTTCGAACGTCCAATACCAACACTGAAAAACTGTCGGCGTCCTTAGCTGGAACGGCCAAAACAAACCATAATCGATAAATGAACAATTTACATTGTCCATATAATTTTTGAGGAAATCTTTTTAATTTAAAATAGTTATATGTATTTGTGTCATACTTTTGCTGTCGGTATATTTACCGTCAATTACTATTTTAATTTTATATTGACTAGTTTGTCTGTCCACAAACGAAAAACTGCTAGTATTAGTTTTGTTTAGAATCTTCAAGGTAACAACAAATGTCTATATACAATAACATTGATGACGAATAATACTGAATTGATTATCTACATTATTTTAATATCTATTTACATTGAAAAATAAGAGTTTATATGACTTATAAGAGTGGCTCAAATTCGGAATGTGGGACACGAACGTAACACGTGGATCGTATTCAAGTTAGCGTCACTGTGTTAAAGTTGTACGTGTCAGAAACGATGACGTCGGCGCCAACGAATCTGAAGTCTGAACACGAGTTCAGACCAGAAATAGTTTGGGGACGTTTGGTTTTTGACCGTCCAATTTCTCTGTTCACGCGCTTCGTGGCAAGGGATTCACACGCTCCTCCGCCTAACAATAATATCTCAAATCTCAAGATTATTACACATTTACTGATTTACACTCTTCTTAAATAACATTATTTGGTCTTTGGTTTTTCAACGAACTAATCAGTGTCATTAGCTAAGATAAATAACTTTGATAAGTCGATACTAAATTGTAATGGTATTTTAGACTTAGTTAAATTATTTAGGGATAAACTAAACCATTAAGGTCGTACAAGGCGCGAGTAATGTACTCGCGAAAATATAAGTTGCGGGTTTATTTTTTGGGCCTGTATGAATGAATCACTCTGTTTACTTAAAAAAGAATAAATAAAAAACAGAGCCCTGTCTTGTTCTCCTCCGCCGTTATATATATAAACCCTTGCCTGAACTCTCGGAACCTTCACGAATATGACCGGCGCATTGTTTAGAAACGCTGCCTCCGAGGCCTCAAGGATCTTTCGGTCGCAGCGAGTAGCGCCGGCGAGTCCTTTCGGGAAGGTGGATCCGTCTCTGAGAGGAGACATCCGGCGATTGCAGTCGAGGCCTTATTTCCGCGCGCCTCAGCTTCTCGGGAAAGCAAAGGAAACCGGAGTCTCTCCTCCTTCGTTAATCTCTGGTTTCTGTTCTTCGTCTTCCTCGTCTACGACGGCCTCTACGGCGTCGTTTGCGAAGGCGGGATTCATCGGATGGTATTTGGGTATGGTGAAATCGAGGCCGGTTTTGACCAAATCCGTCACGTCCTCGCTTATTTACATAGCCGCTGATCTGTCTTCACAGGTAAATTTCATGAATTTACATATTTTGAGTGTATGCAATTTTCTGAAAGATGGAAACGGTTATGATTTTACGGTTTTACCTGAAAAAAGTTGATTCCTTTTCGTTTACTTTAACCTGTATTTCGAAAGTTGTCATCACTCGAGATGGTTGTGATTCAAAAGTGCCATACAATAAGCAATTTGTGAGCTTCAGGGTAGAATGTGCAGCTCCAATTCAGAAGCTCTGAAGCTAATACGTACTAATCGATTGTATCTTTTATATATGTTTTGTTTTGATTTTCATGAAGTTGGTTTTGTTTTCTAGCTTGTGATAAAAACCGTCAAGAGTAGTAAAAGTGAGTGTATATTTAAAGGTGTGAGAGAGGAAGGAGGATTGTTTATAAATTACTATTTTCAATGGTTCAGAATCAGAGGCGTTAAGTTTGAATCTTGTCTGCAACACAGAGAGATTTGAGTGTTATCATGAGTGGATGGAGTTGAAGGTTTTATGTGGATGAAGCTGTTTCTATTCTCAGATACGTAGTTGGTTATAAGATTTCAGTTTGTTATTCTAACATATGGTAAAAGTTTATAGTGAAATGTATTTACATGCATGGTGCTTAGAGGTGTGAGATATGAGCAGCATTGTTTTTATATGCTAGGTTTCTTTGTACTTTTTATCGTAGTTATGCCTCGTGGCCTGTTGATTAATGTCATTACAATATTGGATCTTTTGACAGACAATTCCGCAAGCTTCGGTGGAGTCTTATGACTTGGTAAGAACAGCAAGGATGGCAGGATATGGGTTATTAATATTGGGTCCTACACTTCATTATTGGTTCAATCTCATGTCAAGACTCTTCCCAAAACGAGATTTGATTACAACGTTTAAGAAAATGGCCATGGGACAGACGGTCTATGGCCCTTGCATGAACGTTGTTTTCTTCTCACTGAATGCAGCCCTACAGGGTAAGCTAATATCCTTTTTTCAGCAACATCAGAAGTTATGGTTTTTTTTTTGCAATTTCTAGATTTTGTTGACCTGAAAATGTTTTGAATGATAGAGCAGTTGCATTCTTTCTTGAAATGGAGATTTATGTTAGATTTGATCTTAGGCTTGTCTTAGAGATATCAAAGTCTGAATTTCAGATTTTTGTTTTTCCTCAGGTGAAAACGGTTCAGAGATAGTTGCTAGATTGAAAAGGGACCTACTTCCCACGATGCTAAACGGTGTCATGTATTGGCCTATGTGTGATTTCATTACATTCAAGTTCTTCCCAGTTCATTTACAGGTACTTCCACTTCATTTCGGTCTGTCCTAACTGTGATTAAGCTAAATATAACACAATGCTTGTTTCTTTTTGTCTGCAGCCACTTGTGAGCAACTCGTTTTCGTATCTATGGACAATCTACATAACTTACATGGCAGGCCGCGCGAAACCAACTGCCATTACAGAATGAAACAGCTCTCCTGCAAAACCCTTTTTACACGCTCAGTTTTATCTACACGGAGAAGTCAATTATGTGATTCAGAAATGAAGCTTCTACTAAAAGAAGCAGAGCATTCTTCAACATTCTTTGTTTCCTCTCTGTAGATTTCAGAGAGTACAATGTAAAGAGTCTTGGAAGAACTATACATTTGGACATGTTATCATTATGTGTCCTGCACTCTTAGGTTTTTAGTGAAATGTAAGTTCTTAGCTTCTATCAACTTTGACCAGACGAATTATTCAGACCAAGTCTTTTCAGGAAGCAAAACTGATTTTTCTATTTTTGCTCTTCAATATTAATTTTTGTTGCATAAGAGAGCAAAACAGGGAAAAGAAAAAAATACACTGGACAGTAAAACAAATCAATCAGCTAAACAAATGGCGTTTAAATCTCACTCTACTAACATAACTTGTACAACACCAAGACCCAATCTTGTTCTCTTCAAAGCTACTTTTCTTTGGAGACTTGAAGCATCTCAACAACTTCTCATAACGGCTCGGCGCGAACCAAACCAGAAAACCTCTTCACAAACCGGAATTCCAGGAAAGAATCTCAGGTTCAGGTATAGTCCAAAGAGTCAAATCAAATGCTATGAAGTGTAAGTATAGTAGCTAAAACTACTGCGTTTCTGCTAAATCTCTTATTCCTCTAAAGCACGAGAACATATCTTCTCCATAAGTATAGGCCACTCTTCTCCAAGAATCTGAGGATTCAGCTCCATACCAGCACGAAACTCGGACATGGATACATATGAAAGCCTTCTTCTGCTTTGCTGTGGGTAATGAAAATTCATCTCTCTCACTTGTTCATTCCCACAACGAGCGTTAGCCAAACTCAGACAAGGCTCGATCAGCCTCCTCATAAACGCATCCAATCCGCTGTTGAGAAGACTAACAGAGTCCACAGAGATCTTAAGCCCTTCCATCTCCAATCTCCTCTCCAACCGATTCCTCAACGCTCTCGTATCAGGTAGCTCACCGTTTCTCTGGCAAGAACTCTCACGGTTGATTCTACTGCTACAGAGAGATACACTTGAAGCACACTTTCTGCTGAATCCACCTCTAAGATTCATGGAAACACCGAGCGGAGCAGTAACAGGGCTCCGGCTCTGCACACTAGGACTTGCCGCCATTTGTTCAACCTCTTCTCCTTCTTCCACAGACGCAACTTTCAACGGAGGTGGTCTACTCCCTAGAGAAATCACTTCGGTAGCGCTTTGTGCCTTGGACATCATCGACTCGTCGTTTGTTGTGGTTAGACTCTGAGGCTTCCCAAGTGGGCCAAGTGGGCTCGGCCGGTCTCTGAACTTCCTCGACCTGCACTTGCGAGTCGAAGGAGAGAATGCGGAATCCCCGTAAAGCGGCTGGATTTGATTCCCATTGCCGAATCTCGCAAAGTTCCCACCTTTCTTCGGATATCTCGACGGCGGAGACTTGGCGACACTAGCGTTCTTGACGATGGAACGTATTAGACGGTTGTGGAGAGGGATGTTTTGCCTACCGATGGTCTTGAGACAGAGCTTGTCAAACTCCGACTTGGTGATCCTCAGGGCGAAGAATCTTCCGAGCTGGTCGAAGTAACTCTCAGCTCTTTGGTGGCCGATTTCCCGGTAAATGAGGGATTTGATCTCCAATGTGGACCGGGAAGAGCCTTGATCGGATCCCATCTTCAACAATTTTCGCAGCTTAATTAAACCCAAACATTCCTTTTTTGAGCTAACACCAACATCCCAGATTGTGCTGAGAGTAGTTCTCTTCTCAACCTATAACCTAAATCCAGCAATTCTCAACACATACCTGAAAAAATCAGGATCAAAGATAATCAAAATTCGGAGAATTCGAAGTGAAGTAAATGAGATATTGAAAAGAAAGAAACAAAACAATCAAATTGCAAACTACGGTCTGTGGAATTGAAGTAGGGGAATCAGAATTAAGGAATTAAGTATCGCAATTTCGGGAAAACTGGAGGTAAGAGACTAACGAAGAGGAGATTGAGAGAGACAGAATTTGAAAGCAGCGAGAGAGGTGAATTCGCGAAGAAAACAGTCGGATCCCAAAAACGAAAGAGTGAAGAAGACAACAGAGATTGAAAATCGATAAGGGAAAGAGATGATTAGAGAAGAAACTTCACCCAGTAAAAGGGATCGATTTAGTCTCCTGAAAGGCTTCCCCTTTTTTGCCCTAAAGGCAAAAGGGATTTTTGTTTATATTTGGTCGTTTCGCTTCACTTCTGTTTTTTTTTTTTTTTTTTTGGGTTCTCCGGGTTCGTGTTCGTACGTGATTAAGTGAGAACTAAGAACCTGTTGTTGGACTTTTGGACAAACCCACACGTGCGAGTATTTTGAAGGAAAATAGCTTTTAACTTTCAAGTGTTGGTTCTCTGTATAGATTTTCACAATCCCATGTGTTTCACTTATTGAACTTAATAATTTCAAATGTTCCCAGTAATTGATTATATGATGTACTTGTTGGATTAGTTGATGATGATGGTAGATAATTTTGGTTAATTCAATGTTCGATTCAATTTCCAAATTAGTAAAATATGAAATCGACTGCAATTTCACTATGTAGTGAATACTGATTCTTGTTGGCGATGTCTCCAACAAGTTTACGCCCTGTTTAAACAGTGGTTCACGGTTTCATGAAGACATCTCAGATAAACAGAGCAATAAATCAAACTTTCATGATAAAGAGAAACACAGATCTTTTATGATAATCAAACTGTAGAACAAAGATTTGGATAAAGCTCAAATGTTTAACAGCTCAAAAGCATTGTCGAAATTGTAAGACATTTATAAATCCATTACATTATGAAAGTCTCAAAAGCTTTAAAAACCAGATGACTGCTCCTGCGTAAACAACATCGATCCTTAACGGTACTGCAAAGAGGAGAATAACATAAACAAAGAGGAATTAGTAATTGTTTCCTAAAGGAGTGAGAGAAAACACAAGCAATGATACTATGGAGAAAGAATAGCAATGATATATTACCTTGATGAAACCGATTTCCTTGGCGTTGCTGCGGAAGCACTGCCTGCAGCAGTTGAGACCGTACTTCCTGATCAGACCATGCGAGTTTCCGCACACACGGCTACACAAATTGCAAAGCTTACACAGTTAGATCCCTCTTATTAAACACAAGCTGTGTCACTAAAAATGTCAATTTTCTTCTATATTGCAGAGACTATCCAAAAATGTGAAACACAAGCTGTTTTATAAACAAGGTTACAAAGCTAGGTTATTGCTAAATCCGGGTATTAAAAACTGAACAAAACCCAATTGATCAAAAGCTTTAGCAAAATCCTTTCCCACGGAACCAATCAAAAACTGAGACTTTAGTGTCAGTCGTTCAAGCAAAAGTCTGGCTCTTTGTATAGATCTGAAATGTTTCCTTCTTAAAGGTATTAAACCAGATCAATATGGATTTGCTTCTAATAAGAGTTTGTTTTCTAATTTGCCAACAATAAAGCAAAGCTTTACAAGATCAATCAACACACCAACAACATTAATACAATGAACAACTCATCAGTACTAAAGAGATAAGTTTGAGGTACCCAATATCGAATCAAAGAGATCAGGTTCAGAAGAATTTTTGTCACAGTTAAATCATTCAGGATATACAAACACGATTCACAAAACATGCGAGATCCATAAACAAGAGAGAAGAAGAAGACGGCATTACCATGTGCGGGAACCAGGACCATACTTCTTGGGGTGAGAATTCCAGATATTGGCGAATCCCATGGTTTCAAAATGCTCAGAGCGAAAAAGCTAGAAGACGAGGGCGAACGGCGAGAAAACACTAAAACTCGGAAACCCTAAATCTGCTTGCACATAATCACTCTATTATAAATGCCAGTGGAACAAACAAAAAAACGCAATTCGATTAAAAATGGGCCGAATTGTATAGGCCCATTATGATATGTTTAAGAAAATTAAAGTAGCGATAGCCCATTATGACAGACATGCATGTTTGCCAAAAATGGGACTATAGACATAAGTTTTACACTAACGTAGTCCACGTACGTCGACATGAAGTGCAAAACTGATACTGGACTGGATTAAAAGTGTAGTGTCCATGCTTTATTGTGTCTACATCGGTAAACATACGTCGGGTTTTTCTTTTCCCGGCCAAAACAAGGCGTATGCAGTTTCTTACTTTCTTATGTGCAATGTGGCGCGATATGATTTTTTCTTTCTTTTCTTCTAGTTAAAGGCGATGGGTGTTTTTCAGTTAGAACAATACCAACAAAACAAGGTTTAAATTCAGAATCTCAAACTAAATAAAACTGCTATATGCCAATAATTGTTTCTGTCTATACCAATAATCACAATATTCACTCATAAAAGAGAAATATAACTATTTTTCAAAAAATGTTAAGAAAATTCTAAAGTTCAAGCAAAACCATATATGATGTGGTAAAGATTTCAGCATAGTTGTCAAATGATTTCTGATTGATATTCTATGCGATTACAAATCTTTTAAATTTCTAAAAAACTGTCAACGTATTAGAAGAATAAGAAGTTAAGAAAACGACAGAAAAATATATAATGAACAAGGAACAGTCACATACATCGGCCTTGGTGTCATATGATAACAATACAAAATAATAATATCTAGATTATAACTGTTACATATATATATACATGTATAGGAATTTATATAAGTCACCTAAATACCCGAAACCCGAAAATGGAAAATGAAAACGATTTTTCCGGTTCCCCATTTTGTAATTCGATTTATTTATTTTTTGAATTTTGATCATTCGATTAAAATACACATGATTTTCGGCTTAGCTGTTAACATCAAAAAAAATTAAACCATAGATATATTTAAAATACCAAAGTCAACCAATTTAATAGGTGATGAAAAGCCAAAGTCAATTGTAATTTAACAGGTAACAAAAACACAATGTCAAAATATAGAATTAAATGGTGAAGAATATCCAATGTTATACCATTTTTTTTTTGACAGATGCAGCTTTTTATGTATTTATTTTCAGAAGTAAATTTATAAAAAACAAATTATGTCGAGACCCAAATGAGGTGTTTACAAAAGACATTTAAAGGTATTTGGACATGAAAAAGATAGTATAATACTTGTGTCAAATGACTTACAAGCACAACGAGCAGTTTGACCGTAAAAAGTTACACGATAAAGTAGTGTAACCCTACAGACGCAAACATTCGTCAAAATTGCGACACGAAATAAGATAATAAAGCGTTGCAACTTAAATTTTATTTCTCAAAACCGACTTTTCTTTTGGAAGGTTTGCTACTTTTTGGAACCTTAATTTGAAATGGTAAGCTTTCGTTTGAGATTTATATTAAGAAAATTCATTACTTATTTTTAATATGGAAATTCATTACCTCACAAACACTATTTACCAGAGTTGAAATAAAATATTTGAAGAAAGGATATAAACAGCTTTCGAAGGTGGGACTAGACATGGACTGTTGGATCCGAGTTCCGGCCATTAAGCGAAACGGACAAAAACACTTGGATATATATATATATAAGTTGCAGATATATTAACTACATTATAAAAATTAATAGATCATATTCTTCTGCTCTTTGATTGAGCAAATTTTATTCTAATGCACAGCACAATCTTGTTGCCTTTTAGACTATTATTGTCGTACTTTTTTGGACTACATCAATCAATGCACCAAACGTCGAAGTTTAATGAAAAGAAAAAAGACGAATGCACGAGGCGGACGCAAACCGTAACAAACGTTTTAATATGATATTAAAGATTCTGATAATAATTGTATACTTAAAAGTATAATCAAATCAGGAAGCAATATAGAAAGAATAAGAAAATCTTTATTATTAGGTGGTCTTATAGTGTTAATAGTTTTATAGATAAACGAATAAAGACATTCTCTTCAACTACCAATCGTCAGCCAATCAAATTTAATTAAGATACATCAAACAAAGTGCCCTTTGTTAATGAGTTTGTACCTTTTACATGTATCTTTCTAAACAGAGATTTGGGAGCGTGTCAGTACATGTTATGTGTTTTTCAGCGCCACTTTTTTAAAACGGTAACTTCAGAGAGGAAAGAGTCGTCGTTTTTCTGAAATAAAACAGCGGTCTGTTTACTTACTTGAGTAATATTTTCACCCGATAATAAATTCCGATTATGGAACCAAATATCGAATCGAAGAGAAACAATGATGAACTATTCATCAGTTGTTTCATTTCCCCATTTCCAGTTAACATATGTGATTTTTGCGTTTATCGTTTTTCTAATATATGCGTGTGGTTTGCATCTACGACTATTGTTTAAGAGTCTAAACACATACGTTAGGAATTTAAAATGAATAAATGATGCTGAGGAATATCCGACACACGTTGCACCTTGATCTCTAATTGTGTTTGGTAGGATTCGTTTCAGTTACCTCATTATCGCAAATTATTGATTTTATATTTCAAACTTACAGATTTCATCGATGACATGACATTGACACGTATTAACTTCAACAAAATAGCGCTTATCTAATCTGTAGTAATAGGAAAAAAACTAAAATTAACCTTAATCTTGAGCATATATTTTGGATGTACGAAAGTTTACATTGTTAGAATTTGGATTAGGCTCCACAGCTCAATAAACATAGGCTGGCTATAGAGTTAAAGACGTAGACAAATTGGACCTACTAGATGAACTGCAAACAAGTTACGGCTTGGATCTAACGATGAACTCAGATATAAAATTAAAATATAAGATTGACCATACTTTATTCAAGAGAGATGGGATTAATTTAATCTAAATAATTGATCTGTATAACAGAAATTAAAAAAAATTCTTCAATATTGGAAAAGACAAAACTGTTAGATTGAGTTTTTATTTTCATTCCTCTATTCCATAAAAAAAATAGTACTAAATACAAAAAGAAATAACTAGGTCCTGAATTTACGAAATAGCGTCCATGTTAACTGAAACGACAATTTTATGAAGAATAAAAAGTGGTCGTTTGGCATTTTAAAAATCTTAAAGAGGCATCAAATTGCCAGCTATCTACCCAACAAAGAAATTATAAGAATAATTTATATAAATCATAATAATACTCGTCTGATTTGCGATAATGTATGGTCGTGCGTGCAAGGATTGCTTTTAAAAAAAAAAGTAATCTCCCAAAATAAACTTGGTAAATAGTTCGAGCAATATAATTTTAATGTAATCTAATCAGATCTGATTACCCAATTGGGTCTTTAGAGCTGTGCTCAGATTTTATTCTACTGAATATCCAGAATAAAATAGATAGGTTTGTGCAAACTATTGTAATGTGTATTGAATGATCATATTCGACATATATAGCTAGTTAGGTACACAGATGTTTAATGTTTATGAATCAATCTACGAAACTCTGTCAGTTTCTTCTTTATATCCGTTTTAGGGTTGTATTTCCTAACTCTCATTATACTTAAAAAAAAAAAAAAACTCTCAAGCATTCGCACATATGTTCGAATTTGTAAAATTAGGTTCCAAAATGTTTGACATTGTCTCTAAATATTTCGTAAAGCGCTGTCTTGCTTTAGCCGAAGGCACCTTGAATTGATTAAGTGCAATAGTAAGAAGCTGTATAGAATGAGTTCACATATAGTTTGTGGAATTTTAAAAGAAAAATAATATATTTGAACGAGCAAAATTAAAAACGGCAAAGATAATTCGCAAAGTGAGAGTGTATTGGAAGGTAAATTTTGCATGCTTTAAATCATAACGTCATAAAACAAGAAATGGAGGAAATGCTAATTTTTCGTTACTTTTTTCCGTATTTTCCTTATTATTTATCGTACATTATTAAGCTAAGTTAGGGTTCCCTGGTATTATCATCATCATAATACATTATCATGATACCCATCAAAAGGTGCTATATATTGCCATTACACAATAAACAAGAGATAGGCTTACATTCTTTTTTTAGTTTATTTTATTAAAGCAGGCTCTTGTCTTACATATTTTGTTATGTATGGTGCTTATGTTGACACTGGCTAATTCCCGATTGTGGCATTTAATTAGTTTCTCCTGCTCATGGTTTGTTCCTGTTTTCTTCATGTCGCGCAGGCTTGAAAGAATTGACTGAGTTCCATTAGGCTTCTTTTTAACTTTATTTGCTGCTATTTTTTTAATACCTTTTGATTAGTAAAAATAATTAATAATAATGATGCTTAAATTCTAAATTTTCAAACTCATAACGAAAGGTTAACTGAGAGAGAGAGTGTTTTTTTTTTTTTAATAGAAGAATGGTTTATGCTTATGGACTTTCCACGCGCACGATCTGCCGTCCAGTGGTTGACTCAACTTAACCAATTATTACATAATATTGTTAAATCATATAAACTCAATTTCATTTTTGTTTTCTCATTTAAAAAACATTATTATGTCACAAAAACTGTCATGTTCAACAACCAGGTCTCTGATTCTCCACTTCACATATCTCTCTCTTTCATTTTCGTTCTCCAACTCATAAACCCTTCTTTTTCTGCAAAGTTATTATCCATGGAACTTGGCAACTTAAGCAATTAAAGCTTTCGGTTTTGATGTAAATCATTAAAACAAAAAAAAAACAAATTACGTGTTTAAACTCACGAAATAAACTTGCCGGAACTAGAGTTTTTCACAGTATTAAATATCAAAAGTTATATTACAAAAAAACAAATTATGCATATGAGAGTAACATATTATACATATTTATTTATAACAACTAAAAATTTAGAATAACCCAAGTATTGTCATAATACACGGAACCATTTTCTCTCGTATTCTCTACTCTAATCCACCGTTGATTATTTCAAGGTTTGAGTTTTACATATTTTAATTACAGGCTACACGAGAACCATATTTCTTAAGGAGTAAGGACTAATTAAGGTCCACATAATATGGAGTACTTTGTAAAGTATTTTTTAAAGCATCACTGCATTAACATTTTAGCACACAATTTATTGATCAGTGCATATTCGGAGAACACAGCTGACAAAAAGTATATAAACTAGAAATCGTAAAAAGTGGAACATAGATAATGTACATATTATATATATATATTCGTAATTTAGGAGTAAGATTTTTTATAGATCATTTATGTAATCTAGAAGTCCTATAACACAGGCAACTACTTGCATAGTTGCATATATTTTTTCAGTTGATGAATGGGAAGTATATACAATAATTCTCTGCTCTTACCCAATTCTTTTTTCGATCATTTGTTAATTATGTAAATTAAAATTTTGATCAATAAGCTATATTATTATATAAACACGTATATTTTATCAATAGATAGGAATATTCTGAAAATGTGTAGAATATTATAGATAACAATTTCCTCATAAAATAAAATAAGTATTTGCTATGTCATGGCAGGTTGAACTGTGTAGTCGGTATGTCTATATTTTTGTCAAGAAAACTATATGTTTAATATAAGGGAAAATATTTTTTGGGTATGATATGTAGTAGGTTGTATTTAATCAATATACTAAACGTTAAACTCAATGGATCATCGCAATTAGCAAGCATATTAAGAGTCCCACGTAAATTAAGTGTCTCCAAGAGTTTAACGTCGTCCTATCTGTATATTTCGGACTGTTCGATTTGATTTTCAATTCATTCATCACCTCGAAAATTAGTTTGCGGAAAACTCGAATAGTCATAAGCGAGAAACGACAAAAATCTGTTAAAACTTAATTATGTTTTGAAGACCAAGTTGTATAGCCCACCATAATTAGCTGTCCATATCTAAGGGTATCCCAGACTTGGTTATTTATAAATTAATAGACGGATGATTGTCATTGGTGTCATAAGTGTTGACATTTATCCACTATCTCTCATGTTCTCTATATATACATCACAACTCCTCTCCATCATTCCCTCACTCACAAGACTTCCAACAAACAAAACTAACCAATCTTCTTAATTAAGATTAAGATCTTAATTAAGACGCTTAAGTTAATAACAAAAACAAAGAAAAGAAAAATGGAAGCCATGGGAGAATGGAGCAACAACCTCGGAGGAATGTACACCTATGCAACCGAAGAAGCCGATTTCATGAACCAGCTCCTCGCCTCCTACGACCATCCTGGCACCGGCTCATCCTCTGACACAACCGGTGGAGACCACCAAGGAGTGTATTGGAACCTTGGTTCACATCACAACCACCTTACCCTCATGCCTGAAGGTGCTAGATTCTGTTTCTCTCAGGAGAGCAGCAGCTACAGCGCTGGGAACAGCGGATACTACGCGGTGGTCCCACCCGCGGTTGAAGAGAACAACAATGGGACAATGGACTTTGGGATGGAAGATGTGACCATCAACACAAACTCTTACCTTGTTGGTGAGGAGACAAGTGAGTGTGACGTTGAGAAATACTCATCTGGAAAGAATGTTTTGCCCTTGGAAACTGTCATGGAGAACCACGATGATGAGGAGAGCATGATGCAGTCTGAGATCTCTGTGACTACTACTGATCATCAGAAATCTATAACCGGTTCCAAGAAGAGATCGCGTGTCACATCCGCTGATGTAAGCTTAGTTATCGGTTTTAATAGCTAACTTTCCCACCGTTTAGATATATGATACTAAGTAACATGGTTTATTGACTAATATTGGATAAACGGTTTTGCAATGGATTCAGAAAAACAAGAGAGCAAGAGCGGGTAAGAGAGGACAGAAGAGCATAGAGATGAGTGGTGATAACAACAACGGAGAAGAAGAGGAAGAAGGAGAGAAGGTGAAGAAAAGAAAGAATGGGGCAATGATGAGCAGACAGAACTCGAGCACCACTTTCTGTTCCGAGGAAGAATCAAATTGCGCTTCTCAAGACGGAGGAGGAGAAGATGATGAAGATGCCTCCAAGGCTCTCAACCTCAACGGCAAGACCAGGGCCAGTCGTGGTGCTGCCACCGACCCTCAAAGCCTTTACGCAAGGGTATTTCTTTTTCCTTTCTTCACGTCCAAGTTTCGGCTTTTGATCCATATATCTTTATGTTTGGGAAATATATCAAAAATGATTTTTACAAGTTAAAAAAAAAAGATGGAAATACTAAATCGGGATGTATCTTTGGTTGTACAGAAAAGAAGAGAAAGAATAAACGAGAGGCTAAGGATTTTGCAAAACCTCGTCCCTAATGGAACAAAGGTAAAAAAAAAAAAGCCATGCAAACGTTCAAAACATGCAGATGATATATAAATCTTTAGAATCAATTTATTTTACAAGAAATGATAATAAAAATTCTAAACATCTATAATTTCTTCAATACGTAACAGGTCGATATCAGTACAATGCTTGAGGAAGCCGTTCATTACGTCAAATTTTTGCAGCTCCAAATTAAGGTGCGGAAGGATTTTAATTTTATAAAAATTTACGTGTACATTCACATGTGTTAGATGAAAATGATCTAATTTAAAATTATAACTATAATTACGCAGTTATTAAGCTCTGATGATCTATGGATGTATGCGCCGATTGCTTTCAACGGAATGGACATTGGCCTCAACTCACCGAGATGATACAATTTTAGTTAATTTTTTTTTTCATATATATAACCAAAATTCAAAAATGTAATATTCTTTTTTCCTTTTTTTTTATATATTCCGCCTTCGGACGAGTTCGATTATAATTTCTCGTACGATGTTCAATATGAGAGAAATGGAGATTTTTTTATATCACATTCCAATTCTTAACTATATTCCATCTCTTCAATAAAATTTTGAGCCATTGTTTTATTTCTTTGGATGTTGATGTTTCTTGGTAGCGGACTCTTCTATATCATACAATCAGTTTTATCTGGCTATCATCATTAGGTACAATATACAACCCTATAATGAAATAAGCATATAATTCAATGTATATTTATCACCATTATTTAATGGTGCTGTCTTATCGATCATGACTGTATATATTGGAACAGAAAAGTACTTAACAAATGGAGCGATAAATGAAAGGAAACCGAAGTTTGGTAATAGTTGAATGTGCTAGTGCTAATAGCTCTACAAATTTGTTTTCTTCTTCAATAAAAATAGCTACAATCTTTCATTCAAATTAAAGAGCGGACTCCATTGAATTTTGTTTCTATTTAAATTTAGTGTACAACTTGTATTATGAAAATGGACATACGGCCTCATACTTAATTACTGTTGGAATTTATAGAAAACTTAATATCAGGAGTAATTTTTTTTTTTTATAAAAAGGCCTCTAATTAATTTTTAATATTTAACGCTAGTTTCATACCAAAGAAAATTACTATGTAAGATTTGTTACAGACCTACAGTAGCCAGGAAAATTGTTTTGCTATGAATAAAAATCTATTTTACAAAATTAGTTGTGATCTGCCCTGCCAAACCCAAATGCTAAAAAGATCGTTGCATGCGAGAGATGGTACGTACGAAGCATAAATTCTCTCTGATTTCTCTCCCGGCCGAGGAAGTATAATGACGTATCAAATTATTTATGGGCCCTTTTCAAAAAAAGATTAGTACCATGAGTTTTTCAGTTTTCGTGCCACACCAAATCTTATACGTCTATAATGATTAATGAAGCTCAAATTTTCAGGTCTAAGATCCATATCGAGACGTCCCAAGCAATGTAACCAAGCATGTATAATCTTCGATGTTCGAAATTAATTACCATCAGCTTAATTAAACTTACTTCCATGGCATATGTATATAGCCGTACTTCATGCGCTTTGTGTTTGATGAATGATCCAGCAAGGCAGCAACAAAGAGCGAACATGATAATCAATTTCAAGGAATACGTACCGTCGACTATCACAGATTATATTTTGGCATTCGTTTTCATTTTGTACGTTATTAACCACATATTACCTATTTGTTTGCATGCCAGTACAAGTAATGTCGCATATCATAATGAAATAGATACAATTTTCGTACCAAAGAAAGTTTCGCGGAATAACTAAAGTCGTCCAGACCAAAAATGAATAGTTTTACATACATAAAACTTCGGCCGCAACATGTTCATTCTCACACGTATTCATGAAAAAGACCAATTCATAGTTCATGTATAGTTTAATAATTTTACAATGGAATATTTCAGTAATGATTCTGCGCATTTGATTTTCCACTGTCGATCTTTTTTTTTTTTTTTTGTTTAAGTATAATTGTTCCCATGCAATAGCTGTGTTTAGACCATCTTCTTATATATAAAATAACAGTTATTCCTTGACAAGAGTTCGAATATATAATATCAAAGGGAATAAAATAAAATTTTCAGATTTTATATCCCATAGCCCAATACTTTTAAAAGTAACTAGAATAGCATATCCATATTTTCCCATCAGAATACTAATCAATCTTATTCATGGCAATCAATATCAGCGTTTTGATTTTTTTTCTCTACTTAATTCATATACTTAAGAAAAGTTACAACCGTTGTCAGAAAAAAAAGGTTACTACTATTTTCTTTCAACAATTACAACTGTTGTTTTACAACTTTTAAAAGTAACAACGAATTCATTTATAGCATCATACTTCAATTTGTTTCTTGTTCATAATTTGATGACATCATCAAAATTACAGTTCTGCAGCTTTATATAAATTCAAAAGTGATTATTTGAAATATTTAAAGCCTTAAATATAACAATTGTGTCATTTGTATTATTTTCAGTTTTAAAATAAAATAAAAACATTGCTTATAGATTTTTTTTTTGATATCTTTTTTTTTGAACCTTTTTTTTTTTTTGATATCTTGTTTCATCGAAACCACATATATTTAAATAAGAATAAAGTTCTCAAAAACAATACATTACTTAAGTTTATGGTCGTAAGATAAACATAACAGAACGATTGAAATATTTTTAAAGAAAGGTCAACTATATTATATTAGGTAGTCTAATTCTTTAGGACACATATTTACAAGAAGTTTAGTTATGTAAGTTGTAAAATTGTCTGTATCAGAAGAAGGTTGTAAAATTGACATGATAGTTTAAAGTAGAATTTGACTTTGGCTTTTGGTCACTTCCTAAATCCTAAACTATCGGCTGACTTAAGTTCATGGTGTATTTTTATAATTTTGTCAACAGGTTCATGGTATATGAATAAAATTTTATGGCCAGATTTGTAAATTTTGTAAATTTTGTAACTTTGTATTGATGTTGTTGATCTTTTGTTGAACCAAACGAGTACACTAAAGATCAACAACATCAATACAAAGTTACAAAATTTAGAGGTGCGATCACCTTAATGACTATAATGCTTATGCTCTAACCATTTTTAGTTCCAGACCCTGACTCGTTTTTTTTGGGGCCAGATTTGCTTTTGATTAAAATCACAAGGGGTTTGTTATTCATTGGGCTAAGGCCCGTTTTGCTATCATTTCACTGACTCGTTTGGTTCTAATTTTGTTTTGCTTGTTGGACTATCCCACTTTGAAAATAAATTTCATTAGATCAAATTGTTGGTTACAAGTACAAAATACTAGAGTCCAAGGATGTACCAATTTGTGTACTCGTATTAGTGCATCATAGTGGACTATTTTCGGATGACCCATGAAGCCCACACATTTTGAAGGATATCTCACTTTGTGTCACGTGAAGCCCACATTTTTATTTTCTGCAACTTGTCATTGGTGTACCGTGCACGTGAAACACCGGATTGCAGCTGCCTCGGTAACGACGCCGCACGGAGGCTTAACTGCCTCGTAACAAATCGCCGAACTGACTACTTTACGAGCAAGGGCATATACGTCATTTCCTATATCCTTCCCGCTTCAATTGCTTCACCATCGTCTCCAATTTTACTTCCCAAGAGTTCACAATCGCAGTCGCAGAAGAAGAGAATCCAGGCGAATAGAGAGAGACAGAGAAGATGGTGTTTAACGGAGACTACAGGATCGCTTTCGTTACCTGCTTCGTTGTTGCTCTCAGTGTCTACGTCGCGCTTTACGGCCTCGAATTTGACAACGGCATTTTCCGTATCCCCCGTTTAACCATAGATTCCCCGGAGAATCGTACCGCCGGCAAGGTTTCGGAGAAATCGCCCTTCGACGAGGATTACATGGCCATGTACATGTCTATCGCCGAAGATATCGATCGATCTTACTCCCTCCACTACGATTTCTACCGAGAATCTTGCCCTTCCGCCGAGAGAATCATCGCTAAAGGTATCAGAGAAACCTACAATTCCAGACCTAGCATAGCTCCGTCTCTCATCCGCCTCCTCTTTCACGATTGCTTTATCGAGGTCAGATTTCTCTCATTTGTTGCTTTCTCTTTCTCGTCTGTTCTGGTGATTTTCGATATCTTACTAGTACGAGAAATTGATGGAAGATTGTTCGTGAAACCTCAAATAATTCATTGCCTCGGGAGTGTTCTATTGTGATATCTCTGTTTCAATTTGAGTTCATCTCTCTCAATGGAATTCTGCTTGGTCAATAGATTCGAGGCTGTTTTAGAGTCCGGCTGTTTGTTTTCTTAATCATGGCTACGAATGTGAACAATCTATGTGTTTGATTCTCTGATTTGATGTTATCTGTATACTTTGTGAACGGAGTTTTATGTTTCCTCTAGCACCTCTTGCAAGTTGCTCATGTTGCGATTGGGGAATTGTGTTTGCCTACAGGGATGCGATGCATCAGTCCTTCTAGACGCAGATGATACTTTTACTTCTGAGAAAGAAGCGCCTCCGAACCAGTCCTTGAAAGGGTTTGATGTGATTGACGCCATTAAGTCTGAGTTAGAGAACGTCTGTCCCGGTGTTGTTTCCTGCGCTGACATTCTTGTCTTGGCTGCTAGAGAAGCCGTCCTTTTGGTAAATCTCCATACCTCTTATCTGGTCTGTCCATGTTAAGATCTCTGTAACGATGAACCATGTCTTTGGAATTCTCAGGCTGGTGGTCCATTTTATCCTCTGGAGACTGGGAGGAAGGATAGTGCATTGGCCTTCAAGGAAATGGCAGAACGAGAGCTTCCTCCACCACAGGCTAGCCTCTCGGTGATTCTTGCACGCTTTGCTTCCAGAGGTTTCAACGAGAGAGAAACCATTAGTTTATTCGGTAATCCTCACTTCTTGCTCTCAACATTCCTCACTTGTTCGACTTTGTGTAACTCTTTGTGACATGATTCTCTTCTTCTGATTGTTTCTAATGCAGGAGCACACAGCATAGGCATTACCCACTGTACGTTCTTTGAGGACCGGCTATACAACTTCTCGGGAACGGGGAAGCCTGATCCTGAGCTCAATACAGGGTTCCTCCAAGAACTGAAATCCAAATGCCCCTTCTCTGCCTCGGCTTCGTCTCCATCGCCATCCCCTGGCACTGGTTTACCTGAATCAGATAGTTCCAAGAGCTACGGTATGAGCTCGGCAAGCGGGGATGATAGAGTGATCGACTTGAGCTACAACAATGAAGGAGGTGAGGAAAATTTTGGAACACGCTACTACAGAAGACTGATGCAGAAGAAAGGGCTGATGTTTTCTGATCAGCAACTAACGGCCAGTGAAGAGACTGAGACATGGGTTCAAGCATACGCTTCTGATCCACAGCTTTTCCGCCGTGACTTTGCCATGTCCATGATGAAGCTATCAAGTTACCATGTCTTGACCGGTCCACTAGGTCAAGTCAGAACAACCTGCTCAAAAGTCCTACCAAGTAACTGATTTGATTCTCTCTTCACCACTTTAGTTTCTTCCTTTCTTTCTAGTTTACGTTTTGGTTCCCAAATTCCTTGACGAGATCAGAGTTTGAATGTACAGAAAGCTAAATGAGGCTTGTGGGTTTGATTGAGGACGCATTTTATATCTTCTGGATTCAACTATAAGTTTGGTTCAATCATTGTGAATATGAATATCCCATTACCATTTTTTTTTTTCTATAAGATCTTTGTTTGTTCTCTCTGGATTCAGTAACATTCACAGTCCACTGTGTTAGTGTTACTGGTCATTGAGGATCACTTTTTGCTGCATCTTGACTTTGCGTCTGGTGAAGTCAACCTAAACATGTGAACCTTAATCTCACTAGACGCAATGTGATGAGATTAGTCTTGTAGATAGGCCTTGTAATTTGGCCCATACATATATTTGTAGATAGGCCTTATAATTTGGCCCATACATATATTTGAAGCCCACCAATAACTAGGGTTTACACGTCATCTCTCCCTCGCCGCACATCTTTCGCCTTCGTCATCTACTCGCTTCCAGCTATAAATTAATAATGTGCGCCGTCACCGACGGAATTTAGGGTTCCCAAAATTTCTGAGTGTTTTATCGCTGATCGTGCTCGTCTTCTAGTTTTACGCTCTGAGAGCAATCGAAAATCATGGGGTTTGCCAATATTTGGAATTCTCATCCCAAGAAGTATGGTCCTGGTTCCCGCACATGGTAATGCCATCTTCTTCTTCACTCTCGTTTCAAGAAATTAAGCGACTTTCTTACGAACTATGGCGTTGTTACTTTACATCTAGAGTGTTATAGTTTATGTCGATGTACTTGCAAGCGAATCCATATGTAGATTTGGTTTAGATCCTTAGAGACAGAGATTCCCTTTATTCAAAATGGCCAAAACGTTAATGATTCATAACACCATAATGAGTTTTTCAATCCTTTTTTACTGTGTTCATTGTCAGCTATACTTTGTTTTTGTTAAACATTGTAAAAAATGCTCTTTTTTTTTATTAATGCATATAGAAGATGTTGGACGTGTTAAGTTTAACAGCTTGTCTTGTGTGGATATAGAAGATGTTTGTGTTAAGTTTAACAGCTTTCTGTTTGTCTTGTGTGGATATAAGAGGGATCTAACTGTATAAGCTTTGCATTTTGTTTGGATTTGTGTAGCCGTGTGTGCGGAAACTCGCATGGTCTGATCAGGAAGTATGGTCTCAACTGTTGCAGACAGTGCTTCCGTAGCAACGCCAAGGAAATCGGTTTCATCAAGGTAATTTGTTGATGATTGACTAATTGTGTCACGATGGGATTAACCCATTAATATTTTGTATCAGTCTTTAGGAAAGATGATTGATTCATTCTTATCTTGTTTTCCCCCTTCCTTTGCAGTACCGTTGAAGATCATCGATGTCGTTTACCTTGGAGCATTGTGACTTTTGTGTTTTGAAACTTTTGCAATTGTACTGGGTTTATTGAAAATGAACTATTTTGTTAAGGATGTTGAGCTATTGAATCTATTGGTTGCCTTGTTCTAGCCTAAATATGTTTGCTTAATTGATCAGAAGCATCCTTTAGTGATTATAATTGAGAACCGTTCGAATACCACTGGATGCATCATCTGATTAGTGAATGTTCGTTCTCTGTATTGACTCCTTATACATAGTCTAAATTTATTACAATATTCGCCTACTTCGGATTGTGACGTCTTTAGGTTCGGTCAGATTCTACTTAATTTTAAATCGTTTAGTAAGAAATTCTTAAATCATTTGGAGAGATGCTCTTCTAAAAATATTATATTATTATAATTTAATAAAATAATTAATTTTAATAATAAAAAGAAGTAAACTAATAATTGAATGACACATACTTAATTTTAACATATCCACTGCAATTCTTCTAGCCTGATATTCTTGATGGTATTTTTGGAACATAAGACACTGTGTTAACTTTTTATGGAGGATTGCACATAAAATATACAATGTGGTAACATTTATTGGATAAACTTTGCATAACGTTTGGATAAACTTTGCATAACGTTAGGATAAACTTTGCATAACGTTTTCTTGTCTTAGATTTTTTGTAGTATATATTTTACAAATGAAATGGTATTATTTTCTATTTTTGTCGTCTTTTTACTTTAATTAATTTAATATAGATAAAACAGAACATCTAATGTGTAAACCAATCACCAAGATTTCATATCTTTTTATAAACAAAAACTAATGGACATTTTTTTTCATATGAAATTATATCTACCGACTATTAGAATTATATTTGGCTCTATTTATAATTTTGATAAGTCTTTGAAAAAGTACCTTAAATATAATATGATGTTCCTCCCTATTAGTAGTTAATGGATAGTATCTTGAATTTTGTTTTCTAAAACTAGTATGATGAGAAGTTCGTTATAGTTAATATATATCAAGGCCATCAAGAATAGTAAAGCTTCTTTTGTTTTGACGTGGAATAGTTATAAAGTTTTTGTTTGTTCATCACGATTTCGGAATAGTAATGACTTTCACTATATATATATATTTACCGGGAAAGACACACAAGAGAAATAACTCATCATCATCGGTTTGTAAATTCGATTTCACAATGAAGCGTCTGCTGCTACTGCTTGCCCTTTGCAGCCTTTCTCTATCAAGTTGTAATCCGTCTTATCTCATTATTTTTCCTGTTTTTGTCAAGTAGAAAAATTAGTATAATGTTTTTGTATGAAAAAATTTGCAGGATTTGAATCAAAGTTCGTGCCGTATGATTATTCTGCAACCATAGAGGTACGCAATGCTCTGTAATAATTTGTGTGACTTCGGACATGTTCGTGATTCTTGTTGTCCTTATATTTTTTTGTTGGTGCAGTGTCTAGAGAAACCTATTAAGCCACAGTACAATGGAGGAATCATCGTAAACCCTGACCTACGAGATGGTCCACAAGCCTGGTCACCATTCGGAAACGCAAAAGTCGAATTCAGAGAAATTGGGAGGGATAATTTTGTTGTTGCACGAGAGAGGAAACAACCTTATGACAGCGTCTCACAAAAGGTTTATTTGGAAAAGGGACTTCTCTACACTTTCTCTGGTAAAAATAAATAAATTCTGATTTTGTGTGTTCTTGGATGCACACTCTTTACATTTTCTAAGCCCCTATAAGCATGCCGGTTTTATCTGGCTCGGTTTTTATCTTTTTTGAAGCATGGTTACAAGTGAACAAAGGAAAGGCTCCCGTGAAAGCCGTTTTCAAAAAGAACGGTGAATACAAGCTTGCCGGTTCGGTTGTTGCTGAGTCCAAATGTTGGTCCATGCTTAAAGGTGGTCTCACTGTTGATGAATCTGGTCCTGCCGAACTCTATTTCGAGGTATCTATATCATGGCCTCGATCGTTTTAAAATTTTGAAAATTTCATTTCCGATATTGACACAGTAGATGCCAGTTTTCGCATTCCGTGAGTTTATGTTTTACTGTTCATGTGTAGAGCGAGGACACAACGGTTGAGATTTGGGTGGATAGCGTCTCGCTGCAACCATTCACGCAAGAAGAGTGGAACACTCACCACGAGCTGAGCATTCAGAAGGAGAGAAAGAGAACCGTTAGAGTCAGAGCTGTAAATAGCAAAGGCGAGCCGATCCCAAAAGCAACCATATCCGTAGAACAGAGGAAACTCGGGTTCCCATTCGGGTGCGAGGTAGAAAAGAACATACTTGAGAGCCAAGCATACCAAAAATGGTTCACTCAAAGGTTCACAGTGACAACTTTCGCCAACGAGATGAAATGGTACAGCACCGAAGTAGCCAGAGGCAAAGAGGATTACTCGACCGCAGACGCGATGTTGAGATTCTTCAAGAAGCATGGGGTCGCTGTACGTGGCCACAATATTGTATGGAACGATCCAAAGTATCAACCTAATTGGCTGAATTCTCTCTCCGGTCGCGAGTTCTACAATGCAGTGAAACAAAGGGTTTTCTCTGTGGCTTCGCGATACAAAGGCCAGCTTGCGAGTTGGGACGTCGTGAATGAGAATCTCCATTTTAACTTCTTTGAGGATAAGATGGGTCCTAATGCTTCTTATAACATTTATAAGATGGCTCAGGCATTCGATCCAACGGCAACCAAGTTTATAAATGAATACAATACCTTGGAGGAACCGAGGGATTTAGATTCTTGTCCATCAAGGTATTTGCAAAAGCTTAGAGAGCTTAAATCTATTCGGGTTCGCGGAAACATATCGCTAGGGATCGGTCTCGAGTCTCATTTCAAGACTCCTAACATTCCCTATATGAGATCAGCTCTTGACACTCTTGGTGCCACCGGTTTGCCTATTTGGCTCACTGAGGTCGACGTCGAAGCTCCTCCAAATGTCCAGGTAACTCATACTCTTATAACGGTGGACACAAGTCATGTCCCACCTCCAAATGTTCATTTAGTTATAGGGCTTTGAGCACTTTAAATTGATGTTCCGTTTTCTTGCAGGCCAAGTATTTCGAGCAGGTCCTGAGGGAAGGACACGCACATCCGCAAGTGAAAGGAATGGTGATGTGGGCAGGTTACTCTCCAACAGGTTGCTACCGAATGTGCCTCACCGACGGAAAATTCAAGAACCTACCCACCGGAGAGGTGGTTGACAGACTTGTGCATGAATGGGGAGGTTTTCGCAGACAAACCAAAGGAGTCACTGATGCTGATGGATTCTTTGAAGCTTCACTCTTCCATGGTCACTACGATCTCAAGATTGCTCATCCTCTCACCAATTCAAAAGCTTCCCACAGTTTTAAGTTGACTTCTGATGATTCCTTAGTGAACACTCAACCCTCCTCTTTTGTCTTTCGTGTTTAAGAAGCCAACGAAACAACTACTTTAATTCATACTTGCGTAGTTTCATTCTTACTCAAGAATGGTGATTGGTAGCAGATAGTTTTGCTAATCATGAGCATCATTGGGTTGGGTTACCAATAATATTGGACTCCCTCTTTTGAGTTGTTGAAGTCTTTACTTTAGTTGCCTTGTTGTAGCCCAATCTTAATATAAAATTTTAACAATGATTTTTTACGATGTAAAACAATGATTTAACAATGATTTTACGATGTAAAACAATAATATTACATTGACATGGAATTAACCAATATATTGTAAGTCAGAACATGGCGATTACATCAAAGGAAGCAAAATCAAAAACCAAAACAAACAATAGGACCGGGCTTTTGTGGGTCTTAGGATTTACATGTGAGACATACATATCTAGTAACTTTATATTTTGGGACCGGGTGTATCTATTGACTATTGACTAGAATTTGTTATCTTTCCATATCTGGCCTCCTTGTAAAAGAAGAAGAACAGTCTTTACTTTCTATCAACGGTTAATGGATGATAAGAAGCGCAGTCTTACTTCCTACTTTTAATATGCAGTTTCTATCAACGGTTAATGGATGATTGATTTATTACTTATTTTCCCAAAAAAGTACGGTAATTATTTCATAAATGTAAAGTATAGTCAAAATTGTTTTTGTTGATTAACATTTATCAAGACCATGAACAAGCAGTATAAATATTATTGGAACCCCTTAATCATCTTATCATCATCAAGTGAATTCTTTAATTCCTCAATGAAGCTTCTCCTGCTGCTGCTTGCCTTCTGCAGCCTTTCGCTATCAAGTTATTCTCCCATCTTGTCTTCTCGTTTTACTATATTCTTGCTATTATGTTTAAATCTTTTATAAGGTTTCAGGCTCTTTTTTTTTCCCGCAGTATATAGTTTTCTTACATAGTACATAACTTATGAAAACGTTTGCAGGGTGTGAGGAACAGTCCGTACTTTATGATTACTCGGCAACGATAGAGGCAAGCAATTCTTTGTTCATTCAGACATGCTCGTTCGAAAGTTTTGTATCTAATAATATTTGTCTTGATGCAGTGTTTAGAGAACCCTAATAAACCACAGTACAATGGAGGGATCATCGTAAACCCTGACCTACAAAATGGTACACAAGGCTGGTCACAATTTGGAACCGCCAAAGTCGATTTCAGAGAATTTGGAGGCAATAGGTTTGTTGTTGCGCGAGAGAGGAATCAATCTAATGATAGCGTCTCACAGAAGGTTTATCTAGAAAAGGGACTTTTCTACACTTTCTCTGGTAAAAATAATAAAATAATTTTCCCTATTTGTGTTTCTTGGAGCACACTGTATATTTAGAATTTTCTAGGCATTGTGCCAATTATCATCTGATTTATTTGATTTTACTTGTTGTAGCTTGGTTACAAGTAAGCAACGGAAATGCTTCCGTGATGGCCGTTTTCAAGAAGAATGGTGAAGATAAGTATGCCGGTTCGGTTGTTGCTGAATCCAAATGCTGGTCCATGCTCAAGGGTGGTCTAACTGTTGATGAGTCTGGTCCTGCCGAGCTCTACTTTCAGGTATCTAGGTCTCGATTGTTTGTCTAGTTTCCGTTTGTTTTACAATTAATTGTTAATATATATTGAACTTTTAAAAAAATGTGAAATCAACGTGACCTAATGATGATTCGTGTTTCCCTGGTTGTGTGTAGAGCGAGGACACAACGGTTGAGATTTGGGTTGATAGCGTCTCACTTCAACCATTCGCCGAAAAAGAGTGGTACTCTCACCACGAGCAGAGCATTCAGAAGGCGAGGAAAGGAACCGTGAGGATCAGAGCGGTGAACAGCAAAGGCGAGCCAGTACCAAACGCAACCGTTTCCGTCGTACAGAACAGACTCGGATTCCCATTCGGGTGCGCGGTAGAGAAGAACATACTTGGGAATCAAGCATACCAGAACTGGTTCACTCAGAGGTTCACCGTGACAACTTTCGGGAACGAGATGAAATGGTACAGCAACGAAAGAATCAGAGGCAGGGAGGTTTACACGGACGCAGACGCGATGTTGAGATTCTTCAAGCAGCACGGGGTCGCTGTACGTGGCCACAACATTCTATGGGACGACCCTAAGTATCAACCTCAATGGGTGAATTCTCTGTCAAGTAACGATTTGTTCAACGCCATGAAGCGAAGGGTTTTCTCGGTGGTCTCGCGGTACAAAGGCCAGCTTGCGAGTTGGGACGTTGTGAATGAGAATCTCCATTTTAACTTCTTTGAGAGCAAGTTGGGTCCTAAAATCTCTTATAACATATTTGCGGAGGCCCATGCCAACGATCCAAGGACAACAATGTTTATGAATGAATTCAATACGTTAGAGCAACCAAAGGATTTGGCTTCTAGTCCAGCAAGGTATCTGCAGAAGCTTAGGGAGCTTCAATCTATCCGGGTTCGCGGAAACATTCCGTTAGGGATTGGTCTCGAGTCTCATTTCGGTACTCCTAACATTCCGTATATGAGATCAGCTCTTGATACTCTTGCTGCCACTGGTTTGCCTATTTGGCTCACTGAGGTCGACGTCGACGCTCCTGATAACGTCCGGGTAATTAACTATCTTATAAGGTCGACCAAAAACCCCGTCCCGTTCTGTTCCGTTATATGTCTGATGGCGTTCGGTTTTCTTGCAGGCCAAGTATTTCGAGCAGGTCCTAAGGGAAGGCCACGCGCATCCACAAGTGAAAGGAATGGTGACGTGGACAGGTTATTCTCCATCAGGTTGCTACCGGATGTGCCTCACTGATGGAAACTTCAAGAACCTACCCACCGGTGACGTTGTGGACAAGCTTCTGCGTGAATGGGGAGGGTTTCGTGGGCAAACCACGGGTGTAACTGATGCTGATGGATTCTTTGAAGCTTCACTCTTCCATGGTGATTATGATCTCAACATTGCTCATCCTATCATCAATTCAACAGCTAATCAAAGCTTTAACTTGACTTCTGTTGACCCTCAACCTTTTGTCTTTCCTGTAATTCTTAGCGAAAAGTAGTGGCAGCAAGTGTTTAAGCCTTGATTTCCTAGAGTTTAGGCCTTGAATATCATACATTTTTCAATCAATAATACTAATAAACTTCCAATAATTATTTCAGTTTTCTGGCCTTGAAAATCGTATATTTCGACCCAACAATAGTTGTTAGACGTTTGACCAGATGCATCGTTTATATTTTGGAAACTGATCAAACCACTACATATGGGCCACTCGTAGTAATAATGACTAAAGGTTTTTTTTTTTGTTCAAACCATTGTATTACATTAGAAACTAATTGAGTGCAATAGTTTCTCGAAGTGGGTCACATTTCATATTAATGGGCCTTATAATGGCTGGCCCAATAACCTGTAATTATGATGGCGCCACTGATTTCTTAGCTGTTGGTCAGCTTGAACTCGAGCGATTGCCGGTTTTCTTAGCTGTTGGTCAGGTTGAACTCAGTGAGCTCGACGAGCTTTTCATAATAATAAAAAAAAAAACTTTTCCATAAAACTCAATAAATCATTTCTGTCAAAAAGTTTCCATAAGAAAAAAATTCTTAATGAAGAGCTCGTTTTCCTCTATTTCTCCCTTTTCGAAGAGATCCATTTAACTAATATCTTTCATTGGGAGCGATTGTATGAAAGCTCTGCTTTGATGGTGAAGGCGTTATAGCAGTAGCATAGGAGCGTTACTTGACCAGACCATGTGTTGGTTTTGAGTTTCTCGAAGTTAGCCTTCTTATTGGAATCCCGCCAGGGGACTAGAGCTATCTTCTCAGGTGCAAGCTTCTCGGAACTCTTTCACATCTTATCGCATTATTTTTTGAAACAGATCTTATCGCATAATTCTTCAAACATTTATCTTTATTTGGCTGTAATCGTATTATACGTATAGGGTACTTCTCTATACGAATTTCACTCGGTTGAGTTTTATTGTAATACATTAATGGTTTGAACAAAATAAATAAAAAAACTTACACCAGTCGACGTCACACCACAGGTGCTTCGGCATAACTCCAAAAAATGTTTCACGGGGCAGCAATTTAAGCCACTCGTGATATCCGACCCCGTGCTCTCCTTTTTAGGTGGTGTTTTGTTGGGTAGAAATACAAACTACACGACCTAAAATTTCAACAGATTTTGTTAATAAAATAAAAAAAATCCTAAAACCAGATTTAATTGATAATTGATTTTTTTGAATTAAATGGATGATAAGTTTCATATTTGAAGAAAGCAATTAAAATTAAAGTATTGTAATCACGTCAATTTTCCTTACACGTTAGTTATTTGTACAAATGAATAAAATATTAGTTTTCTGAAAATAATTTGGTTCCAACGCACGACTTCGAATTATAATGAACAACTTTTTGATGCATAACAAAACAGCAAAATCTACAAGAGTTTTAAGATATTGTTTATTTTTTGTTTGCTTTTAGTTTTAGAATATGGTAGATTTTAAAACTCTTGTAAAACCTTAAAGGTAGTTTTATTGACCTTATTACTCTTTGTTACTTACGTATTCGTTTCAAAATGTGTAGTTTGAATAATACTGTATACTTTTCTAATATAAAAGCCTTTTATAAAAAAACAAGAAGATATATATATGAAGCCTTTTTCAGTATAAAAATACAGTAGAATCTGACAACGCCAAAGCTATAATTTTACTGAAAAGAGTTTTGTCGGGGTTTTAATTTTTATAGGAAGGAAGATGAAGAATATCAACAATGGCTTCTTCCTCTGCATGCTTCTTCTTCTCTTGTGTTTCGTGCATTCAGGGACTGCCATTGATCCTTTCTCCCATAGCAACTCTCTCAAAACAGAGGTAACAAAATTGATAAAGCATCAACACATCACACGAGTAATTTAAATTTTTGCAAACTCAAACTTTCTTAACATTGGTAAAATTTGGTGTATTTATAAAGTGTGTAATGAAGCCTCCGCGAAGCAGTGAAACACAAGGAATATTACTACCTAGCCGATCTGTTGAAGATGACTCTGATCAAGAGTGGGAGATAGATGGAAATGGAGGCATTAGAGAAATGGCACAGAGCATTCAGCTTCAGCAAGGAAACATTTACAGCTTCTCTGGTAATATATATAGACACATGCAACCCATTCGCTAGGTTAAATAATATAACACATCATCATTTCATGGTTTCTTGTCTAGTAAGTTAGTATTTCAAACCACAGATTCTTGTGTCAATTCTTTATAGCTGTCTCTTGTAGATGTGAACGGTTTTAGTTTAGAATTTCTGTTTTCAAAGAAAGAAAGAAAAAAGTAGTATAATCATTTAAAACATTTTGGAATATCTCCTTATAATACCTTCAGATTGGTTTCTTTCAGATGGTTTAACTTTGAATCAATTGTGTTTATCTTGATTGAATATCCATGGTTCCTGTTATTGGATTATACAGCGTGGGTGAAATTAAGAGAAGGAAACGACAAGAAAGTAGGAGTTGTGTTCAGGACAGAAAATGGAAGACTTGTTCATGGAGGTGAAGTTAGGGCAAAGCAGAGATGTTGGTCTTTGCTTAAAGGCGGAATTGTACCAGATGTTTCAGGCTTTGTAGATATATTCTTAAAGGTACAAGACTATACATGTGTTTTCATCGTATACATACGTATATGCTCTGTGTTAATGCAGACTTTATGCAAAAACAGAGTGAAGACAGAGAAGCAAAGATCTCTGCGAACAATGTGTCACTAAAAAAGTTTAGCAAAGTAGAATGGAGACTGAAACAAGACCAACTTATCGAAAAGGTAGCCACGTCTACATATCTAACGTCCATGATTCTAAATCCATTTGTGTGCTGTTTTTTTCCTCTTACATGACTCATGTTGATTGCAGATTAGGAAGAGCAAAGTGAGATTTGAAGTAACTTATCAGAACAAAACCGCTGTAAAAGGCGCACTTATATCCCTAGAACAAACTAAACCATCTTTCCTCTTAGGCTGCGCAATGAATTTCCGGATCTTACAAAGCGAAGGGTACAGAAAATGGTTTGCCTCCCGGTTCAAAATCACATCATTCACCAATGAGATGAAATGGTATGCAACGGAGAAAGCACGAGGTCAAGAGAACTACACGGTAGCTGATTCAATGCTGAAATTTGCGGAAGAGAATGGGATATTAGTTAGAGGTCATACAGTCTTATGGGACAACCCAAGAATGCAACCAAGTTGGGTGCAAAAGATAAAAGATCCTGAAGATGTGATGAATGTGACACTGAACCGGATAAATTCGGTTATGAAGAGATACAAAGGGAAGTTAACAGGGTGGGATGTGGTTAACGAGAATGTGCATTGGGATTACTTTGAGAAAATGCTTGGCGTAAACGCTTCATCAAGATTCTACAATCTTGCTTCTAAGCTGGATCCTGATGTGACATTGTTCGTAAATGAATACAACGCGATAGAAAACCCTAAAGAGGCTACCGTGACGCCGATTAAGGTGAAGAAGAAGATGGAGGAGATTCTTGCTTTCCCAGGAAACATGAACATCAATGGAGCCATTGGAGCTCAGGGTCACTTTAGTCCAACTCAGCCTAACTTAGCTTACATGAGATCTGCATTGGATACTTTAGGCTCACTAGGTTTGCCTATCTGGCTTACAGAGCTTGATATGCCTAAATGCCCTAATCAGGTCTGCCATCAACTACCTTGCCTTACAAGAAACCCATTTCTCCGTAATTATTCATTATCATAATCATAAAAGCTGTTTAACTAATTCGATTGCTCGGTAGGCGAAATATATGGAAGATGTTCTCAGGGAAGCATATTCGCATCCTGCGGTGAAAGGCATAATAATATTTGCTGGACCTGAGGTGTCTGGTTTCGACAAGCTGACACTTGCTGATAAAGACTTCAACAACACGGAAACAGGAGACGTCATTGACAAGTTTCTCAAGGAGTGGCAGCAAAACACTTCAGAGATTCGAAAGATTTTCACGGCGGACCCCGAGAACGAAGAGGAAGATGTCTCATTGTTGCACGGACATTACAATATGAATGTAAGTCATCCATGGATGAAGAATTTGTCCACCAGTTCTAGCTTGGAGGTAGCTACGGAGATGGGTCAGCGTCAGGTGGTTAGAGTTGTAATTAATGCTTGAAATAATAATCTTTAAGACTATTGTCTTAAGAAAGTCATTTACCATAAATCATAATGTCTTCTTCTTTAGGAGCTAGCTTCTTGAAGAAAGTAATGCCAACAATTTATAGACTACTGAACTTAATCACATTATACTAAAACAAAAAATTCCCGTAGATATGATTTAAAGTTCAAATTCATCGTAATTCAACAATCAATATAATATGCATCAAAACAATACATATTTCTCCATCTTCCATTTTTTTACTTGTGTAAGGTCTAGAAACAAAAATCTTTCATTCAAACAATTAATAAAAATGAAATCTTAGACAAACGGAAAAAAGTATTCGTCTAAAAAAGTTTTTCTTTTCTTACAAAGCGTATTAAAAAGTCGTCGTTTATTTTATATGCAAATTCACAACACACATATATATTTAACTCCTATCAACAGCTCTTGAAAAACACACAATGACACAACACAAACACACAAATGTGAAAGGAAGTGAAAAAAGCGAAGAGAACACATGGAGGACGGGAACATCGAAATCGGGGGAGCATAGCATAGGAATTATCAGCAATTGAAAAGAGAGGTAGGGATCAGATGGTGACACAGTTTTGCAAAAGCGTGTAGTTGGTCGAAGTGCGTGTTCTTGCACGTGCGCACATGTGTGAATTTGTTGAACCTTGCGTATTTCTTTTTTACGTGCACACGTGCCCACATGCATGCCTGATTTTGCTAGCTATTTACAAGTTTTTAGAACCCCTTAAAATGAAATCAATCAAAATTCCTTCTTTACTTCTTACTCTTTGTTTAATTTTATATATAGATATCTGAACTTACATAGTTAACCTGGCATGTGTCCTGTGTGTGCCAAAAACAGTGATACACTTCCAAAATATGTGAAAGTTTATATATACACACATTTCAATCTCCTATCTTATCGCTTTACATAACCATTTACTGACTAGTTTGCAAAGGATTTCAACCAAAAAAAGGTCATCGTTTTCGAACTATTCTAGAAATTAGTTTATAAATCAATGCTCTTTTCCAAAGCTTAATCATGCTATAATGATACCATTGTTAATGTTCAAATAAACAAAACAAAAAACAAATAAAACCAATATCTCGTTATCACAATATAGAGAGTGCCAAAAATACACGTGAAGGAACATAATTAGGAGAGATCTTTTTTCAACAAGAGTTACAGGAGAGAGATTTAGGTATTAGCTAGTACGAAACGGAATTTAAAAAACGGAAAACAAAATGTGAGGGCATGTGATATCATAAAAGCGTAGTCAATAGACCGCTCGGATCTTCTTTGTCACCACTTGTCTGTCGAAGTCGCTTTGACCCATGCACCATCTAATTACTCCCACTAATGTAACTTAATTAACATAAATACATATTCATCATAAACAATATAATATATGATCAACGGGGGCATTTACCTCTTCTAGGCTAGTTTGGAGATCGAATATACCACGTGGGAACTTTCTACTAATATGATATTTTATTATAAATGATGAATCAAGTTCAAGTATATTATGTACATATTGAGTTTTCACTCTAGTTTAGATTTACCTCGTTCGTTTATTACTTTATCTGTTTGTAGCTGAAATGTTCAAGGGTTTTGGATATATATCAAAAAAATGTCTGGATACAAACGCTGCATGTCATTCCCATGTTATATTCTGGCATTGTAAGAAAGAGTCACAAAAGTATAATGAAATTCTCTTCCAAAAGAAGTATATATAATAGAATTTAAATCGAGTTCACATGTTGCGAATTCGCAAAGAACGGTTGAGTGTGCCTAAATAACGCCGACTTATCCATTAACTTTTTTCTTTATAAACTTTTACTTCGTTCATATTTGCTCTAATAACGACAAAAATAAGAGCCAACATTATTAGACCAACCTATGTTTTGAAAAATTAATAGGCAGAGGAAGTAGGAGACGCTGATAATAAGTTAAAATAAGATATACTCCGTACCTATTGAAGATAAGACCAAAATTTGAAATAAATAAATTAAACAAAGAAATAGAAAGGAAATCACGTATGGTGAGATGCATGTGTATAAATTAAGTCGATTCTTCACCCACCGTTTTCCTCTAAATCGTCTCAACACAGCTGTTCAATACCAAGAGCCATACACAAAAAAAAATATATTCTTTTATAAAACAATAAAAAGAAGAAAATGTTGGGTTCGTCGGAATGGAGTAGTGGATGCGAGTCAGGATGGACTCTGTACTTAGACCACTCTGTTTCTTCTTCTCCAAGTCCTTCTTGTTTTCGAGACATCAATGGATTTGAAAACAGAAGAAGAAGCAAAGATTCATGGAACCAAAACTATGTGCATCGAGAAGAAGATGAAGGTGATGAAGAAGAAGACGATTTATCAATGATTTCAGATGCATCTTCTGGTCCAAGGAATGTTTCCGGGGGTGATTCTGTGAAAAAGATAAGCAGTGTTGGTCTCAAGAAACAGAGCCAAAGAGAAAAGAAAAGAAGAGATAATGAGAAAAAGAATTCTGTTCTTGATGATACTGCTAGTTCTCATGTAAGTCATTTCTACTCAAATAAATTTTGAAAAACCAAGTAATTTAGAGACCATTAGTTATCAACTCTTTTTTGGGTAGTCGATGCAACAAACCCTTAGCCACTGCATTACATCACACAGATGTCCAGGATTAGTTTGAGGTTACCAATTATTAAAAAAAAAAACTTTTTCATTACCTTTTGAATAAGGGTCTTGATTTTATCGTTTTTGTTTTTATATTTATTTGTAGATGTTGCAGAAAAGTGTTGGTGGTAATAAGATAGAGCAAACCTTTCCAGAAAGTACATTGGATTACTCGCAAGGCTTCTCAGCAACTCACTTTCAGGTTTCTCTCTCTTTCTCTCTGTGAGATCATTCTGTTGAGCACACGTGACTTGTCTCAAGAGTCTCATCGCTATATGTATTTGTGTGTTGAAACAATCAGGAAAAAGCAGCGTTCCGAGAGCATTATGGTTATTTGCATATGGAAACAAGATTCTAAATAACCAGTTAAGATATTATATATATAACAGCTATGTATAGATGTTGACTACTTGTTTACTCTTGCTTTATGAAGTATATAACCCATTCTGAATAAAACGTTTGAATTTAGCAGGTGGTTTTTTAGTGTGGGGGTCAAAAGGAAGAGCAGCAATTTTGGACATTTGTGAAGCTTTGTGTCCTTATGAAAGAAGGAAAGGAGTTTAAGCAAACAAACAATAAAAAGTGCTATTAAAACACACCCAAACATGAAGGCTCTAAAATCTCTAGTGGATTTGAATCTTTCATCTTTTGCTTTGTAATTTCGTCCAAGCGAGTTTTTCCTTGTAGCCGCCCTTATGTAAACTCTTGTGTTTTACAACACTTCAATTGCAATTTTCTTCTGTCATTAGCGTAACAAAGTGCCTAATTATAAGTTATTTTTCTTCTTCTAAGAAGCATTCCAAGAGCAATATGGAGTTTATCCATTCCGAACATTCTTTCGGTTGTTTTCTCAAATCTCGTATTTTCTTATCCTCCTCACCTTTTCCTGTATTCTCAATTTTTTTCCTTTTTCCAATTGTTTTAAGTTGTGAAAATGCAGATTGGATGGAAGTGTTAACTAGCCCAATCTTTAATGGGCCTGATTGTATTTGGTCCATCTGAGGTTAGCATACGGAAAATTGATTGATAAAACCAAACCAAACACTGAACTGGAAAATACAATATATATACCAAGTACAGTGCGTGAAAAGATAGGCGTTATCAGCTGCCGCATTTTGTTTCTCATCAACTATTTCTAATTTCTGTATTTGGAACATGAGTTCATGATAATCTAGGTTTTTAATATTTTTATTCGAAGTCTTTTTGTGCGTTAATCATGAGTAGGGTCGAATTATGCTTTAACTAGCCGTATTATTCTAGGCTCTAGATGGTTGTAAGTTGGAACTAATTTTTCTCTTCAATGAAGGTAGGTTTGGACTTTGGAGGCAGAATATATACTTTAAAAGTTTAATTAGATATAAATCATTTAAGTCACGCTTAGTATTTTTGTTGGGTCACGCTTATGTCGTGCCAAAAACAGAAAAATAAAAAGCCAGGCTTAAGTTTTTGCTTAACCATGACATGATCCATTCACAAAAGTAGAACAAAGGAAAACTACTGATACCCACTTAACATAATCTATGGAAGAGATTTAAAGACAATAAAAACACTTGATAATGCATAGTATGTGGTGTTATAAACAAAGTGTGTGTGTGAGTGTAAGTATAAATATTCCAGGTAGTTTTTGATTTTTTTTTTTTTTTTGAACATTATTTTGACATTTTGTTGATAAAACCAATTTTGTCTAAAATAACACGTTGATAATATTGTTTCTGTTTTTTTTTTTTCGTATAAAGCTTTTAGTTATGTGCGTTTTCCATCACTAGAATCGAATCATACTTTGACAGTATAGTATATTAGTATGATCTGACTGATCGATGATATCTCATAAAGATATGTCAAATAAAGGTTGTGGACACATAGACTTATATATAGGGAGATAATGATATAATATTTAACCTAATTTTCTAAAGTACTAGACTAAAATCCTTTTTTTTTGTTGTTAAAACTAGACTAAAATCCTTATGATAGCTTTTCGAGAATCTCAAAGCGCTATATTAAATAGTAGTCACGATGGTTGTAATTTTTTTTTGGTTATAACTCTTCCACGGGATCCTATAAATAGGGATACTTTAACTAGCCATGTCTTAAAAAAACAAAAAAATATGAAATCAGTAGTTACTTTTATGAGATTTGTTGACAGCTAAGGTTAAGTAGTTGGGAGAATCCAAAAATGTAGGTATTCACATTGATTTCACCTTGTAAAACCTAACATTATAAATCCTATGACTCATTATGTGATTTTGTTGTTGTACTCTGTTGGATTCTTTCTCTCACTTAAACCATAATTATGTCGACAGAAATGGAGGTCGTTAGTGTTCTTCAGTACCTTGACAACAAATCCATATTGGTCATTGGAGCTGCTGGGTTCTTAGCAAATAGTACTATCTCTCTCCCCCTCTTTCTTTTTCTATCCGTATATAGACAATATTGTTTGAAATTTATCTGAATATTGTTCAGAGAATAGATTGCATTATGCATGTGCACGTGCGACGTAGAGGTATTGAATTCTATGCATTGTAAATGCTTGTAGCGATCACGATTAAAGAAATCTTTTGTGGGTTTGATATAAGAAAAGCTTATGCGACCCATTTTAAACAAGAATATGTATATTTTCGTATTCGATATCAGGTGTTTTCTTCGTTAATAGATAAGTACTTTTCTACTATTAAATTAAATTAGCTCTTAATGAATTTTAATGCAGTTTTTGTGGAGAAGATATTGAGGGTGGCACCAAACGTGAAGAAACTCTATCTCCTTCTAAGAGCATCAAATGAAAAATCTGCTAGCCAGAGGTTTAACGACGAGGTTTGAGTCTTCATACTTAGTTGTTACTTGTTAGATATGTGTGGCTTTTGTGTTTTTCAATCACCCAATCAAGATTTAGAAAACTGTCATAGTTTTTTCTTCTTTTTGCTAGTTTTCCGCAGAAGCTAAAACTCTACTATTTTAGAAGTTAAAACCCTTACGTACAACATTTAAAAACTACAACGTCAGAAAATCTTCTGTTTTCTGCTTCAGTACTGCAATTCTGTAACCCTTGGTTTGGAACACCAAATATGTATGATAACAGAAACAATCAACAGAAAAGCTCCATCCTTTCATAACATTAATTACTGTGACGTGTGTATTTATCTAAATGTAAATTTTAACATAATCATAAATCCTGAAAAATTCCCTGAACAAAAAATTAGTCAAGAAAATCAAAATAATTTATTAGTTAAATACCACTAAATAATTAAGAATATTTATATAATGTATCCACTTGAGATTTTTCATAATTTTTTTTTTTTATGAATTGGTTAAAAATATTACTCCATTTAAGCTGAAACCATCTCTGTATATATTAAGTTCATAATAAAATTCTGAATAATATTTATTGATTATTAATAATTATAGTTAGATCGATTGATATAACTTCTAGGTGTTTACTATGCAGAATTTGGGGAAGGATTTATACAGGGTGGTGAAGGAGAAGTATGGTCCAAATCTAAAGCAATTTATATCGGAGAAAGTCACTGTTGTCAATGGGGACGCTTGCCTTGAGGATTTGGGTCTTCATGACTCCGACTTGGCCCTTGAAATGATCCATCAAGTTGATGCCATTGTTAATCTAGCTGCAATTACTAAGTTTGATGAAAGGTACTGATTTTAATATCTTAGCATGTTATTATTTATTTATTAATGAACTACTATGAGTTGAATATTATAAGTATGACAAAAAAAAAAAACTTATTCAACGACTGATTTTCGATCGGTTAAATTTTTACAGCTTAGCAATAAATTTTGATATATTGTGTAATCATTATGTTTTTTGTTGAACAAAGTGTATACTAATCATTATGTTATCAAATCCATTCAAAGCCAACAACATATTAATTAGCGACATCAACTAATAAACGGAGTATGTTTTATAATTATATACTGTAACACTAAATGAATGTAAATTAACTGCAGATACGATGTAGCATTTGGAATCAACACATTGGGTGCTCTCAATGTCTTGAACTTTGCCAAGAGATGTGCAAAGGTTAAGATCTTTGTTCATGTATCAACAGGTATATAGACAAAACTATGCTGTCAATGATTGCGTTTCTTAGTACAAGTGGTCGTCTCAACAATCTTTGAACTGAACATAAACTTCTAATCTATCCAGTTCCCTCATCTTAATTAGAAGGATCGGATCCAAACATATACGTAATTTTTCAGCTTTTGTGGCCTAGTTTCCAAAAAAGGTTGCTTTAGAAGAGTGTGAAACGATAAATAATAAAAGTTGTCACATCGAAAAGTAAATGGGATGGGACTATGGGAAATAGGACCATAGTGCAAACTAGCTTACGTTATCACAATTCTGAGATGCAACTACTATACCAAGTACCGACATTAAAGATATTTTTGGTTTCTTAAAACGAAAAAATCAACAGTAGTATTCGTTTAGAAAAAAAAAAAATTAAATCTAAAAGTTGATGTGAAAAGATGTAATAATTATAACACATTTGTAGTATTCTTTATTTCTCGGAACATTTCTTTTAGCAGTATACACAGATTAATGCAGATTCCAAAATGAATACCCCAACCTAACAAAAATTTATAATATATAGCTTACGTGTGCGGGGAAAAGTCAGGCTTGATAATGGAGACACCATACCGTATGGGTGAGACATTGAATGGAACCACAGGTCTAGACATCAACTATGAAAAGAAACTGGTTCAGGAGAAACTTGACCAACTCCAAGCCACTGGAGCCTCTCCTGAAACCATCAAACAATCCATGAAGGATCTCGGCCTCACCAGGTTATATACAATCCCTACCAACAGATATATATGGCTTTTTTTTTGGCAAATAAAAATGTCACAAATGTTAAACTTTGAAATGAGAATGGTTATAATTAAAAGATTAAAATAGGGCAAAGATGTACGGATGGCCAAACACATACGTTTTCACGAAGGCAATGGGAGAGATGATGTTAGGGGAAGCCAGGGAAAATATATCACTTGCGGTGCTTCGTCCTTCAATTATTACAAGCACATTCAAAGAACCATTCCCCGGTTGGACCGAGGGCATCAGGTTCGGTTATCAACTAAATGAAAGCTTTAGTTAGAAAATGAACAAATGATTCATATTAGTCTACTAGTCTTAGTCACTGAAATAATTACTCTTTAATGTGCAGGACCATTGATAGTTTAGCTGTTGGCTACGGCACAGGCAAACTCACATGCTTTCTTGGTGATCTTAATGCTATTTCCGATGTGGTACCTACTTTCTATAATTAGCAGTTCATCATATTTAATTAAATGTGATCAAGGTTTTTCACATTGTATATATATGTATATATATACTATAATCTACTATACTATACCCTTTCCTCCGTATTGAATTAAATGTGTACAAGGTTTTGTCATGCATCATCGTAACACTCTACATTTTTTTCCTACGTAATAAACTTTATTCATAGAAGTAACATTAGAACAATATTTTATAGGTATTTTTTTAGAGGGGTAAAATAGTTAAGTTTTCATCTACTAATTTTTGTTTAACAAAATTTATGGACCAGATGCCAGCAGATATGGTAGTGAACTCGATGCTAGTAGCAATGGCGGCTCAAGCCGGGAAACAAAAAGAGATTATTTATCATGTGGGTTCGTCGCTAAGAAATCCATTGAAGAATGAGAAATTTCCTAAATACGCCTACTGGTATTTCAGTACCAAACCATGGACTAACAAAGATGGGAAGCCGGTTCACGTAAAGACTCTTGAGATTCTGAGTACTATGTCTAGTTTCCACAGATATATGGCCATACACTACTCCATTCCTTTGAAGGTACTAATTAAAAAAACTTTGAGATTAATTTGAATAACAACCCGAAATGGGTTCCTAATTACATATACGATGATTCTTATTGGTTTAATTACTACAGGGACTTGAATTATTAAACATGCTGCTTTGCAAGTTGTTGGAGAAAAACTTTAGGGATTCTCATAGGACGTTAAATTTCATATTCCGGCTTGTTGATCTCTATAAGCCTTACCTCTTTTTCTATGGAATGTAAGTGCCTTTTTTGGTTTTCTAACTTGGTTCTTTTTTTCTTTCTTTCTTACCTGATATGGTTTGAGATGTTATAAGATTTCAAATTAAACGTATATATAAACATGCAGATTTGATGATACAAACACGGCAAAACTGCAAAGGATGCTGGTGAAAACAGGAGACGAAGCTCAGATGTTCTATTTTGATCCAAAGACTATCAATTGGGACGACTATTTTTTGAACACGCATGTTCCTGGGCTAGTTAAGTACGTTTTCAAATGAGATTCATCACTTGTGTGTGTGTAGTCTTTGTTTTATCGTGTTCCAACGAGTATAAATTATGTGAAACATATAATACTACTCGTCGATCCGTTATCATTCGTTCGTGTATTATGCTTTTAAAGTCTGTTTTTATTTCCAGCTTCCGCATTTGCATCTCTGTATGATGGAATCATGTATGTTTTCGATATGTATACAGTTTTATTTGACGTCTTGTATTTTCTATTATATCAGTTAACAGTTCATAGTTCCTAGTAAATGAAACAATTACTCTTTTTTAATCTCAATTCAATATTTTAAATTAAAGTAAATATTGTAGACATTCACAAAAATCATCAAGTTAACAAATCATGCCATAATATAATGAAGAACAAGTTTTTTTTTTATAACAAATCTATTTAATTGATGGGGATGCAATTTATTGATTGGGTATTAAAAAATAAAAAGGAAAAAATACACACCTGACCGGTGGAGTTAAATTTTTCTTACAAAACAAAAAAGAAAGGCGGTGGTCTGAATGTCTGATGCGTGACGAACGATGCCGTTTTCCGCCTCAATCTCATCGCCATCTTCTCTCGCGCTCCGAACTCGATCGCCTCTCTCCTTCTTCCTCTTCACTCCCAAAACCCTGATCTTCTCCAGAACCAGGATCCCTGATTTTCCTTCTTCCCTTTTTGCTTCCCGGCGACCCCGCAACGTACTATTCGATTTTTGTTTGTTTTGGGTTTAGTTGTGTATTCATGTGTACAAGCTTCAATTTTGTGAACTGTTTTCTGGGTTTTGAACAGGGGAGGGATGATTTCGTCGACGATACGCGGAGCTGGAACGGGAAGATCAGACCGGAGTATAGGTTCGATGAGGATTACGAAGGGGAAGAAGACGAAGACGATCAGGAGGAAGAAGATCGAAGCTTGGATCTGCTGCTCAGATTTGTCGAGAATGTCTTCAGGAAGGTTTCCAAGAGAGCAAGGAAAGCCGTCCGATCAATTTTGCCTGTTTCCATCTCTACCAAGCTCGTGAGTCTCGACTCTTCGATTAACATTGAGTTGATCCTTTCGAGTTAATTTACCCAAATCGAAAATCTTAGAGCGGCTCAATCTAATCTGTAAATTTTATCAAACATGCATCCTCTGATAGTTTCGTTCAAATGCAGGTGGGTTTCTCAGTGAACGGCGTACTTATACTTGCATTTTTGTGGATCTTGAAGGCCTTTCTCGAGGTAATATACTCTAAATCCACTCAACTATACAAATTTATATTAAAAAGAGGTTCTTTGCTCGAACACTGCCCATGTTGATCAGTTAACAAGAAGTGGATTGTTTTGTATCCCTATTACTGATTGCTGTACTTTCGAAATCGGATTCACTGACTACGGCAGAAGATTGTATCTATCATAAGTTTCAGTAGAGATGCTAGCATCAAGCTAAGAGTTGTTGCAGTGAATCCAGTTTTGTGGCAGATACAAACTCATGCTAAGAATGTCCAACTAAATTGAATATGATACTCAAAACTCAAATTAAGCACCACCTCTCTGTTAATAATTATACTCACCCATGAAAGAATGGATTTTTTTCATCACTTTACTCTCTCTTCTGTATTCTTTTTAGAAAACATTTTGACCTTGATCGATTGGTAGGCATGTGGATCAACCCGTATGCATATCTGCCTCAAGATAAAACTAAAAGAGACAGTGTGTTGTGTTACTTAGCTTTTATTGTTGGATTGGTTTTTTTTAATGTAATTTCCATGGTGTAACGCAGGTGGCTTGCACGCTTGGAACTATAGTATTTACGAGCATTCTATTTATACGGGGGCTATGGGCCGGTGTAGCATACGTACAAGAAAGCCGCAACAACAGGATCAATGAACTCGGTGATGACCCGCGTGCATGGAACGGGGTGCAACCAGTTTAGGTTCTTCCTAAGGCAATAAAACCACAGCTGAGTTCATAATCAGAAAGGAGTTACAGTGGACGTTGTTCTTTGTCAATGTCTGATGATTTGGTAAGTAAAAAAAAAAGATAATGTAACAACATTTGTAGCATTCACTAAGTCAGCTATGGAAGCTGGTGTGTAGCTAAACCGGGAATTAAGTTTTCTAAATAAACAAACAACATACTCATTTACCTTTCTAGTTTTTGTACATAAATCAGAATTTGAATGACTTATGTACTGAAGAGCTTTAAGGTTCTGCCAAGGGCAACAGAAAACACTAGTTTGGTTTCACTGTAATCATTACTTTTTCAGCTTTGGTTTAATAAATTTGGTTCAGATTCAGCTCCCAAGACTACAAATCTTTGCCTTCTATTGGATTTGTTGTTAGCTTACTCTTTTTTTGTTGTTAACCTTGGATAAACCCATTTGTTCATGAATGAAATTTGAACGAGAGATTTGATTAGGGAGAAACGATAGAGATAACTCTAAATAACTTTTTTGTTATTTACTTAATATATATTTATATTGACGATAGAAAGAAGAGAAGTTTATAAGGTTGATATTAAAAGCGGATATGTTCTAATGCACTTGCAAATTACAATACGTACATAGGCATATATTTTGCACCTAGAACAAAAACCAACTAAACACCCACAAAAGGCTAAAAGTCGACAATAATGCCAAAAGATTAGTGGGTGTATGAAATTCCACTAAGGTGCATTTGAAGTTTGATGTTCTTATGTACCTTTTATTCCCACTTAGTGGTACACTTATATTCACAGAGACAACGCAAATGCATATAAATTATATATGTTCACCATGTATAAAGTTTGCCTACATACATATACATATTCTATTTCCAAAATAATAAGCAAAAACGTTTTTTAATAAAAGAAATATACGCATCGGTTTGTAAGAAGTTAAAAGAAATATATATGTCGGGCAGCATCACCTACTTAGTATTTAGCAAGTTTAGGATTAGGATCCCCCAAATTTGGACCTTAAAAAATAACTTAGAACAGGATTAGGATAATTTTCCTCTCTCTCTCTCTTCTTTTGCTCTATAATAAAAACAAACAGTGATAAAAAAACCGAAAAAAATCATAACACAAACGAGTACATGCATGCCTGATATACTTGAAAATTGAAATTTAAGGGACTGTTTGCCGCCACTCAAATCCATCAGCGTGCGAACCAATCGTCGAAACTAATAGGAATCAGATATATTATGCTCACCAAACTCAACATAAACCATTTTGGATCAATGTTTAGTTATGTTTGGAATCGTCATTGTTACCACTTATAGTTTAATTAATTTAAAAGTTTTGGATTTATTTGATCTTTTTTGGATTTAGAGATATCTTACACCTTGGATGAATTAAATATCTCATATTGCATGTAAAAAAACAATCATTTTTTCACACACGTATAGCAACACATTTGAATCCAAATCTGTTAGGTGAAACAACACTCATCTTGCGAATAAGCATAGCTTCCCTTGGTTCATTTCCATGTGACGTTGTGTCCTATATATTTCTACAGAGAAGCTTTCTGTTTTTTTTTTTTCTTTTTCTCATATTGACGTATACTAATATTCCATTCACCAAAAATAGAGAACCAGAGTACTCTTATATATATAGAAGTCAACTGTCAGGTGTAGAATAAAACCATATAAAACGATCAATCGCATAAGAAGTTGACGGCACATGATATTCTCGCAAACATGAACATGTATGTCCGACCAGAGAGATAAGTCAACTCGGTATATGATTCTACTATTAGTTAATCGTCAGCACTGATAAGTCATGTCAATAATGTATATATATATAACATCAAGTATCATATTCTATCTGACTATATGCAGATAAATTGTAGAATCATATGTTTGACGCCTCAATAGCAAAACCAAAGAAAAAAATTGGGATACATGATCCAATCGAAATTCTACTAACAAAATATCTGTTTATGAAGCACTCATAAGTTGTACTTTGATAATCCGAGTAGAAATAAATGATGAGAGGTCATATCAATAGAGTTAGAGTTGAAATATGTCTGCAAACTAACGATGATGTATCCAAAAAATTAGTCTTACTTAAATCAATAGAAGTTTTTTTTTCTTTACTACTCATGATTAGAGTAAATGTTAGTTTTTATTTATCTAAAATTAGAGGAAGAGATTCTGATGAAAGAAACAAGAGACTCTCTCTTCTGCCTAACAAAAAGAGCATATTCCACTGCATGGTGTTTATCGTTTATATATATTCCTATAAAGTAAATTACATTTATCAATAGATTATTATATACACCATATGTTAAAATATTGATATAAGTTGGAAAATCAATAGACTTAACCCCTACTATTTTATCATTTTAAATTGGATGTGATCTAAGACCTCATCCACCAGAAAAGATCTTCAAAGCTATCTGTTAAGACATTCCGAAACAGATTTGTTTTTTCATTTCATAAAATATTAATTCTCTTAACTTTTTGTGTTTAACAATAAAGAAATCGACAGATATACCAAAGTTTTTAAATAACTTCAGTAGTGGGCTGGGCACGTAAGACGATGGTAGGAGTACTATATATCAAATATGCATGCGCGTGCGGACGAACATAGATACGGACGAGAACTTAGACTAATAATATAAGAAATCTCAATTAATCGAAGGACCCTAGAACCTTAACAGCCTTCAATTCTAGGATTGACGCCTGCTCAAGAGAACTTACACTAATAATATAAGAAAGACTCAATACACTCATTATGAATTAACTGACATATATATGGGTTATATAGATCACGATGTTAACTATCATCATCGCAGTTTCAAATTCTGCAACCCAAACAAAAAAACTGTAGCCTATGTCGAGAAGGGGTGTGTCATTGTGTCAAGGTTGAAAATGCATTTTTATAAGAAATAAGAATTTGTTAATATGTTTTGTATTAATATTACATCTTATTATTGTCTCTTACCATTAATATAAGTATATTGTTTTTTTTTTAATCGTTTTGTGTTTAGAGATCGATGTGTCATATTAATCGTCTATAATACGTATACTACTATACTGTATGAAAATACTTTATTTTGTTGTTGTTGATGTTGATGTAGAGACTACGTGGAATTCATCGACACAAAATTAGGTGAATTTAAGAAAAAATAAAATACAAAAGTTATAAAGGAGAATACGTGGAAACTCTAGCAGCTGCAGTGTATTGTGTGAATTTGTGATTTTGAGGAAAACAAAAAATATAAGTGAAAATAAAAAAAAACCAGCAAAGCTTTTGGGAACGACCATTTCACTATAACATATCTTATTTTTTATTTTTTTGGTTTTCTGCAATTCTCTCTGAATCTCTCTCTTCTTCTCTATAAATATTTGATTTCCGAGCAATCTCTCCCTCAACATTCTCCCATCTCACTTTTCTGTCTGATTTCTCTCGCTTCGGAAACTTTTGACATTTACACGTATAGTGTCGCCGTGTCGGAACACATCTCTCTCGCTCTCTTTCTCGTTTATCGCAGCGAGAGACTGTAGGGGGCAGTGCCAATTCCCACCACTCGCGTGTGTAAGCGGAGATAGAATCTTCGAGGGATCTTTCAAAGAATCTTCCTTTCTTCTTCTTTATTACCCCTTCTCCATTAATGTTTGGGACTCTTGCTTCTGGCGAAATCGAAACTCCCAGATTGAGGCGTAATTTGGGGATTACGTGCAATTTAGGGTTTTCCTGCGGTGGATTTGAAGACCTGGGTATGAGATTCGAAGGGGAAAACACGGTGCCAAAGGGGGGTGACGGTGACGGTGACGGTGACGGTGACGGAGACGGAGAAGTGGTGACTGAAACGGCGCCGTTTCAGATTCAACAACCGTTTCAGCAGCAGGTGCAGAAACTCGTTGTGGGCTACGCTCTGACTTCCAAGAAGAAGAAGAGTTTCTTGCAGCCCAAGCTTGAGGTCCTAGCTAGGTAATCAAATACAACCCAAATGCTTCCCAAGTCTTTCTCTTTGCTATCTACTTCTACATCCATAGTTGCCAAATTTGTGTAACAATCATTGATGTGCCATTTCGTTTTTTTTTTCCTGAGACGACTGTTCTTTTGTTGGCGTTTCAACAGAACCGACAATTTCCTTCCTACTTTCAAGAGGATATTTAGGACTTTGACATTTTCCCCAGATTTGGTTCTTGTTTCCTTACTCTTGTTTTGGTAGCAATGTTTGGTTCGCCAGATTCTACTGTAGAGGACCATTGCCACTTGCCATGTCTTGTCATTTGCCAGGTTTTGTCCTTTATTGAGTCTCTGCTTAGACTTGCACTAGTATACTTATGATACCAGGAACCTTGATTCTGTGGGAATATTCCTTTGTATAAAATCCTTTTGGATTAGTCTCTGTTGAGGTTTGACTTTAGCTTTTAAAAAAAAAAAATACTTGGTGTTTTGCTTTTTTCTCTTGCTTGGAAATCTTCTTCAGCCACATGGGTGTTTAAGTTAAAACAATGACTGGCTCTACTTAAAAATATCATGTTCTAGAATCTCTCAGATACGGATTTTGTATATTTCAGGGAGGTCTGGTCTCTAATCTAATTAACCTAGAGCTTTCAATATGTTTCATTTTTTCGAGCAGAGTTTTGAAGAAAGCGCTAACAGTACTAATTTTGTGTCTATTTTAGGAGAAAAGGCATTTGCTTTGTCGCTATCGATTTGAACCGTCCGCTTTCTGAACAAGGCCCATTTGATGTCGTTTTGCATAAGGTTTGTGGGAACTAAGAATGCTTTCATCTGAACATTTTTTTGGTTTTCTATCTGTGTTTCTGCTGGAAATCTAATGAATTCTATGATTGTGCCGCCCTTGCAGTTGCTGGGAAAAGAGTGGCAAGAGGTTATTGAGGTTCGGAAAATTGCACTTAGCTCAGTATTAACCCATGAGTCATATTTGATAGAGCATTTTGTTCTTCTCTTTGCGGAAATGATCCATTTCGTGAGCATAGTGTCGTCAAACTCAATAACTTTTTTTGCTTAAACTTGTTTGTAGGAGTATCAGCAAAAACACCCAGAAGTGACTGTACTTGATCCTCCAGGTGCAATAAAGCGTATATATAATCGACAATCTATGCTTCAGGGTATGGCAGACTTAAATCTGTCAGATCGCAGTGGTAACAATCCTCACAAGCTCTTTTGAGATTTGAATGTCAAGAACTTTCTCAAAGTTTCTCTATAAGTGATCTTTGCTTTTGATTTAAACCCTTGTAGGCAGCATTTTTGTTCCAAAGCAAATGGTTGTCTTGAAAGATTCAGGATCTAGTGCCGATAAAGTTGCGGAAGCTGGTCTTAAATTTCCACTAGGTCCGTACACATTTGTATATATATAGAATGATGGATAGAATTGGTTCAAACTTACTTCATTCAACTTTGTCCCAGTTGCAAAGCCACTCTGGATCGATGGAACTGCAAAGTCACATCAATTGTTCCTAGCTTATGACAGGCGCTCGCTTGCACAACTTGATCCGCCTTTGGTCCTGCAAGAGTTTGTTAATCATGGTAATGGAGGTTTTACGTTACACTGAGTATGCAATTGTCCCATGTATATATATGAAAAAGAAAACCGAATGCATCTTTATTTCCTTGTGTGTTTTGTTGCTGCCCTGAAGGTGGAGTTCTGTTCAAGGTTTTTGTGGTGGGTGATGTAATAAAAGTGGTGAGACGGTTTTCTCTACCAAATGTGAGTAATTGTGAAAAGGGCAAAGGTGATGGAGTCTTCCAGTTCCCAAGGGTTTCATCAGCTGCTGCTTCAGCTGATAACGCAGACTTGGACCCTCGTGTTGCTGAGCTTCCTCCAAAGCCTTTCCTCGAGGCCCTTGTGAAAGAGCTACGAAGCTTATTGGTACTAATTATTATTTTTCTGTTTTCCCCTTGCAAGTCTGTTTTCTTTTAATCTTTCTGTTTTTTTTTTTTAAAACTTGTTGCTGCTTTCTTTTGAATAGGGACTTCGGCTTTTCAACATGGACATGATCAGGGAACATGGGAGCAAAAACGTGTTTTATGTTATTGACATCAATTATTTTCCTGGCAAGTGGTTTTTGTGTAGTTTGAATATGGTTTTTTTTTTTCTCAGAGAAGAAGATACATGAACGCAAGTCTTTGAAACTCCATTTGCAGGTTACGGAAAGATGCCAGATTACGAGCAAGTTTTTGTAGATTTCTTCCACAATCTGGCGCAAGCCAAAATTAAGAAGAGACATTGTAAATGAAAAATTTGGGAGGTAATCTCAGATGTTCTAAAGGAAAGGGTTTTTAAACTGATGTAAGAGCCGTGGGAAAAGAATAATAATGACTAATTATGGATTTGTACAGAATTAAGCTCTCCCTTGTTGGAAGCTATATCAGATAAACAAGTTTTGATTAGCTATTTTGAGTTAAAATAAAAAGTTTTTGAGAAGTTGCTGTCGTTACTCATTTCTTCAAACAATCCACAATCAAAAAAAGTCTCATTTTGACCAATTTCGGTTGGTTTACCAAACCAATTCAATTCAAATCGAAGGAAGTGTGGTTCGATCAAATTATATATGTTCAACGTTTGCTCTCGTCTCTGAAAACGCAATCCCTTAAACCTTTGTCCTCTCTCTTGGCTACTCTCTAGTCTCATCAATGTCTCTCCTCCTGCGAACTTTGCCTCTTCGACCTGCTTCGTTTTCTTCTCTTTTCCTCTCCGCCACCGCCATATCAGCCTCTAACGCCGCCGCTATCTTCTTCGTACCCAAACGGAGAAACCCACTTCCCGGAACCCGAAGAACCTTCTCCAATTCCGTAGCCGAGGCTGCCTCCGGCGACGCCGTAGTGAAGCCGGTTACATCCCCTCCGTCTGTTCTTCGGTGGGTATCGCGCTCAGAGCTATGCGGCGAATTATCAGTCGACGATGTTGGTAAAAGGGTCCACCTTTGCGGGTGGGTCGCCCTTCACCGAGTCCATGGAGGCCTCACTTTCCTTAATCTTAGAGATCATACCGGCATTGTCCAGGTTCTCTATTTCACCTAATGTTTTTTTTTTTCCCGTTATTGCCGTTAAGTGTTAGGTAACAGTAGATTGTTATTTAGAAATGTCTCCTGAACAATGCACTCATTACTCAACGTTTGGGATTGAATCTGAGTAAAAGGAACAATTAAGTAGTGTTTAAATCAATCCAATTCCTTGATTTGGCTTATTTTTAGCTGTGTTGGTTTCTCTGGTCCGAAATGATTATCCTTGATTGAGACCTATTCAGCTCTTTTACCCGGTTTGTGTCACGCCAAGATGGATATTTGAGGAGTGTATGCTTCGTTAATGTCTGAAAAGATTTTATAATATTAGGTTAGGACTCTTCCGGATGAGTTTCCTGAGGCGCATGGTTTGATCAATGACATGAGGCTTGAGTACGTTGTTTCGGTGGAAGGTACTGTTCGCAGTAGGCCAAATGAGTCCGTCAACAAGAAAATGAAAACTGGAGTCGTAGAGGTATATATGCCTTCACTTCTCATTCAGCTCAGATGCATGTATATTATATGCTAATATATGTTTTGGTTTTCTCGAAAGTTGATGCCGGGTGCTATGTTGCATTAGGTAGTTGCAGAGCATGTTGAAATATTGAATCCTGTGAGGTCAAAGCTTCCCTTCCTAGTTACTACTTCAGACGAGACAAAAGATTCAATCAAAGAAGAAATTCGCTTAAGGTGAAGTATGAGCTGTACGATTCTATCTTTCATGGTTGGTCTTTTTGTATTGAATCTATAAATGCTTATTGATAATGCTTTGGCTTTTTTTTTGGGTATGATGTTAGATTTCGATGTCTTGATCTACGGCGTCAGCAAATGAAGAATAATATTGTTCTTCGCCATAATGTGGTGAAGCTGATTAGGAGGTATTTAGAAGACAGACATGGGTTCATTGAGGTGTTTCCTTCTCTATTTGATTAAACTTTTTGTTTGTTGTGGTAAATTTTCAGTTTCGGTACTTACGCAGTTTTCTCATCTTGATTTGTTGTTTGTGTTAGATTGAAACTCCAATACTCTCTAGATCTACTCCAGAAGGCGCACGAGATTATCTGGTTCCCTCAAGAATTCAGGTGCATTTACTTACTTTCATCTTGATTTATTTCCTATCAGAGAATTAAGTTCCCCTCAAGTACTGTATAAGCTTTAATCATAGTTTATAGATCTGATTATATCAAATGTCTCTTTCGAAGTCAGGAACATTCTATGCTTTGCCACAAAGTCCGCAGCTCTTCAAACAAATGTTAATGGTCTCTGGTTTTGACAAATATTACCAGATAGCAAGGTATGTATATGATCTTTGGTTCAGCATAAGACTCCCTGACATCAGTTGATCATCTCTTTCATTTGCCACCAAAAATAGGACGCATTATGCCAATTGTTTCCCTCAGTTGCGTTTTATTTCCGTATTATCAGGTGTTTTAGAGATGAAGATCTAAGAGCTGATAGGCAGCCTGAATTCACTCAGCTTGATATGGAAATGGCTTTCATGCCTATGGAAGACATGCTAAAGCTGAATGAAGATCTTATTCGTAAGGTTAGGGTTCAATTGAACTATTCTTATGGCTTTTATCCTCTGTCAGTGACGCAAGAATGTTGCCAAGAACATGTTGCTTTCGTGTATTGTAATTCCTATATGTCCTGAAATTCTGATCCTCATGTTCTATGTGAATCTCTTCACTTTTATGTTTGTCTAATACTTTGATGTTCTTTCAGCATTTTCAAATATTTGACCTTCTTGTGCAGGTCTTTTCAGAGATCAAAGGTATCCAGCTACCTGATCCATTCCCAAGGCTGACGTATGCTGATGCAATGGATCGATATGGCTCAGATAGACCAGATACAAGATTTGATCTTGAGTTGAAAGACGTAAAATTATCTATATATTTGCCTGCTTTTGTTTTCTGCAAGAGAATAACTGCTTATGCTGGTTTTCGGCTTGAACTAGGAAGTGCGTTCTAGAGCCATTTCCCAATTTTATTTTAATGTTTAAATCCCAACTTTCTGAAACTGCAGGTGTCAAATATTTTCACAGAATCGTCCTTCAGGGTTTTTACTGAGGCCCTTGAAAGTGGTGGAATCATTAAGGTATTATGTGTGCCTATGGGTGCTAAAAAGTATTCAAACTCAGCTCTCAAAAAAGGAGATATTTACACTGAAGCAATAAAATCTGGCGCAAAGGGTCTGCCTTTCTTGAAGGTCTTGGATAATGGTAAATAGATTGATCACGCTTACTTCTTTATCTTCGTATGTAATAGTCATATCATTATACTTTTACATTCAGCTGATTAGGTCTAAACTTATGATACAGGCGAAGTCGAGGGCATTGCAGCATTAGTTTCTAGTTTAGATTCAGCGGCTAAAACAAACTTGGTGAGACAATGTGGAGCAGAGCCTGGTGATCTTATTTTATTTGGAGTGGGTCCTGTTACTTCTGTTAACAAAACCCTAGACAGGTTAAGGCTCTTTGTAGCCCATGACATGGATTTGATTGACCAGGTAAGTTTCTTCTTTAGCCTGTCACTTCGTTTTTCCACTTGATGACAGTTCATCAAATTTATGCCTTTTCTTGTTTATTATATAGTCCAAGCACTCCATTCTGTGGGTAACAGATTTCCCAATGTTTGAGTGGAATGAACCAGAGCAGAGGCTTGAGGTCCGTAGTTTCATAATTTGATTTCTTGCATGAGATGAGACTATTGGCCATATATGTTGTCTGCTAACATGAAATGCCTTTCTCTTCAGGCATTACATCATCCATTCACAGCTCCTAGGCCTGAAGATATGGATGACTTAACTTCTGCGCGAGCTCTCGCCTACGACATGGTCTATAATGGGGTCGAGGTAAACAGAACAGCTTGGCCATTTATTTTTTCTGGAACAATGGTGAGGGATATCTTTTCACACACCGCCTTGATGTATACCAGATTGGAGGAGGAAGTTTAAGGATATATAAGCGAGACGTCCAAGAAAAGGTTTTGGAAATCATTGGAATCTCAGCTGAAGAGGTGAAAAACACTTTCTTTTTATTCATTTTAAATGGATCACTTCGATATCTACAGATAAGCCTTACTCATGTTTTTTCCTTACTAACAGGCTGAAGCAAAGTTTGGCTATCTTCTTGAGGCTCTTGACATGGGAGCTCCTCCTCATGGTATGTAAATTTTTTTTGAGACCTTGTCAATAACTTGATGATAGGCATGTGATGATGATGATACTGAACAAGATTGTTCAAGCTTGGTTTAAACATTCGCATTTAATATGAAATTGCAGGGGGAATTGCTTACGGATTGGATAGGATGGTGATGATGCTGGGAGGTGCAAGTTCCATAAGGGATGTAATAGCTTTCCCAAAGACAACCACGGCGCAGTGTGCCCTAACCAGAACTCCCTCGGAAGTCGATCCAAGGCAGCTCCAAGATCTCTCCATCTGCACCAAATAATAGGTCTCAACACAAACATCATTGTATCTTTTGATGCTCTGAGAAGAGGATGAAGTAGAGATGTGGTAATGGTTCTCTTTTGCCAAAGTACTTGTGCACATCTTCTGTTTACTCTTAACATCATTAGTTATTTGATTTTACAGAAATTTGTATGGATGTCATTTTTTGAAACGAAATATGCAGAAGTGATTTGCAAAATTCCCACTTGAACAAGTGATTATAAAAGATAAAGTAGTTATCCTCAATAGCGTTTTTTGAGTTGCAAAGTCCTAATGCATTTATAAGAAGCAAGTCCTGGTCAGATGGTCATGTCTTCTGGGTTTCTACAGCTTTACATTCGTACATGGTTGTTATTGTTTTAAATAGTTCATACGAGAAAGATCAGAAGATCATACGTAGCTGACTAATTGTTGAGCTCTACCTCTATTGTGTCTGTTAGTATTGAACTTATTTTCCTCAAGACCAGTGAAATCAAATCCGTAGCCAAAGTTGAAGGATGAATATACAGTTTTGGAAACCAAGTAACAGAGACAGACATGATGTTTTTAGCTTTTACTATGACAGCTGCAAAAGCGGAAAACCCATAGAAAACACATTCACATTAACTAAACCTTTTTTTTCCATTGGAGCTTCTTTCACTCTGCTGCGATCGCTTCTTCCTCATCTTCCTCATTCCCTTCTAATCTTATATCCGGTAGAGTTTGTGGATCAGTGAGAGCTTCTCTCTCTTCTTGGAATAATGTGGTCTCGGAAGTATCATCTGCTTCCTCCGTTTGCTCTGTGGAAAAAAGGTTAGAACTTTCCTTTTCTGTTTCATCATCATCCTCAGACCTTGAATTCTCCTTCACCTCAGTTGTGTTCGAGCCTGAGATGTTTTCAATTAGAGAAGACTCTGAAGTCGAGTTCCTGGACTCATCTTGAATGGAATCTATGTTGGTAATGTTCGCAGAAACAGTGATGTTGGGATCAGTTTCATTACGCGTTTGCTCAAGTTCCAAGACAGTCTGTAGATCAGAGGATCCAGAGGGCGGTGCACCTTCTTCGGTTTTGTCATGGTCTTGACTCCGTTCTCGCATGATTCTTGTTTCATTCTGCAAAAACCCTGAAGCCTCAAGAACTGCTTCTGTCGTATTGCGATCAACTGTTTCACCTCTCGGTTCTGCTCCCGCGCTCTTTGTTTCAGGATTGGATGATTTGCTGCCACCACCTTCCACTTCTGTGGTAGATTTCTCCACAACATCGCCGCTTACAGCTTCTCCTAACTTCAAGACAAGTTCTTTCTGGACTTCGACCTCGCTTATAGTGGCATTGGAACTGTTCTCCCAAGCTGTTTCCGTTGTATTGCCAGGACTTTCTTTCAGTTTCTCCGTGCTCAGTACCCGAGACTCATGGGACACCGCACTGGAAGCATCGTCAGCCTTGTAATGCTCCTCACGTGCCTCATCAACGGTCATATCAGTCTCTTCTGCATGATTAGTCTCTTTTTCTTTCGATCCACTCTCTGTCTCTTCTTCAAGTAATTCATCATCCTTCTCAGTATCTCCGCCGCTCTTACTTTGATCTTGTTCATCAATCTCATCTTCCTCGTGTTTGTTTTCTTCCTCATCCTCCTCAGCTACTTCCTCTCCTAGCTTGTTCTTATCTTCTTCGTCCTCAACTACTTCCTCTTCTTCTTCTTTCTCTTCCTCCTCATGACTACCATTCTCTACTTTACTCTTGCTCTCTTTCTCTTCTTCTCCACGGCTAACCTCTTCTTCATCATCATCTTCCTCCACATGCTTCTCGTTCTCCTTCTGGTTATGATAACCGGGAAGAAGATCTTTTCTCCCAAGCTTCACCAATCCTTCTTCGCTCTCTGACGACAACGACACTGTCGATTTCTTGCCATCTGTCTCATAGAATTCCTTCTTCTTATCATGAGAATACTTCACTTGATAGATTAACCAGATGCAAACTCCGAGCAGAACACATATCTGCAGGATATGTTTCCCTTTGATACCTTTGCTCCCTCTTTGACTTCTGCTTGATGGTTTCTTCATCTTCAACAAAACTCCTTCAGTCTTCTCACAGCTATACAAATATCATACTCAGATTTTTAACCTGTGACAATAAAGGAACAGCTTTTATTGAATAAGACAAGCAATCACCTAAGAACAATCATTTCTAGAGCTAAGTCAAAAGAGATTGATTTCCTCTGATTTTGGAATTCAGTTAAAACCAAACTGAACAATAGAAGATGTGACATGCAAAAGGATTAAAAAAAAACCAATTAATTGCAACCATGATGAAAGTAAGTAGAAAGTTATAGAGAATTAAACCAAATTGAAACCCTAATCAGAAAATGGATAGTGAGAACCTGAAACCCCTAAATTTTGCAGACAGATAGAACGAAGAACAAGTTGAAGAAGGGGCATAGCAAGAGAACACCAACTAAAGCTTCGATCTAGAGGATCCAAATCAAGAACAAGAACCCATTTCTTGAAAACAGCTTGAACTTATATAACCAGAACAATAACATCAAACCCACAAAGAGAATGCAGGAAAAGAATCAGATTCGGAGACAACAGAAAAGAAAATGGAGTTTTGTGAGGAAGAGAGCACCTTAGCGTCAGAGATATAGTTTACCTGAGAGAAGTAGTAGAGAGAGAAGCTTTTAAGCTTTGATTAATCTACAGAGAGAGTTTATAATTATAGTAAGGAGACAAGGAGAAACTTTGAAGAAGGAAAGAGTGTGAAGGACAGAGGTAAGGCCCAGACAACGCAAAGAGGGTGAAGCGATGACTATTGTCTACTCCCTCTTTTTTAATATTTTTTTGGAATAATTTTCAATTATTGAGAATTTTTTATATCGAATATTAGTTGCAATAATTATTAAGTCATCTTCTTAAAAAAATATAATTTTCAGAGCTCATTCTAATAATGAAAATGAAAAAAACTATATAATAATCATATTTTTTTGGGAATGCTATAATGAAGATGGTTACGACAACACAACCTCCTATGTCTTAAGGAAAAAAAAAACAAGAAAAAAGTATTTTCAAAACCAAAAACCGAAATGAAAATAACCAAATGGTTCAAATCCACTTCAATACACCCCTAATCCAAAACTGAAAATGGAATTTAAACTGAAGTAGAGGATCATTTCAAATTAATTTGAATATGATGGCTTCTCAGACAATGCTTTTAGCACTAAAAAAACTAAAAACTTAACCTGTATGAGTCATTCTTGAAATGGTCAAAGTGGACTAGAGAACGGATCAAGACCACATCAGTCTAAGAAAATATAAATACTTGTTGAGAGCAACTACACATTTAATATTATCGTCTAACGTCTGCTCTTTTTATTTTTTATTTTTTTCTTGTCAAGACTCAAGATGCTCTCTTTTAATATTCATCGGCAGGTATTTTTTCTTATTCCAATTAATGTGACCAAGTATACATACTTACGATGGTTCAAACTTCAAAAGGAAAATAAAATACGTCTTCTATGTTTTACACAACTACAAGCTTTCCTTGGAGTTTTATAAAAATGATAAATCCACTTTGCTCTACAAAAAAAATTGATCTACTTCAAACCATAGTAGTATGATAACCATAATCTACACCCAAATCTATAATGATTTAATTAGTAGATGGGAAACATAATACATTGTTTTCATTTGCAGATATGCACCAATAGAGGAGACATGCATTAAAGAGGTAGGTCCAGAGTTCGATACAAAATAAGGCATAGGTTTAAATTTGAATAAGAAGAATGTGTGTTGTTATTGTTACAAATCAAAACAACATACTGTTGTTTAGTACTTTTCAAAAACAAAATTTCATATTACGTACACTCATCAAACTTCTTTTTGTTTCTAAACGAAATTTAAATCCCCATGCATCATGCATGTATCTTTTTAATTTGTTAGTTTTTTATTTTAAAAACATTAATTATTTTATACTATATAGAGATCTGAAATTTCACCATTATTAAGGTCTTGAATAAAGAAATTTTTTTAAATAAGTTCTACAGTATTTTATTTTAAAGCTTTACGATTTTCTATTATCTTGAGAACAATTTTATTTTCTACTGAAATAGCGACATAATGTAAACTTATATAATTACAAAAATGAATGTCTGGTATAATGATCCTTCTTTTAAAAGAAGAATAAATAAAACAAAACGGAGTCTAGAGACGTTGAAGAAAACCAACAGTGTAACAACATGAAGGAAGAATTAATGGAAATTTGAGTTCAAACTTCAAACACTGTATTTGTTTGCATTTTTAACAACACCCATTCTTCTTTTTTAACAACTTGAAGGAAGAATTAATGAAAAGTAGAGTCCCTTCTCCGTCATCTTCGATTATCCACTCAAAAAGGAAAGTCGCAACGTTTGTATTTTTACAACTTTTAACTTCATATTTAATAGAAAAGAAGTATGGTTTCTCATGTACTGACTTCTCAACACAAATTTAGAGAAGAAGTGATTAATACAACAACACACATTCATCAATCCAGAATTTGAAATTAGTATGGTTTAGTTCCAATATAATTGCCTGAAGGGTCATAGTTACACACAACAATGCTTGCACCATTACCACACGTGGCCTTACCACAACCGAGCCAAGCTGAGCCACGCCACACGATCTGCGTGTAGTGTCCACAAGCCGGACCGTGGCACGAGTTTGAGTAATAATCATAATACGACTTCTCATCTATCCACATCGCAACCGCCTGAGCCGCGGACATGTCTCCACTGCCCAATGCAAGGTTCTCTCCATAAGGTCCAGAGGAATGTTCCAGGCTGCAGGGACCCGTTGCTAGTTGGTTTGCATAATCCTGAGCCACAGCGGCTAGACGGAAGTCCCATCTTAGAGGCTTGACTTTGACCGCAGCTCGGGCTACGTTGTGGGGTCTGAGGTAGCTGTCGGGAGAGTCATTGGAGTGCGTATACTGCGAATATTGTGCGTAAGAAACATCGATTTGGTTCAAGTAGTTGATGAGAAGTAGGAGAACCAAGGCTTCTATTGAAACCCTGTGAAACATTTTTTATGATTCTTGTGTTGTTCTTCTTGTAAAATGTGTATAGATCGGAACAACAAAAAAAGTGATGGATACTTATAGAAAATTGAGATACGCTGTTTATATATTACTATATGGATATAAACTATAGATTAGGGGCTAGTTGGTGTCACGTATTGAAGTAGATTTGACTTAAAAAGTTATTTTTAAATGAAGTTTCCAAACATTGTGAAACAATGTTCGCACGTTACTAGGGATAAGGTGTCCAAAAAAGGTAGGAATGTTTATAGAGCTGATAGTGATGAGTATCTCGGACGGCTAATTAAAGGTGAGGAACAATATCTTTAAAAATTATTGGTTTCGGCTGTGGATCAGATATTATAAGGAAAAACATTGTGACTTGTATTTTTGAATCAACCAGATCCAGTATCATAGAGAAAACGCAAAAGCTAAAAAAAGTTTAACTGAATATCAAACAAAAGATAAATCCATTCGTTCAAAGGCTAATAGAACATTGTCAAAAAGGTAGTTTAGCAACAACAAAAAAAAAACCATAGTCAAAAATAAAGAGTAGACCTAACATAGTAAGATTCTATAGCGTGTAAATCAAGTCTCAGAATGAGAGTTCATTAATGATTCTAAAACCAACACCCTAAACTTTCAAAAATTTCCATTTTAATAAGAATCTTTGGAGTAATGAAGGTAATATGAATTAGAATCTTTCCGTTCAATCGAAAAGAGCCAAAGGCACAGTACGCAAACTTTTTAACACTACAAGAAAATATGCGATTTGCGTTGGTAATATTCAATGAATTTAAATTCGTTTTAAAAAGTGTTTTTGGATGTTTTGGATAAATTCAAAATTTGTTTTCATAACCTAATACAGTAATACTCGCAAATCCGGTTGCAAATATGCTGCATCGCAAATTAGTCACAATTTCACATCGCGAATTGCTTTTTACCTGTTGTAAATATGTAGTAAAGTCGTCGCAATTTGCGACGACTTTGTGATAGAACAATATTTTTACAAATTTGCGATGGATTTGCGACAAAATAAAAAATATATAGCAAATCCATCGCAAATCTATCGCAGATTTGCGAAGAATATTATCTGTAGCAAAATTCCAACGCAAATCAAGTGTTTTTTTGTAGTGTAAGTTTATATACGTCAATCTAGTGCCACAATAATTCTTTGACATATACCAACTACCTATGGAAAAAATGAGTCGATAGATTGAAATCAGTCTTTATCGATAGTACGTACAAAAACAAAAACGACTTAACGACTGACCATATCGATTATAAAAAAAAAAGCCTAGTTCGGAAACGTTTAAAAAAATTCAACCTGAGTTTTGAAAATCCTTGGGGTATTCACTTATATCCCAATCCCAATTGGCATATTCTCTTTATATATAACTGAATTACAAATAAGTGTTCATATTTTAATTAATACTTATATATAGTATACGGCATAATGCATTACTTGCGTAGCCTCCTTCCTTGCCTACGCAGCCGGATGACGTGCCATTTCACATAATGTCAAATGAAAATGATTATTTATTGCAAATGAAAGTCTTTCCATCTGGTGGCTCATGTAGTCTATCATGTGACCTAAAATTCACAATATTTCTCTTTAATTTTATCTTCTTGATAACCCCCCACAACGAATTTATAAATCACTTTAATATGAATTCGGTTGCCTATGATCAATTAAAGATATACATGCAAGAGCGAGATTGTTATTTCTCTTATCATCGGAAGAGTTTATATTTATACGGAGATGAAAAAGTTGAGGGTCGACTATTTTGATTAAATAATTCAGCTTTTGCGTTCTGCTTGTTTTTTTTTACATAACAACAAATTAGTCAGTGATTTTTTTAATGGGATTTTCCCCTTTAGAGATTCATGTAAGTTTTAATTAGTTTCAATTGACTAATTAAACATCTTTTTACAATTAGGCATAAATAAATTGAAATACACTGTCTTATTAATTAAATACAGGAAATTAAAATTATGATATGTAAAGATCAATCAAACCCTTAGCAAGTATTAATATAAAAAAATGAGGAGATTTTCGTATACATAATTACATGTAGCAAACAAAGCAAGTGCAAACCATAGCATTGCACTTTTCTTATTCCATCATTATATAACCCACGTATATATATGGTACAAAAGCGGACCGGACCAGACAAACCAATCATTATTACTTGACGACAGACGATTGGTATAGCTGAACAATATAGACACAACATGTGTAAAATATACTTCGAAACATTCAAATGGGAGGTTTTTATCTCTTTTTAGTAAGGCCACTCGCCAACAAAGTTACCCGGAGGATCATAGTTGCAAGTAATAAAGGTTTGACCATTGTTGCATCTCACTTTTGCACATCCCAACTTCTCCGAGTTTCTCCACACAACCTGAGTATAGTGTCCGCACACTTTGTCCCAAGCACATGTATTGGAATCATAATCGTAGTCATCCTGCTCGCTCACCCACATGTTAACCGCTGCAACGCCTGACATGCTACCACTGCTCCAAGCGATGTTCTCGCCATAGGCCCCGCTCGAGTGTTCCAAGGCACAGTCACCTCTACGCTGGTTCGCGTAGTCACGGGCATACGCAGCCACCTTGTCATCCCACCTTAAAGGACCCACCCCAACCGCAGCTCGTGCTCGGTTGTGAGCTGCCAAAAAGTCTTGTGGCCTGTCTTGGGCTCTTAAGGGAACAAGAAAAGCTAGGAGTATGGTTGTGGCTAAGATGAGGTTTTGAGATGGGTTAAGGATTTTCATTTTTTGTTTTTGTTTTTGACGTTTAGAGAGTTTTTGAATTTTGGTGGGTTTTAAAAGTGAGGATGTACCAAGTTATATAGCACTTGGAATAGAAACTTGTTGAACGTTTTTTATTTTCCGAAATAGTTACTTGTAATTTTTATATTGTTAAAACTCTTATACCACAAAAAGTTGTTGGAGTTTCACATCTATGACTTTTAGTATATTCGGAACATGGCCAAATAATCTAGATAATATAAAGCCATCATGAATTTTTTTATTATCTAATTTGTAATTATGGCTGCTCATTACTTTTACCCAAGCAATCAATCAATTAAATGATCTTATACTATCATACCTCTAAATACACATTGAACATTGATATTTTTCATCAGATCTGAAATTAAATTAAAAATTTAATATAAATATCTATATTAAAAGACTAAAATGATAATCCACATAAATAAAAAATAATTCTTAAAAAAACATTTAATTTGGAACGGGAGGAATATATATTACAAAAGGAGGCAACGTACAAAAGGATTAAATTCTAAACAAGGAACCTAAAAGGACATGACATTACTAGTTTAGTACTCTAACCCTTTGAAAAATACAAAATATTAATAACTCACATTGTAAATCAATTGATAATAAGTGGAAAATCTATTTTTCTATATTTATTAAGTTTTCTCACATGCCTTCCCCAAATATAAGTAGTTCTTCTAATTTATCTAAAATAAAACCTCATATTTTGATCGGCAACAAAACATTATGACCTTTTTTTTTAATCGAAACAAACCTTACGACTTTATTGTTAAATCAAAGAAACTGAATGTGATTCGCTGTAGAAGCTCACGTGTATATTCCCAACCGCAATTAACAAAATCAATACCAATAATTTATGAAATATGGTAACTACTACCGAATGGAATTTCAAATATGCGTAGCTCACAACCACATGAACATGCACGTTCGCATGCAAATGCAGTGCGTTTGTTCGTAATTATTCGTACAAAAACAACCATTTATAAATGTCTTATTCCATCACAACATATTACACAAACCATAACACACAAAGGAATCACCATATCCTGATAGATGATGATCATTTATTTGAAATTGTAGAAACACATATATGTCCTCTATGGACAAGGGTTTTCTTCGTCTGCATACTTAGTAAGGCTTACGGCCGCTAATATTACCAGGAGGATCATAGCTGCAAATGATGAAGGTTCCACCATTGTTACACCTGACTTTGGCACACCCAACCCACTCCGAGTTTCTCCACACAACTTGAGTATAGTGACCACATTGTTTTCCAGAGCGACACGTGTTGGAACCGTGGAAGTAGTCAGACTTCTCGCTGACCCAAAGTCTGACTGCGGCAGCTCCGGACAGATTACCACTGCTCCCTGCCAAGTTTTCGCCGTAACGCCCGCGTGAGTGAGTGAGACGACAGTCCCCTCGCCTTCGCAGAGCATATTGTCGGGCGTATTCCGCCACATCAGGATGCCATTTTATTGGACGCACACCAACTTGGGCTCGAGCACGGTTGTGTACGTCGAGGTAGTCTTGTCTCCCGTCTTGTGCTTTCAGAGGAACTGCAAAAGCTAGGACAAGAGCTATAGCCACGAATATTACGGTTTGAGAAGAGTTAAATATCTTCATTTTTTTCTCTCTTAGTTGTGTCTATTGGTTCTTTTGCTTTGTGTTAATTGTTTGTTTTGGGTTAGAAACGAGGATTTATATAGAGTTTACGTTGGAGTTATCTTATGGACAAGTCGTAAACCCTTGCGAAAAGACCAACGAATACACTTGTAGTAATTTTATTTTTTTAATCTGTTTTACCAAGTCAATAAGGCGACGGGGTCAGATCAGAGGATTGTCCCTTTCTAAGTAGATTTTAAACTAGGATTTGGCTGAAACTATTTTTAAAATATTAAAAATGCAAGGCAATTTCTTCAAATTTATCCATACACATTTGTTTGTGTGTTTTGTTTATTACTATTACTCAGTTGAAACTTTGAAGTACAAGATAAACAAATCATTTGAAGATATTTACGTTCCTTGCTGTATATTTTATCCTCGATAATTTCTATGTTTTATGCTTGTTAATTACTATGACTTTTACTAGGTCCAAAGTTGGTGAATGCATGGCGATGATGCAGCCTGACCTCACTCGTGCTAAGAAAAATTTAATCTTTCTTATTTACCAATTGGGTCTGTCAAGATTTTTATCCAGGCTGCTGAGTCAGGATCTGGTCCAAATAGGTAAGGGTGCACAAACCCGTGGTTCATTGTCAACTAAAATAAACCTAAGAAAATAACGGTATAGCATTCTTATTCCATCCACTTGTTTACAAAATTATTCATATTTATAGACGTCAAATAAAATTTAATATTGTATCTTTTTTTCTTTTAATTAATGGCGTAGATAAACGGCAAATTCTTACATCACTGATCATGTCTCCTCTTTGGTTGACGTTGTTTTAAGATGATTGAAATATAAACTTAGAAACAACCGCAAATATACATACATGTATACAATGGAGGCTTGGTCCCATGTTTTTCTAGCCCACATGAGTTTGTAGTATCGGTAAATGCTACAATAAGTTTATTTTCGGTGTGCTCTGAAATTTTGACGAGGTCTATTCAGAAGGCAGAGAGAAGGCCATGGACTCATTGCCCATGAATAAAGAAATTGAACAAAGAGAAGGAAAATTTTGGACCTCTTGGGGTGATTTATCATCATTGAAAACTAGTCATGGATGCGCAAACAAAATGAATATTAGATATGGGAACTACTGCCGAATGGAATTCAAATAATATATACATGAACATGCACGTTCGCATGCAAATGCAATGCGTTTGTTCGTAATTGTACTTACGAAAACAACAATTTATAAATGTATTATTCCATATATCACAACATATTATACAAACCACAACACACAAAGGAATCAACATATCCTGATAGATGATGATGAGTTATTGAATTTATAGAAACACACACACACACACACACACACACACAAGTCCTCATCTATGGACAGGTTTGATTCGTCTGCGCGCGTACTTAGAAAGGCCTACTGCCCTTAACATTACCAGGAGGATCATAGCTGCAAATGATGAAGGTTCCTCCATTGTTACACCCGACTTTGGCACACCCGACCCACTCCGAGTTTCTCCACACAACTTGAGTATAGTGACCACATACTTTTCCAGAGCGACACGTGTTGGAATCGTAATCGTAGTCAGACCTCTCGTTGACCCACATCGTCACTGCGGCGGCTCCGGACAGATCAACAGTGCTCCCTGCCAAGTTTTCTCCGTAACGCCCGCCTGAGTGAGTGAGACGACAGTCCCCTCGCATTCGCAGAGCATACTGCCGAGCGTATTCCGCCACATCAGGGTGCCATTTTAATGGACGCACACCAACTTGGGCTCGAGCACGGTTGTGTACGTCGAGGTAGTCTTGTATCCTGTCTTGGGCTTTCAGAGGAACTGCAAAAGCTAGGAAAAGAGCTATAGCCACGATTATTACGGTTTGATGAGACCTAAATATCTGCATTTTTTTTTTAGTCGTCTATGAGCTCTTTTACTTTGTGTTGTGTAATTTATTTAGGTTAGAATCGAGGATTTATATAGAGTTATACGTTGGAGTAATTTCATGGACAAAGTCATAAATCCTTGCGAAAATACTAACGAATTAATGCACTTGTAGTAATTTTATTTTTAATCTATTTTACCAAGTCGATAAGTCGACTTACGGGGGCAGATCAGAGCTTCAATTGCCCTTTTGTAAATAATTTTAAACTAGGATTTGGCTCAAACTATATATATATCTAAAGTATTAAATATGCAAGATAATTTCTTCAAAATTTTCCATAGACATTTGTGTGTTTCTTTGTTATTATAATTCATTGGAAATACTCAAGATAATTACTAGGTCAGCTGGTGAATGCGTGGCGATGATGCAGTCTAACCTGATTAGGGATTAATTATCCTTCATTATACTTTTTAAATGGATCAACCATTTTCCATTGTGTGATGTAGGAATTAGGATGTCGAGGCGGTAAACAAAGCAAACATATATTTTACATAACAAAACTGAAATAGAAACATAAGGCTTTGGTTTTCACATGAATTTTAAAAGTTGATAAAAACATAAATTGAATCAGAATGCAAAAGGTTGAGGTTTTTCCACCATCTTTCACTACTTGAGCCAGTGTATTGCCAGAATTATAGATTGATTTATTTTATTAAAAGGCCAAATTATTTTTCTATAAATGTGGGCTTGCTTTAAACAGACTGGGCCTAAAGTTTCCGAACGTTATGAAATGAATTGCCGACAAAAAGCCCGCCAAAACAGACTGGGCTTACGTGGCCCGAAAAAGCCCGGCAAAACGCCCCTACATCTACTAACTCAATTTCTTTTGTTGTTAATGTCGATGGAATATGTACGGAAACGAGGGAAAGAATAAAGAATGAGATATTTTGCATGGGGACTTGAGTATGCTTTTTGGTCAATAGGTTAACTAAGGATTTGCCGACCTAAAAAGTGGCTAATAATGAGCCTTCTTTGAATAATAGTATAGTAAACCGGTAATTAACCTTTTGATAATTTAATAAGTAAGAATTAAAGTTCAAAAGTATAAAAATATAGTAAGAGTTTTAAATTAATAATATACGCCTATAAGGGAACCACATAAATATTATTACAAAAGGTAGTACTTGATCAAGTCAAATTTAGGGAAAAAAGAAGAAGAAAAAAAGCTTTAAGAAAGCTGCATATGTGTATACACTTTGAGTTTTACGACACACAAAAAGTGTTATTGCGAGAATCCGTATCGGATCAAAATCCTCACCCTAGCGGGAAAGGAAAAACAGCTAATGCTGCGTCAGCCGAGAAAAAGAAGACACAAGAAGAACAACAAACACCCTTCCTCATAAATTATTAAATTAACGACGCTTTGAAATCACGAAAACACCCTTCCTCATCTCACGTAAGTCGCTCTCAATACATGGGTGTTATTGTCATTATGTATCTAAGTGCCGGGCCCTATATATGCAGAGGGGATCTCCACCGTATGAGCTCTTTGGTTTTTCTTTTCTTTTCTTTTATCATCTTTATAATTGCCTCGATCTCTGTGCAAAAGACACACTTCAAATTTGCTTTTTCGGATACTTTGTGAGCTTCGCTTTTGAGTCTCCTTTTTGCTTAATTTCGGATTTAGCGGTTATTAATCCAGTCGGCGGCTGTTCGTATTCTGATTAGATTCATTTCCCCGGAAAGTTGCTTTTGGAGTAGGACAAGATGACAATAACCCTCTGAGTGAGCTTTAGTGTTTTCTGATTTCTGGAGCTTTTTTTGGAGCTGTGTTCTCTCATAAAAAAGCGGATTTTTGATGGCGGAGTATGAATGTTGCGAGCCCAACTTCTTCATACACATAGCAGTGATAGTGTTTCTTGTCTTGTTCGCTGGCCTCATGTCTGGTCTAACATTGGGTCTTATGTCTATGAGTCTCGTTGATCTTGAGGTTCTCGCCAAATCCGGCACACCCCAATATCGCAAATATGCTGGTAAAGCTTCTATTTTTTCTTCCTCTCTCTCTCTTTCTTCCCTACTTATGTCCCCCTTTTTGCCGCAGATTCGATTTTTTTTTGCTCCTATAAATTCTCCATCCCGATATTTTCGCTCACTAAAGTTTGATTATTCCACCAATTGAAAATCTTGTTTGATTGGCTTACACAGGTGTTGTTACCAGGTCTTTGTTTGTTTTGCTCATTATTCAAATTTGGTTTTTTTTTTTTTTTTTTTTCATTTCATCGATTGACACAGTTTTGATTAACTTCCAAACGCATCTGCCAAAACTGGGTCGAGTTTGGTTTATGTGATATTCAACTGTAGCGTGTTAGTTACAAAAGTATTTAAAGTTTTTGAGCTTAACTATAACTTTTCAATTCAAGAATAAATCTGGGTTTTTTAAGAACTCTGTGTCTGTTAATGATGACTGATGAGAAGTGTTTTTTTTTGTTTGCTGCAGCAAAGATATTGCCAGTGGTAAAGAATCAGCATCTGTTGCTTGTCACTTTACTTATATGCAACGCAGCTGCTATGGAGGTAATGTTTAAACTTCACCTTAGAGCCTGTTGTGATTTATTTAGGTTTCTGGAATGTTTGATGTTAGTAGCGATTTTATCTTTGCAGACGCTTCCCATATTTCTTGATGCCCTTACCACCGCATGGGGTGCCATTTTGATTTCAGTCACATTGATTCTTCTCTTTGGCGAGGTAAGATCAGCCTTAACCTGTAAATACTCAATAGGAAAAACTGTTTCTGAGCATTTTCAGTCACTGTCCTGTATCTGAGATGTAAATGCAAATGAGGATGTTTAACATTGATTGTTGGGTTTACTACAACTGCAGATTATACCTCAGTCAATATGTTCACGTTATGGTTTGGCAATTGGTGCAACAGTAGCTCCGTTTGTCCGTGTCCTAGTCTTTGTCTGCTTACCAGTTGCATGGCCGATAAGCAAGGTAGTTACTATTTACCTATCTCTACAGGAGCCAGTGTTTCAATCCATCATGCTCCTCGTTATAATGATTTTTTTGGGGCCCTTTGAATAATGCAGCTTCTGGACTTTCTATTGGGTCATCGTCGTGCAGCGCTTTTCCGAAGAGCTGAGCTGAAAACGCTTGTGGATTTCCATGGAAATGAGGTATGCATTGACCTCGTCTTCAAGATGGACAAGTTTCTGGATCCCTTCTTTGTCGTGTTGTTTAGTGTTTTATGTGCTTTGTTTCTTTCAGGCTGGAAAGGGCGGAGAGTTGACTCATGACGAAACGACAATCATTGCAGGAGCTCTCGAACTCTCTGAGAAAATGGTCAAGGATGCGATGACACCAATATCTGATATCTTTGTGGTTGACATCAATGCTAAACTAGACAGGTTTTTTTGCTGTGATTCCTCCGAGAAAATATCATTTCAGATACACACTTACCTCTGGAGTGTTTCATACTACGATTTTTTAATTTGTTTTTTCGTTTGGTATAGAGATTTAATGAACTTGATTCTTGAGAAAGGACATAGCAGAGTTCCTGTATACTATGAGCAGCCAACTAACATCATCGGCCTTGTTTTGGTAACTCTCAGTCTCATGCGTTACTTCCACAATTTGACAAATACTTTCCTCTACAGTGTTGGTGTTTCAGCTTCTCTAACCACATATAATTTTATCATCAGGTAAAAAACTTACTGACTATTAATCCAGATGAAGAAACACCCGTCAAGAATGTCACAATAAGAAGGATTCCAAGGTGAAATTTCCGAATCTAAGCAATCAATCCCACTGAGTGTGAATCAAAAGCTGATGTCTTGCTTATTTTTTAGAGTTCCAGAAACCTTGCCTTTATATGACATATTGAATGAGTTCCAGAAAGGGCTAAGCCACATGGCTGTTGTCGTGAGGCAGTGCGACAAAATCCACGCATTACCTTGTAAAAATGGTAAAGACTGTAAGCTGTGTTTTTTTACAAAACACATGGTCTTGCTGAGACTCAAGTCTGAGAATCTCTGGTTTGGTGTCTAACAGAGAGTGTTAAGGAAGCCCGAGTGGATGTGGATAGTGAAGGAACTCCTCAAGAGAGAATGCTAAGGACAAAGAGATCGCTTCAGAAGTGGAAGAGCTTCCCGAATCGAGCAAGTTCGTTTAAAAGATCAAAGACCAAGAAGTGGTCAAAGGACAATGATGCAGACATCCTGCAGTTGAATGGCAACCCGCTGCCTAAACTAGCCGAGGAAGAAGAAGCTGTTGGAATCATTACAATGGAGGATGTTATTGAGGAACTTCTGCAGGTAAGGAGTGTGTTTCTATAACTTATAAAATCAAAAAGTATAATGAAATCTTTTTTCACTTGACTGATCTTTTTTTTCGGGGTTTGTGGTGGTTATAGGAGGAGATCTTTGACGAAACGGATCACCATTTTGAAGACTCCTGACAGTGGCATGACCACTGATTATGAATGTCTAGTCTTTGTATTCAGCTTTCGTACTTTGTAACTTCTTCGGCGAATGAATCAATATAGGCATATTTAAAATATTATATAGCTAATGCACCAATATGATAATCTCACAAGGCCCCGTTAAAATCATTGCCGGTGTAAGGTTATAATTTTATTCTTTGTATTGTATTCTCAAAGAAAATGCTTTTGAAGACTGTCTGATATAAACATTATATCTCCATTACGCCGAATGTATCATTATAGGCATGACCAGCAACTTTATATATGGTTTACTACTACAACATCACTAACCAGTATTAAAGCTTTTGTCCCAAGAGTAAGACCTAGTCCCTACCACGTCTTCTCTTCTTCTCTTCCCTTCTCCTCCTATCTCTTTTCTTCTCTTTTGACTTGTGCTTCTTACTAAGTTTCTGCTTATGCTCCTTTCTAGTTCTACGAGCACGCTCCTGGACCTCTTCCTCTGAAGAAGAATCCGTCTCATGTCTCGATAAAGGCCATCTCTCTGCCTGAAGCACTAACTTGCCATCTCCTGTATCAGAAGTTCTTGACAGTTCCTTCACAGGAAGACACGGAGATGTTTCATCCATCCTAGGACCAATAGAGCCTCTGCCACGCTTGACCCTATCATAGACCAGAATCACAAGTTTTATCAACAAAAGTTGGTTCCCAATTCGTTTCATGATTACAGAGGAAAAAAATATAAAGGATTTATATATACCTTGATTGGAGAAAAGTCTCAATCTCGACATCTCCTAAGACTTCATCATCATCTTCAGATTGCCATCTTTTGTTTCTGCTCCCGCTTGATGATGATGAACGAGTAGTAACATTCTCATCAACTGAAATGCATCTCTTAACAAAACTCCTCCTATTGTTCTGCTCACTTTGGCCGCTGCTACTCTCTTCTCTTGATTTTCTTTTGAGCCTCTCATCAAGCTCAATCTCTTCACTCCGAAGCCTCCACATCTCATTGGTTTCTACAGCTTTGTTGGCTGTATGGGGCAAAGAAGGAACATATAAACAAATTTGAATTAAGTTGTAATCTCAAAACACATTTGAATATCAGAATTCAAAGTATGAAGGTTAACAGCATAAACGATAAAACATGCTCAACCCCAGCTAAAATTTAAATCAGGAATACAAGAAAAGACTGTAGAGAATCCAAATACGAAACGTAAACACTAATAACAAAGAAGCTAAGACCCAAAATAAAACAGTGAAAGGTTTCTTCATCCTACAAGGCTACAACCCTAACAAGACTGAAAATTTACTGCAGCTCTAGTTGCTTGCTTGATTAATTAAAAGTGCCCAATGATCTCTCAATACAAAATGTTCAACATCATCAAAATCTAGTCTTGGAGAAAGCAAAATATAAACATAGTGGAAGAAGAAAAAAAAAGGAATAAGGATTATACCTTGCTGAACACCAAGAACAGTAGCCGTGAGAAATCTTGAGTTAGGTCGATGCCTTACATTAGGCTTCTCAAGATATGCTCGAATTCCTTCTTTTTCAGCTTGTCTCCTCAATTCTGCTGCTTCTCTCAAAAGAATCGAAGCTATACGGTTTTCAGTTTCCAGATCCATATCTTGTTCCACAGATGCAACTGTTAAGACACGAACAAAGCCCAAAGGTAAACGAAACAGTTCAGACCTCAAATCTCCAAATCAAGAGAAGTGGCCAACAAAAAAGTATTCCAGTCAAATCAATCTAAGGCAGATCAAAGTTGGAATCGATAACTTCATAGAATTATCTAAAGGTAACATTTTTTAATAATCTGATTAGACCACTAAATACATTCAAGCTTTCCAAATCATTGCCTCCAAATCATACAACTTACAGTAAAGCCATGTCCGAAATCAACGAGAAGAAGAAGAGAACATAAACAAAACAAACGTGAAACACAACAATCAAAAATAGGTTGCACTGAAAAGGGTTTTTCTGGAGAACCCAATTGTGATAGAAAAGAAGAAAATTTACCACGAAATCGAATTTACTCAGATTACAAGCTTCACCAGAATCGTGCGATTCCTCGGCGTTATCCAGCAGAGGCAGAGCAAAATTGCCGTCCGAGCCAGACCAAAAGGCAAAGACGTCTTTTTTAAATTGGGCCAAAATTGTAAACCAAAACAAATTCTAGTAAACCGAACCGGGACGGGAGAATATATGTCGGTTTGGTTTGATAGGGAGAGTTGTTGGAATAAACCGGTTTTGGTTGCTCCTCGAACCAAACCGAAGAAGAAACCTAGTTTATCAGACTCTCGGCTTCTTACATGATTAGAATCCAAAACACGTTTCTACTTTCTTGTGTCACTTGCCTGCCTCATTCGCTGCCATTCACCTGTGATATTCCTTGTGCCAATCGTGAAAATGTCGGCGACCCATCAGTTAGTTTCTTCGATGATCTCTTCTTCATCATCCACTTTCTTAGCCCCTTCAAATTTTAATCTCAGGTGCGTCGTTTTTTTTCTTATTCTGTACTATCTGTTTCCTGCTAATACAATTTAGGGAGTATGAAAATGAGTTGGAGTTCATTCTTTTAAAATCTAATTGTATTTTCGTCTTCTTTTTCTTTCTTCCACTCTGTAGTGTTGGCTTCATTGTTGTATTTTAACCCCTCTGGTTTTGTTAAATTGGAATAGTTTTGAAACTGATGTTGAAGTCAATGTTGAATGCTATTGTTTCAACACAAGACAATGCATTTGCTAACGATGATTTAACATAACGGTCATTGCTCTGTTTTTCTCTTAGTTTTCTGGTTTACTTTATGCCTTGTGTGGTCTTCTTCTTTTTCTGGCTTCAGATCTCGCAATGCTTGTTTACCAATGGCAAAACGGGTCAATACTTGCAAATGCGTTGCAACCCCGCAAGAAAAGATCGGTAATTCTTCTTATTCCTGCTGTTTTGAAAACATAACTTCGTGTTGTTTTCGCTGTAATGATTCTTTAGCTGTTATATCTGCTGCTGCTTCACAATCTTATGTCTTTACTTGTTTTTGTTTTTCTCTATGTAGAATACAAGACAAAGGTGTCGCGTAATTCAAACATGTCAAAACTTCAGGCTGGATACCTTTTCCCTGAGGTTTGAACTTCTTGGTTTACTTAACATTTGTCTTGCAATATCTAAAAGAATGACCTTCATTTAACTCAAAGTCTTAAATCACCAAGCATAAGCATTTCATAACTCCATCTTTGTTTCTCAATATGATGCTGCTCTCTTTTGTCAAATGCAAACAGATTGCAAGAAGAAGGTCTGCACACTTGCTGAAATACCCAGATGCACAAATCATTAGTCTTGGAATTGGCGACACAACTGAGCCAATTCCAGAAGTGATCACTTCTGCAATGGCAAAGGTACCTCCTTATCTTAACTTCTCTTCATATTCTTTTTCACCCTCTCTGGATCAAGGATGTCTTTAACTGCATTATGGCTGACAAAAGAAATACACTTTATATATTTTCAGTTTACTGATCTTGCACTAGCTGAGAGATTGATTATGTTTTTTTTTTAAATCTGGCAGAAAGCTCATGAGTTGTCCACAGTAGAGGGATATAGTGGTTATGGTGCTGAACAAGGTGCAAAGGTCAGTGCACGCTTCATTGCAACCTTATGCATTGTTTAAAACTTTTTTCATATTTTTAAATATCTTCGTGGTTTATTTGTTAAGTTCTTATCCAAACTAAACATTAACTTCACATATTTGAACAGCCACTGAGAGCTGCTCTTGCGAATACATTCTACAGTGGCCTTGGCATAGGGGAAGATGACATTTTTGTTTCCGATGGTGCCAAGTGTGATATCTCACGTCTCCAGGTTTGTTTAATCGCTGACTGTTCATCCTTCTCTGGTTCAAGATCAGGAGACCTGAGCAGCTGATTCTTGATCCCACATTCTTGCAGGTTATGTTTGGTTCCAATGTTACGATTGCTGTTCAAGATCCTTCATATCCGGTAAATGGGCAGATCTGAAACCAAACTTGAGTTGTAGTCTTGTCTATTTTTGCTTCAGTATAACTTCTTGAACTTTGCCTTTCTCATTTTCATTTTTCATTAATACAGGCGTATGTCGACTCCAGTGTTATTATGGGTCAGACCGGACAATTTAACACTGATGTGCAAAAGTATGGGAACATCGAGTACATGAAATGCACTCCAGAGAACGGCTTCTTCCCGGACTTATCCAAAGTTGGCAGGACAGACATCATTTTCTTCTGTTCCCCTAATAACCCTACTGGTGCTGCTGCCACAAGGGAGCAACTGAAGCAGTTGGTTGATTTTGCAAAGAAGAACGGATCAATCATAGTGTATGATTCCGCATATGCAATGTACATGTCTGATGATAACCCACGCTCAATATTTGAGATCCCTGGAGCAGAGGAGGTAATAGAATATGATTTGAGTATTAAGTTCTATTAAGTTTCAAAAGATCCATTTTGTTAGCAACTTACTTCATGGTCACAATCGCTTATAGGTCGCTATGGAGACAGCTTCTTTCAGCAAGTATGCTGGTTTCACTGGTGTTAGACTTGGCTGGACCGTCATCCCGAAACAGCTGCTCTATTCAGACGGCTTCCCTGTTGCAAAAGACTTCAATCGAATTGTCTGCACTGGCTTCAATGGTGCCTCCAATATCTCTCAAGCTGGTGCCCTTGCTTGCCTTACACCGGAAGGACTTGAGGTTAGGTTTTAGCTAAAGAGAGAGATTTTAAAACTTAACCCAGTGCCAATAAGTAATATATGCAATATGATTTTTGTTTCTTTTAAAACATTGCAGGCAATGCACAAGGTGATTGGGTTCTACAAAGAAAACACAAACATAATCATCGACACATTCACATCTCTTGGTTATGATGTATATGGAGGAAAGAATGCACCATATGTGTGGGTTCACTTCCCGAACCAAAGCTCATGGGATGTGTTTGCTGAGATTCTGGAGAAGACTCATGTGGTCACAACTCCTGGGAGTGGGTTTGGACCAGGAGGCGAAGGGTTTGTTCGTGTTAGCGCCTTTGGTCACAGAGAGAACATCTTAGAGGCATGTCGCAGATTCAAGCAGCTTTACAAATGAAGAGCCTTGTAATCTTTCATCATCATCATTATCCTTTTAATGACTTGACTAGGATTTGAAATAATTTCGTCTCCTTTGTTGTCTTGAATTGTAGCAACTAAGCAACAGATGTTTCAATCTTTATTTCTTTTTTCCCAAAAACATCAAAAATATGGCCAAAATAAAGTTTTCTCTTAAAATACTGGCCGTATATACGGTCTATACGCAGTTCAAAAACAGTCTACACGGCCGTATTTTACAACACCGACTAAATTCAGTTAGTTGACTTTTGTCGTTATTACAAGTTTAGTTGACCCTTAACAATGGCGATGTCTGAGGCGAAGATGGAGCTTCGGCCTCTGGGGAATACAGGGCTCAAGGTTAGCGCCGTTGGTTTTGGCGCATCTCCGCTCGGAAGTCACTACGGTCCAGTCGCCGAAGCTGATGCCGTCGCCGCCGTGCGCGAGGCTTTCCGATTCGGCATTAACTTCTTCGACACCTCCCCGTAATCACTTCACCTCTTCTGGAGATTATCTTTGATCATCTTTCCAAACAAATTGCTGATTCTGTCTGAGAAATTTTCAGATTTAAAATTTGATGATGTGAGAATATTTTCAGAACGTTAAGGCCAATTAAACTTTAGAACTGTTGACGTCGAAGTAGTTAGGGACAAGTTTCAACTGAGTGATTCTCCCATGGAAATGTAGTTTTTGAAGGTTTCGTTTTTCGTGAAGGTATTATGGAGGAACTCTTTCGGAGAAAGTGCTTGGTAAGGCACTCAAGGCTCTTCAAGTCCCTAGAAGCGACTACATCGTGGCCACCAAGTGTGGACGATATGAAGAAGGTTTTGATTTCAGTGCTGAGAGAGTAAGAAAGAGCATCGATGAGAGCTTGGAGAGGCTTCAGCTAGATTATGTTGACATTCTTCATTGCCATGACATTGAGTTTGAGTCTCTTGACAAGGTTCTCTCTTGATTTATCACATTTCACTGTCTCTCTCAACCTTTTACTAATTGTTGTTTCATGGCGTGCCAGATCGTGAGTGAAACAATTCCTGCTCTCCAGAGATTGAAACAGGAAGCGAAGACGCGGTTTATTGGTATCACTGGTCTTCCATTACATATTTACAGTTATGTTCTTGATCGAGTGCCTCCAGGGACAATCGATGTGATATTATCATACTGCCATTACGGCATAAATGATTCAACTTTGCTGGATATACTACCTTACTTGAAGAGCAAAGGCGTGGGTGTGATAAGTGCTTCTCCCTTGGCAATGAGTCTCTTCACGGAACAAGGTCCTCCTGAATGGCACCCTGCCTCCCCTGAGCTCAAGGTTCGACATTTAGATCTTGTCACCATTTTTTTAAGTAACACTCGTATTCTAAGAGTCTAGTCTTAATGTTCGAACACTGTTGCATGCAGAGATTATTTTCTGTAGACTAAATGCTTTACTCATTAGTCTGACAATTCCTCAGTTTCTTAACTCGAACTAACCTGTGATAAGTCTTAATAAAGGAAGATAACTGATCTTTTGTTTACAAATTGTTCTCACATATGATATTTCAAGCCTGTGGCTGCTTTTATTGTCATTTGTAGTCGGTGTGCAAAGCTGCAGTTGCTCATTGTAAGTCAAAGGGTACGAAGATCACAAAGTTAGCACTGCAATACAGCTTAGCAAACAAGGAAATCTCATCGGTGTTGGTTGGGATGGGTTCTGTCTCAGAGGTATCCAAATCCAAGTTTAAGACTTTCCTCTCAAAGTCCCAAAAGCCTTAACATATGAGAACGTATGTGTTTTTCGAACCAGGTAGAAGAAAATGTTGCAGCATTTACAGAGCTTAAAGGTTTGGGGATGGATCAGGAAACTCTCTCTGAGGTTGAAGCTATTCTCGAGCCTGTAAAGAATCTGACATGGCCAAGTGGAATCAATCAGATGTAAAATGTACTCTCTTCTTGCTTCTTGTGAATGCTTCTGCATTTTTAAAGATTCTGTATTTCAGTATTGTATAAGTTACAGAAATTACATAATGTTCGTTTTACAAACACAAAAATAAGAAAGTATGAGAAAAGGCGGAAAAGGATTCACCTATTTCTTTCTGTAAATTGGTCTGAAAAGGGTAATTCCGTAAATTTGGTTAATTGAGCACCATGTGTACGAAACATCCAAAACAAGTGTCGACTACTCGCAATCTCATCCATATTATCAAGTTTACAATTGCAACCGAATGCGAACAAGTTTTGTTGATCCTTAACAATGGCGATTCCTCAGGCAAAGATGGAGCTTCGGCCTTTGGGAAACACTGGGCTCAAGGTGAGTACCGTCGGTTTTGGCGCTTCTCCGCTCGGAAGTGTCTTCGGTCCAGTCGCCGAAGATGATGCCGTCGCCACCGTGCGCGAGGCTTTCCGACTCGGCATTAACTTTTTCGACACCTCCCCGTAATCACTAATTCTTTCTCTTCATCTGTTCTAGTGATGATCTCTGACATTTTCAATCACCTTTCCAAACTAATTGCTGGTTTTATCTGAAGAATTAACAGATTCACAATTGATGATTTGGGAATGTTTAGACGAATTATGAGGCTGATTAGTACTTAGAATAGCTGAGGCCAAAGTGTTAGGGGGAATTTTCAAACTGAGTGATTCTCTCTGGGTATGTAGTTTTTAAAGGTTTCATCTTTGTGAAGGTATTATGGAGGAACACTTTCGGAGAAAATGCTTGGCAAGGCACTCAAGGCTCTTCAAGTCCCGAGAAGCGACTACATCGTGGCGACCAAGTGTGGGCGGTATGAAGAAGGTTTTGATTTCAGTGCTGAGAGAGTAACAAAGAGCATCGAGGAGAGCTTGGAGAGGCTTCAGCTAGATTATGTTGACATTCTTCATTGCCATGACATTGAGTTCGGGTCTCTTGATCAGGTTTACCACTTTCTCTCTTTAGTTGAATTATATCACTTTCACTGTCTGTGTCAACATTTACTAATTGTTGTTTCATGGCTTGACAGATTGTGAGTGAAACGATTCCTGCCCTCCAGAAATTGAAACAGGAAGGGAAGACGCGGTTTATTGGCATCACTGGTCTTCCATTACATATTTTCACTTATGTTCTTGATCGAGTGCCTCCAGGGACAGTCGATGTGGTCTTGTCGTACTGCCATTACGGCATAAATGATTCAACTTTACTCGATTTGCTACCTTACTTGAAGAGCAAAGGCGTGGGTGTCATAAGTGCGTCTCCCTTGGCAATGGGTCTCCTTACAGAACAAGGTCCTCCTGAATGGCATCCTGCTTCCCCTGAGCTCAAGGTTTGACTTTTTTTGAAAAGAATGAGATTTTTGTTAACATTCTTTACAGCACTCGTATTGAAACATTAACAATAGCGTATCATAGACCAGTGTTAGAACACCGTTTCATGCAGCATCATATCGAGCATAGATGGTTATATTCTGTAGAATGAATGCTATACTTATGAGAGTGACAATTCCTCTGTTTCTTAACCCGGACCAACATAGTCAGTTTCTTAACTCGGACCAACATAGTCAATTATGCATATGTATTAACATGTTAGTTTGATCTTTTCTTATCAATTTGTTCTGGCAAATGAAATCTAAACCCCGTTGTTGATCTTGTTGCATTGTGTAGTCTGCATGCAAAGCAGCAGTTACTCATTGTAAATCAAAGGGTAAGAAGATCACGAAGTTAGCAATGCAGTACAGCTTAGCAAACGAGGAGATTTCATCGGTGTTGGTTGGAATGAGCTCTGTTTCACAGGTATTCAAGTTTGAGACTTTCGTCTCAAAGTCCCCAAATATTCTCCATATTTATGTGGGAATTAGCGTTACGAAATGAAACAATATGTGTTTCTTCTTTTTTCGAATCAGGTAGAAGAAAATGTTGCAGCAGTTGCAGAGCTTCAAGGTTTGGGGATGGATCAAGAAACTCTGTCTGAAGTTGAAGCTATTCTCGAGCCTGTAAAGAATCAGACATGGCCAAGCGGAATCGACCAGAAGTAAAAAGGTCTTGGTGTTTGTTAACACTGTTCTTGCTTCGTGATGTGTCAGTTACAGTGCAAGTTCGGTTGATATGATTAATAAAGTTTCTTAGGTATCAAATTGAATCAAAACATCTTCAGTCCATTTCATTATTGCATAAGTTACAGCACAGGGTGAGATTATGAGGAATACATTACATTTGTTCATTTTACAACACACAGAAATGAACAATCTCCATCACGAGCAACTAAGTTCAACAGCTCGTTGGAACCTTCCGTCGTACGTAGCAGGATCACCAAATAGCCAAAGAATAAACTTGGAACGAGAACGATCAGAACTTTCAGATGAGTTTCTTACCGGAAGAAGACTTTTTACTGCCGGCGGTGACGGCTCTCGTTCTGGCTGCAGGGTATTGTTTGTTGTTATCTGCTGAATCAGAGGATTGGAGAGCATGAATATCGCAGCTGATGGTACCATTGATGAGTCTTTAACTGTAAGTTCAAAGAAATTAGAAGGTTTTGAGTGCAATTTCGAAGAGATTTCATCTAATGCGTTAATATAAGAAGAAAGGATAAAGAATGAAGGGAGTAGGTTTGCATTTCTATATGGGACCGAAGGAGACTGAAACAGAAATTTCAAATTTCAGTTGTTTCCTATGAAAGTATATCAAATTATAACCAATCATTTAATGACACGTAGCACAACATGGCTAACTTGTGCCCAAGCCGTGGCTAATGCCCTTCCATAAGAAAAATAACTTGTGAAAATACCGTGTTAGTGCGCAATTATAATAGTCGTGGACTTGGGACCAAAATATAAAGCTACAAAATAACCCACTACATCTCAAGATAATTATAAAAATAATGAGCGTTAAGTTTTCACGATGAAATAATTCATATAAAATAATCTTGCGTGAGCAAATTACAAACTCTTCAAGTCATATTATATATATCGTAAATTGGTAATACGAAATAGATCAACTCATCGTAATGGGAAATCATAATACATTTGTTATATATAATACAAGCAAATTATCAATTATAATCATTTTCTTTGTTAGAATTATACACATTTCAAATACTTTCTCACCGATCCATGAAGTTGGTTTGTTTTTCATTTTTTTTTTAAACAAAGTTCCTAAAAAAAAACATGTGTGAACAAAGTTTAAAGGAATCTAAAAACCGAATGAAAACTTGGGAAAGAAGAGAAGAACAATGATAAGAAACTCCAGAACAAAAGCAACCCAACTTTGCATCACCACCGATGCTTCTTCTCCTCTCTAGAATCTTCCACCAACGCATTGATTCCTCCTATACTTTTTTTTGACAATCCCAAACGTCATTTCTCCCCTTCTTCTTCGCCGCCTTTTTAAGTTATACTATTTTTGACACTAGTGTGTGTGTCTGTACTTTCAAGATTATTCTCAAAGGCTCCAAAAATTCTTTCCCTAAGAAATACGTCACTATTTTATTAAATTAGTATAAAAATTATCCTTCGAGTTATGTTCTTTGGCAAATATAAATACACGTCGACAAAAGCCCCCTACTTGCGCTCTAAAGACTGCAATCCGTGTTCTCTCTCCACTATTATTTCCTCTGTTTCCATTTTTTTTTAAAAAATTTGCCACTTAAAAAAAAAACACTACAGTTTATTTAGTTTTCGGGTAATTTGATCTTCTAGCAAAAACATGAGCGAACCGAAGTATGCATATCCTTATCCTGCACCGGGACATTACCCGCATGGGCCGCCGCCTCCGGTTGGAGTACCACCGCAGTATTATCCTCCGCCTCCGCCTCCGCCTCCGCCACCGCCACCTCCAAAGCGAAAACTTGGTTTTCTAGAAGGACTGTAAGTGTTCTGTCTATTTAGCAAAACTAAAGAGCTAAACTGATTAACTAACTTTTTGGAAAAATCTAAGAAAATCGTATGGAATTTGATTTTTGGCAAAGTAACTAGATAATTGTGTCTTAAAACCGTTGTGATGTGTTCTTGTGTATTTGGTTTGCAGACTTGCGGCTATGTGTTGTTGCTGCTTTGTGGATGAATGTTGCTGCGACCCGACCATTATATGCATCGATTAAGTTTTAACTTTTTCAAAATCTCTCTTTGTCTGTTAATAATATGTAATGTAATACTTGTTGAAGTTTAATGTGATTACTTTCTTGTCGCTTTAACCTTAGAGTTGTCCTTACAATTGCAGCAAATTCCTCGACAGAACACTTTCCTCTGAACTCATCATGACTTCTTTCACGGATTTTGTTCTGATCTCTGATTTGTTATAGGCACATGTGTCTCTTCTGAACCAAAGACTTAGTAAAGTCGTCTTTTGGCTGTTAGTAAGTGAGTGAAGTGGATAACGTATCGGATTTTGGATTTGTTTATGTGGTCATCCAAATTCCAAACCAAACGTATCATGTCATCTCAACTTCAAGCATCTTGATATAATTCAAGAATAACCTTAAAGTAATTTGTGACTATTATATATATAAAGAGAAATGTTACGAAATCTCGTGCAGTTGCACGAAAGATAAACAAAAAAAGACCACAAGGCACAAGTTATAAGGTCGTATGGACCGATCCTGTAATATCACTTATTGATTAAACCCAACCCAAGAAATAAAAGTGTGAAAAAGGGTTTGCTTCCCGATATTGTTGTTGCAGGGAGCATTTGAAACAAATAGAAACTATACTATCATCACCTTCACTCCCCCTCACACTTCTCTCTTAACAGTCAAAATGCAGACTCGAAAAACCGACATTGCATCCCAATTTCCTATATAATTTCTTCATTTTGACAACACATAATTTTTTAATCATTACCAAAACCTGATAGAGCCATTAAATGAATGAAATGCGTTATCACTTATCACAGTCAGAGATATCGATTTTGGATCATGTTAGAATCCGTATCCGTTCTGGTGTTGATCTCCTGTTCTTCTGGATCTTCTTCCTGTACCGGGAGATCCCGAGTATGAACTGCTCTTGGAATACATCGACGAAGATGACGCCAAGTCCAGATGTTTTGACGCAGCTGTTGAATCGGTACCACGATTGTACACTGATTCTGCTTCCAAAGGAAGCTCGTCTAGTGTCTGTTTAACACCCAAAACCACATGGTTCATATATAAACATACGACGGAACAAGGTTTATGAATGTAGAGAATTACGTCTGGCTGAGAACATACCCTGTAAGCTTGCTGAAGAATGTGGAGAGTCTCCTGGGTGCGTTTCCTCTTAACTGCTATCTCATCTGGCTCTTGCAGCATTTCTTCAAATAAGTTCTCCCTGCACCAGATGATAGAAGTAACCAGTAATAAGAAACTAATCTAAACACAAATGTTCAACATCAAAATATAAAAAAAAAAAACAACCCCGGCATCACCTGTAAAGCTTCTTGATGAAGACATTGTGCAGCTCACGTTTCGTGTGGTTTACCTGAATATGATATAGAAGTGGTATCAGTATCTTCAGAGTTCAGTTACTTTTAGAAAACAACAGGGTTTAATTGGACAAGATGGATTAACAGCATTTCATTTGTAACCCGTCAAAGAGAGAATTGAAAAAGAGGATCAAATATTAAAGTGATGATATATTGTAAACTTACCAGGAAATGCATGATTGCTTTTGGTACCGAGTCCTCAATATTCTTCCTTACAATGTCATAGTATGATTTAAGTAACAGCTTTGTTATCTCAATCTCGACTGATTCCTGTTCTGAATGGGTTTCAGATGGCCTCAAGACAGCTGGGGGCTCCTTTAGATAGATCATCGATAAGTTCTGAGACATAACCTCAACAGCTTCACTGAATGGTTTGTTTAAGAAGTTCTCTTTGGTAACTGCCCGATTATCACCCCCTCGAAAAATTGAAGGGATACCCCACCTTGAGTCACTCGCATTTGCTATCAAGTATCAATTGTCACAATTAAAACCACAGTTAAAACTCTACCCAGAATCTCCAGCTCTTAAACACATAGAATCCTCACACAGCTAAAAATCTTTCCGAAACATGTTAAATTATCTCTTGCATGAAATTAGACCATTACCAGTTGGTGCAGCTTTTTCAGCATCTGCAGATACAACTCCCTGGGAACATATCACAGAGAGTGTCAATAACAACTCTTTCGCTTGAAAAATATATAATTTCTTCATGGACGTTTAGTGCCAACCAACAGTGCATGAATATATATAGATATAACTATATAACATTAGAAATTACATACCTGATCAGCAACAATTCCATTAGCTTGTCTGCCGAGAAAAGATCGAGATTTCACCTGACTTGCGGAAGATGAAGATGTTCTATCAGGCTCCACTGTATCCTGCTCCATCAAATCAAACGTATGAGACACACTGCCGAGCATATAAGAAACACAAAACTAATTTTTATGTGTTGCTCAAAGGACTTCATACCTTTGGTCGTGCCACAGGATGGGGAATCCTAGAAGACTTCACGTGTTGCATTGCAACCTCCACGGCCTTGGTTCCACCAATAAAATTTGGATGAGAAGTATTTATGTAATCCATCTGCAGGTAGCACTCAAGAAGTTAACATTACCATTGCCACCAGCTCTAATAATTTAGTTTACATTTAAAAGAAACTAATCAATCTAAAGCGAGAAATCACTGCTGAAGATTGAAAAGTGATTCTAATCAACCAACATGAGAAACAATCAGTCTCTACTCCCTATACACAATACAGGATCTCAACTGATATTCATGTGTAATGACGTCAGTGATCATAGGGATCTCCAATTCATTATACAGACCTCCATATCAATGATATCCCCGATCATTGCTTCTGAGGGTTCAAGGCCTTCTCGCAGGAAATCCCCGATAACCTCATCCATGCGCTTTCTCAGGACAGGGAAGCGCTGTAACTCATTAATCATACATCTATGGCTTATCTGTAGAGAAATTCAAATTTATGAAGAAAATGAAATTAAGATTCTCATTTATCAACAACCAAAAAAAAAACCTCACCTTTATGAGCTCATCAAAAATGAACCTAGCACATTGAAGGCTAGGGTCTAGCAAACGAGATATCTGCCTCCTAACAAGAACTTCAAATGGAACCTATGCAGAAAAGATTGAAGTCAAGAGATTTTTAATTAGATATCCCGGGAAGTAGAAATGTAAGGAAACATATGAATGCTTGAACTCCCTGACAACCAGGATCCAAAAAAGCTTAGAAATATATTAAGAAACCTACGTCTGGTACGAATAATGCGGATCTCGGACCAGTTGCATTTTGAATTGCAGTCCGAATATCATCATCTGTCAAGTCTTCGCATGGATCAACCTCCTGAAAAGTAATGAGAAAGAAGTCCATCAGTCTAAATTCACAGAAATCCACCTCAAGTGGTTCCACAACATACGCAGATTAAGCAAGAACTGATTATAAAAAAAAAGTAAAGCTGTGCAACCGAACCTCCAAACTCTTAACAAATATTGATTGGAAAATATAGTGAATTCTTGCTCCTCCAGAGAGCTCGGACGTAGACATTTCTTCACTTTTCCCTTCTAGCAATGACGAGTATGCTGTTTGAAAAAGTTAACCATGAGACTCACTATGAACCAGAGAAAGCACAAAACAAATTCTCCATTGTCTCAACTAAAATATCATCTTCACCTTCACAGTATTTTGAAAGAAAGTTGAGGAGAAGAGCTCCTTGACCAGCCTAAAGATTTCAAGGACAATACCACAGAATAAGATAAACCTATAACAGTGTCATTATTAACAAAGAATTCGGTAAATGAGCCGCAAAATGGGCAATAAATACATACCCTGGATTCTGTAATTTCGCCGTAGCTCTGATGCTCCTTAGCTGTAGCAACCAAAGCATTACTTATACGCGACTTCAAGTCAGGAAGCAGAGCCTTGATATGTTGTACAAGAATCTGGAAAAAATGCAACAGAAAGGCTAGCTTCTATTAGTGATGTTGTAATGTAAAAAGTACCAATGCCACAAAATGCTTCTATTGGTACTTTTACAATAAAAACTAGTCAAAAATAACAAAAAATTCAGTATCTGAAATTCTGAATCAACTTTCACAATAAATAATAAGCCTGATTGTCCGAAATATACTCTAACATCATCTCACGATAGATACTGATCCAGAAAGCGATCCCTTATGTCTTACTGAACAATATAAAGTTTAAAAATATATAAAAAATAACTCTCAAAACTGCAGAAAATACCTGATTCAACTTTTTCGCTAGCTGAGGGATACCCAGACGATCAGCAAGACCATGATAAGCCTGTTTAGTACAAAAGAAAACTGTAAAGAAGACAAATCGCAAGGGTGTCAGGAAGGGAGTCAACAAAATGATGCAATCATACTGGACGACTCCGGAAGAATTTCTCTTCTGCGCTAAGTGCTTCCTTGACTGAACGGTTTAGCAAAATGTCCTGTTTACAAAAACATAAGGACCAAAGTAAATTTAAAACGTCGTGTGAATGCAGAGCCACAAATTAAAAGCAATTTTTTTTTTATCACCAGCATTGAAATGATTTGGTTGAGTCTAAAAAAGCAAGTACAAATAAAAGGTAGAATCGTAAAAAATAAATGGAAGAGTCAGCATACTATATGATAGCAAGAGAAATATAAGACACATAAGCACAAGACCACAGCTTTACCTCCTGGCAACGGTTCACCACTCCCACATACCCAAGTCGTAAAGGAACAACTTTTCCAAGAAGTAAATTACGAGCATCGGTACCTTTGTCCATGATATCCAACTGAAAACAGTGAGAAAAAAATATTGTAAAACACACGAAAGACAGGGACGACTATATATACGACCAAAGTACAATGATAGTAAGCAAATATCTGGACAGGGAGTATGCACCTTTGTAATTACACCTATTGTTCTGTGACCTGGAGACAGTATATATACGAGGAAAGGTGAAGATGAGTAATGTCAAATACAACACATTAAATAAACAAAATTTCGCCACACTGAACTTGTTAGCAGTACTTACCATCAGGATCGGCGTTTCCTGCAATTTGAAGGGCATCTGAGTTTGCCAAATCGGAATTAGCGGGAGTAACAGCCAGTATCAGGCAGCTAGGTTGCTTGATGTAAGACAAGATCATGGTTCTAATACGTGCTTCAATGTCTGTTGGCTGGTCACCCACGGGAACCTTGGTTATACCAGGCAGATCCACAAGCGTGATATCCAATACATTAGGGGAAAAAATCTTTAGACGAATCTGTTTGTCTGATACACCTTTGTTATCTCCTGCTAATCTATTCGTCTCAGCCTGCAAAGATAATTCCTTTATACATTAGAGCATTCAAAGGTAATGCATCCAAATACAGTATCAAGCTATTGGAAAGGGAAACGAACTAAGAAGTCGATTTGGCCAAATTGGTATCAATCAAAAAGCAAGGAATTGTAAGAAAAGAGAAACAAAAACCTCAATTTCGCGACGAATCTCAGAGAAATCATAGATACGGTTGTTAGGGAGGTGGAGGAACTCCCCCCACTCGTCGTCGGATCCACCGTTGGACCGGCTTTTGGTCTGGAGGAGCTGGAGGACGAGAGGGCGACGCGTGCAGATATCATTACCCCGCGGGAGAAAGTCTCGGCCGACGAGTGCTTCGAGGACGCTGGACTTGCCACTGCTCTGGCTCCCGACTACAGCTACCTGAGGAAGCTCGATCGAAGACTGGCTTCCCAGCTGAGCGAATATGTCCTGCAGCTTATTCACAATCGGAATCACGGAGGATCCCAACGGCGCGGCTTTGCTAGCAGCGGCGGCGGAAGAAGGCGGAGAGGTAGACGGAGGAGGAGTCTCGCCGGTTACTTCTTCAATCGCCATCGACGGATCGGGTTGAATGATCAAAAGGCTAGGGTTTTTGGCCTTTTTGGGTAGAGTTCGTGCAGAAGAGGAACTGGAAAAGAGAGAGGGTCAAGACTCGATTTCGTGCTTACTGTAATCGAGAAGACGGATCCTCCTCTCACGAATGATAAGAGCAAAGTTTTTATTTTTTGACGCTAAGTTTTTATATCACTAGTTTTACTTTATCAGCAAGCTCTTTTGTTTTAATTTTTCGGTTATGTTCTAAATTAAAATATTTTTTTTTACTTGGGCTAAGAGTTTGGAAACGTGAAGAAGCCGCATTTCACTCTCGATTTTAAAAAGAAATAAAAAGAGTAAACTAATCAAAAATCCATATATTACAATTAAAAAGTAATACTATTAAGGATCACCATCAATAATATATCTCACCGTGTAACAAGGTCCTAATCCTAACGCTAACAGAAACATTCTCATTTTTTGCAACTTTTTTTTTTCACTTGGTTTTGATGAAATTGCAAGTTTTTAAAATTAGTAGGCGTATTTCATAATTTGTAGACGAATACTGTACGTAACGGTAAAAAAATAAAATAAAACATAAGTGGAATTAGCTTTAGCTCGTTTCGGAAAGGTTGGAAAATGTTAAAGTGATGTGGGTCTTTTAGTCTTTTCACCCTGATAAATAGAAGATTATATCTGAGAGACGACATATTAAATTTGTAGGGGAGAGAGGAGAAGAGGATCTGTCATCGTCGAGCTGTCTTCCTTTCCTCCGATTTTGGAAACTGGGAAAAGGTCGCATCTCTCTCTTTCAATCCCAAGGAAGAAGAAAGAATGAACGTAGAAGAGGAGATTCAGAAACTCGAGGAAGAGATCCATCGTCTTGGTTCTCTCCAGCCTGATGGCTCTTACAAGGTGCTCCCTTTTATCTCTTCTAATCCTCAAATCTTCGTGGATGCTCTTAGATAGATCTTCCCTAGCTCTGGAATCTGAATCCTCAGTCCACCTACTCTTATCGAAAGATTGCCACTTCCTCTCTTTTTCTTTTGTTTGTTGTCTCAGATCTAAATTCGTTATGTGAATGAGTTGATTGAAAGATAAGATCCTGAGGATTGCTCTGTTTCATTTGGTTCAGGTGACGTTTGGAGTGTTGTTCAACGACGATCGATGTGCAAACATCTTCGAAGCATTGGTTGGGACACTGAGAGCCGCCAAGAAGCGCAAAATAGTGGCATTTCCAGGAGAACTGTTGCTTCAAGGCGTTCACGACAAGGTTGAGATCACTCTCCGACCACCACCACCGCAAGCTGCCGCTGCCGTTTCCTCCTAACTTCTCGTTTTTGTTTTGTTTGATCCTTTTCCTCTTCTGTGTGTAATGAAATGATAAACTGGAAGATCAATGATTTCTTTGCTTCTCTCTATTATATAAGCTTTGTCTTTGTGCTATTTTTCAAGGTGTTGCAACGAAGACAGTTAACAAGATATATTCTTATTTTCTGCATTTTATAATCTGAAAATATACAAAGGAAATTATATAATATATCAACTATTGCCAAGTTTATATCCAACTAGCAATCTCTGAGGAACATACATTAATTTACACAAATCTATAGACTTCTCCAACTCGACAATCCAGTTTTCCTTTTCTGACAAAACTCTCAGCACCCGTCTTAAATCGCAGGCATGATCAAATACTTTTAACGTGTTAAATCTTGCCTCAACTTGGGTACCTTAAGCCAAGCTCCAGAAGAAAAGAGCCATTACCGGTCCAGAAACATTAGAGAGAACCCTGAACTTGAACTAATCTTATCTTATGCATAATCGATCCCACGAATCTGCAAACAACGTAACCATTCTAATCACCTCTCTGAGCACCGACGACCTCTCATATCTGCTATGTATAGAGAGGAGTACGCTTACAATGGCTATGACCAGAAGAAAGCCCTTCCTCGATTGTAGAGCGAGAAGACCAAAAAAAAAAATTCTAGGATTGAAGCCTCAGGCGGTTGAAGAACATCACAAAGTGATATTCAGGTGCCCAATAGACAAATCCAACGACGGGTCCTCCTTTTACATACTGCATCAAAACCATGATTTAGCAAACATATCACACAAAACATGATCATACAATTGAGTTTGGATGAAGAGAGGAACCTTGCCATCCAGGATAACAAGCTCGCCATCTACCCATCTTGGATTACGAAATCCAGGATCAGCAAGCCTGCCTTGTCCTTTGTATCTAGCAATCTGTATTTTTTTTATAAGAAAAACTCCATTATGAAGCTACACAAACTAGAACTCCAATAAGAAAATATTAATAAATTTGGATTGTGTTCTAAGCAATACCACTCCAAATTCTTCGGGGATGAGCCCTCTATGAGGAAGCTCGTAACGTCTACCAATCTTTGCTCGAAATGCCACCTGTCATGAGATACGACTGTGATAAGGCCACCCATTATGACATTGCAAGTAAGCAGGTGTGTATAGATAATGTTTTCTTTCTTGTGTAGTCGGGATAAGTAAATGACAGAACCATGAACATAACAGCTTCTTTTTTTCCACCACATCGGTAACGCAATATCCTTTCGTTCTTCTATTACGTTTCACCTTCAACTACTGTAAGCATGCTAATTCTTAAAACTGAAAATTAAAATTGCGGCCCTTCATATTTGTGTTTATACCTTATATTAGAAGAAACAAAGAAACTAACCTTCCCAGCAGGTACATAAGGATCTCCAGTTAATTTCACAGCTTCGACATATTCATAAAATTCAATATCGGTTGGCTTCTTAGACTCCTTTCCACCTTTCCATTGGCCAAATTTGCGTTTTAAATGAATTACTTCTGATGTATACAGCCCATGTGCGCCAATGTATAACCCTGGATATAGATGTACATATATTTTCAAAATCCATTCCATAATGTGAGAAAATGTTATTTATAGGGAAGGATTGCAAAACTCAAAATAATCTCGCACCGACCCAATAGTAACACGGAAAGAAGGTAACTTCTAACAGTTAAACGAGCCACACTGACAAAATTGTAATTACTTAGGTGCAATCAATTTGTAGAGCCCGTTTTCATTTTCTTTAGATAGAAGCAGAAAACAACAACTGTTCAAATTCAATCAATTTACCCACTCACCATCTAGAGGATCTGGCGATGGTGTCACATCAATGCGACGGAATTTCGTCAAACCCGACAACTGTTGACGGTTTTGAGCCTGGCTGAGAGTGAGGCTTAATAGCTCCCCAACATCCTTAAGCATCTGCAAAACCGAATTGTTAGAATAAGTTGGGACTACCATTTTGCAGTGAAACAATAATGTTTAAAGCACAACAGCAAAACAAACCTTGAGAGAAATTTTCTTCTCTTTCTCAATGGATTTGGCCAGATCAACCATAATGTTATCAATCCTGCGTCTGCTTTGGCGGTTACCTTTACCATCAACTAATGTACCTTCCACACCCTTAGACTCTTGTACGTTCAAATCTTTCTCTAAACGAAGATAAAATGAAGACTTCTCCACAGATTCGAGATTGGCAGGGGATCGAAGTGACTCTTTGAGAGGTTGATTTCCAGAAAGCCGATCAACAATATCGCTTATCACAAACTTAACAGCGATTTCTCTCCCTCCATTGTTGTCAATGATTTCATCCTTCACGGATTCCAATTCGATGTCAGAGTTTTTCTCATCGGTTTCGGCCTTAGTTTCATCTTCCACTTCTATTTCTTCTATATCAAGATCGTTCTCTTCATCTTCTTCGTCAGCTATCTGCTCAATAACTTTTGAGATGAAATCCTTGTCCACCTTCCCAGGCGCAGTTACTTTCATGACCTTGACTTTGACCCCAGGAATCATATCTCGAAGGAAACTCTGGAAACCAGAAGATTCCTCAAGGAGATCAGAATCGTCGTCTGAGTTATCACTCTCTTCATCTTCACTACTCTCGACAGCAAGATTACCTGCATCTTCCTTCCTACCCGGCGAAGCCAAAAACCTGGCAGAGTTTAAAGTTCTCGAAGGCATAGTCGGAACGTCCGGAAAAATCTCCTTCCATTTTAAGTACACAGCCTGAAGAAGCACGCATCCCAAAAGAAAAACATAAGTCCAATTTAACATAAAGATAGACACATTCGTCAAGTGATAACTTAGAGAAGTTTACGATTTGATATCGACTCAAAAAGGCCAGCTTCCAGTAAAGAACCAAGTTCATCGATTAAGCAGAAAAATGATTCTCCAATGAATATCCCAATTACACAACTTGACAGTAGCTACTTAAGATTAAGGAGGGGGGCAAAAAAACCTGCTTTTTGTAGTTCCCTTTTCCATCGAGTGTCAGAAAGATTTCAAAAAGAGGAGCACCCGCAGCAGATGTACTAAGCTGACTGAGAGAGAAATGGTTTTTCGTATAAATCAATTTTTCAAAAGAACGAATAACCTTAAGAAAGGTGGCTTTTTGATACACCAAACCTCACTTTCACAGATTAAATTGATGAACAAAGAAGATAGAATAAGGTTGTTACCGCGGATTATAACTTCTTGCAACGTATCTTCCATGCTCTGCGGTAATTTGAACGATAAGACCAAAAGGATCCTTGACATCTTCCGAAATACCCGACCACCACCCTACCTGCAAGCCATATATAAAAGATATAAGAGTAGCTTTCTACACCTATAAGAAGCTAAACCATAATTAAAAAAAAAAAAAAAATCATGAAAGAAACAACAAAACAAATAACGAGCTCACCAACCCAGCACCAGCTTTGTCTCGTAAGTATACTGCATCCTTGTAACGCTCTTCAAGAACAGCTCTCTATCACAAAGGGAGAAAAAAAACAAGAAATAGGAAGAACATCTTTCAGAACTAATTCAAATGAAGTTTCCTTAAAAAAGAGTGTTAGAGACTATGATTTCACATTTTTCGGAGAGTTCATACTTTAAAACGTGACATGACTCTGCCAACAGCGTCATTCGTAGCTGCAGCTGCAATAGCCACCTTCAGCCTCGCAGCATCTTCATAGTCTTCTCGTTTGATGGCTCGATTCAATTGCGACTGCACACAAATACAAATTTTTCGCAAGTTTTCTCCAGCAATTTCGTTCGAAGTGAAAGTTTCACGATAGAAGCAATGGGAATTTGTACAGGACCCTAACCTTAAGGACAGAGAGAAGACGGTCTTGCTCATCAATTTGTTCGAAATGCTTCTTCCATCGCTCCCAATCCCAATCACCTTCCTCGCTCCCCGATCCTTGCTCCCCGAAAACGACGTCGTCTGCAGCATCCTTATCCTGAGCCCTGTACCAGCTCAAGACGGAGTCGAATCGTTTGATGGCGCCCTTGAGGACATCCTGAATCGCGGAGTCCCATCTAGGGTTATCGTCGGGGGAGGAAGCAGAGGATGGATTTCCGCCGGAGGAGGAGCAGCGGCAGAGGGCGGCAGGATCGGAGAGACGTTGGGGGTAAAAAGGTCTTTTGGTGGAAGTGAGCCGTGAAGACGTGGCGGTAGCGGCAGCGGCGGGGGAGAAGACGAGATTTTGTGACGGCGGCGTGGATAAGGAAGGCATCGCCGGGAAAAGAGAGAGAGAGAGAGAGTTTGAGGAAATGAATAAATGTTTTGTGTTATGTGGATGAAATTTGATAGAGATTGAGAATGGGCTTATTGTGTTGTCCAACGGAATTGCGACTTGTGTGACTCTGTTGTGTTTGTTACTATGTGTATGTGTTATGTTATTGACCAACCAACCAAACGCAAACGTTTTTTCCGGATGTCTGATATTTTTTAGTCGATACTAGTTTTCAGGATTGAACCAAACGCAAACGAAATGGAGTGTAGTTATCCAAAATATATAAACCCTGCTCTGAAATCCCAAACAAAGAAAACGAAAATGTTTTTTATTTGCTACCAAAGTGTCTACTACAAAAAAAATCATTGCGATTATTGTTATCTATCCTTATGATTGATTATGTTGTAAAGTTGTTCTTTTTATGGAAATATCGGAGAATCAAGCGGTTTCTGTATTTCAGATAGACAATTATTTAATATCTATGATGCTATAAAGAAAGAAAATATAAATAGTTGAGTAGTTATCCCAAAGAGGAAGGAAAAGAGACTTGATCGGCCGGTGAAAGAATCCCCGTTCCAGTAGCAACCACTTTGTTCACACACATCGCATCGATCCAATTTCTCGATTCCAATATTCACCCGAAGACGGTGGATCGTCGCCGGAGCAGAGATATTACCTCCCGGGGAAATCGTTTTCAGATGGAGAGGGCCGAGGAACACGAAGAAATCGCCGAACCTTCGACCGGAGCATTAAGATCGAGGCTCAGCAACAGAGCCGACCCTTTCCTTGTTGTTTGCAGGTGCTTCAGTTTCGTCACCTCTCTCATCGCCATTCTCTGCGTTGTCGTTAACGTTCTCGCTGCCATTCGCTCCTTCAGGGACAGCCACGATGTAATCCCTGTCCCTCTCTCTCTCTCTCTTTTCTCTCTTCTCTCTCTTGTCTCTCGATCTTCGTCGCCTGAAGGTTTTTTGTTCATTCCCTGGCAGGTATTTGATGGAATATTCCGGTGTTATGCGGTCGTGATTGCTTGTTTCGTTGTTCTCGCCGAGACAGAATGGGGATTCATCCTCAAATTTTCAAAGGTTTCGTTTTTTTTTCTTCTACTATGCGTCTGTCATCACACTTACCTAAACTTTACACATCTCTGCTCTTTATACAGGTACTTGAGTACTGGGCTGGGAGAGGAATGCTTCAGATTTTGTAAGTCACAGCTTTATTAGTGAATCTGGTGGTTCTGCTTTGACCATTGCTCGGTTGTTGCTATAGGATTCGATGTTTATACATATATATTGCTTTGGTCATTTCAGTGTTGCTGTGATGACAAGAGCTTTCCCTGACTATATGGCTCAAAGGAAGGATCTCCTGCTTCTACAGAATATCGCAAGCTACATGCTCCTTGCTTGTGGTCTCCTCTACGTCATATCAGTACGATATCACCTTCATTCTTACAATTTCACATCTCCTCTCTTCTTATTAGTTTGTGGTTAGATATCGTACTTGTCAGAATGCGTTTCACTCGAAATTGGAATAGTGCATCTTACTGTTTCTATTGGTCAATCTCTTTCCCAATTTTGCCAGTCTTTTGGCCTGCCTATGTTAATATCTGATGAGTCCCCCTTTATATTCTTTGATCGTTGTCTGAGCTTCAGGGAGTTCTATGCATTGGCTTTCTGAAGCGTGCTCGACAGCAGAAGGAGATTTCAAGAGAACAAGCTGTCAAGGATCTTGAGGCAAGTATTTGATGATACTCTATTTGCAACATTCATCATTATTGATATTTATCAGAGATGGCGTCTAAATCATTAATTGTTGACACTGGTTGTTGCAGGAGATAGACCGACGCAGGGAAGAGTTGGAACAGTTGCTCGTGGAGCATCGGAGTAGAGACGAGGTGTGACTGTGATCACAAGTATAGCTTCATCGAATGGACCAGTTCTGTTTCTTTTTGTATTAAAGGATTGTGTGTGTGAGCTTCTTGTTTTCATCCTCCCACTTGGATAATAAATAACAGCATAGCTTTTTGCTTTCTTTCTTGTTTATTGAAAAACACAGTTTGTATACTTTCCGTATAGAAGACGAGCAACATTGATAATTCATCTTTTATATATTCAAAATGGTGGTAAGAGAACCAGACAAAAAATTACAGACCGTTAAAACCAAACAGAAAATATACAAAATCGCATGAGATTGGCGATATTATCCATCTTCATTACAATATCAAGTCTTTGGCCTCTTAGCCTTCACATTAGAACTTTTAATCAAGAAAATTCCTTTGTCTCTAAGATCATCGCCTGAAGCTGAGCTTCCCTCATCATCAGACAACACAAGAAGATCGTAGCAAGAAGCAGCAGCTGAATCTCTACTCTTGTTCACTCCTTCCTCAATAGATGCTGAATCAGACTTGATTTCTACGGTTCTAGGAATCTCTTTGGATTCTCCAGTAACTAGAAGCAATTCATCATCATCTTCCTCTTTCATCTCAACTTCACATGAATCTTGGGAATCAGAGACGTATTCTACTGAAACAGTTTCGTCATCCTCACTGTCCTCAATATAAAGCAGGCATTCCTCTTTCCGTAATGTTTCGATCTCTTGACCAAAAGTTTCTTCTTCTGTGTCCATTGGCAAAGGGGTTTCTTTACCACCACTTTCTTGAACTTCCTCCTGGTTTGAGAAAATAGTATAGAATCGCTTTCAACGTAAGATAGTTAGCAGTGGAATCCAAATTGAAGACAGAGAAATAAGGAAATTACCACTATAGGCGACATAAAGACCTTTTGGCGCTTAGAAGACTTAGGCTCATAACCTCCTGCATTAAAACTCTCTTCGCAAAGTATCAGATCTTGCATGTCACTTGCGGAGGGACAAGCCTTCGTTTGTGGGGCGGTTGATGAAGAACTATCAGATGGTTTTCTCCAGCTACAAATCTCATTCACATTCCCGCTTTCATTTTCTTGATCATTCCTGTTCGAAACTTCGCAATGAGGTGGTTTACTTTTGGCATTGGCTGGAAGAATACTTGGATCATGACCTCTGTGGAGATTGTAAAGCAATTCTAAGATGTATCCACGCTTTAGTGAAGCTTCCTTTGGAGGAAACCAATTCTTAGTTAGCTGAAAAGAAGTAGAAAATGAATCACTGTTTCTTGCTGGAGTATTTCATATCATAAGAAAATGGAAGATCTTCACATTGGACATGAATTAAGTATTCGTGGTTTGTATCAACTTTCTAAAATACTTTTCGTGAAACATGTAATAGTTAACAGAATTTAATGACTGACAGATAAAACAAAATAATATCAAATGCAACTTCATCAAATCTTTTTGACGATGGAAAAAAGACAGACAACTTACAAAATTTTCCGATCTTGTGATAAGGGAAGGATTGAATTTAGCAGGAGCTTGAGCCACAAAAAGATCCAAATAGTGGAGCAAAAAGAAGCCACAGTCAAACGAATTCTCTTGCTGCGGGAGCTGAATTTGTTAAATGAAGCAATCGTATCAGAAAGGCCCCTAAATAATTTTTCACAAAGTCCACAGCGACTTATATCGATCGACTCCAACAATAGAACTGTAACATGTTTCTCCAAGAAAGTCTACCAAAACTGACTTGATATGTTACGCAAAAACATGTCTACAGAGTAAAGCTTCACCTATCAAGCTCATCAACAAGTTCATCTGTTGCACGCATACATGTAGGGGTATTATGTAAACGAGGATAATCTAAAACCAGAGCTTTACTCAATCATGACAGGATTATATTAGTTTTGGAGCTTAAGATAATTTCATCCTTGTTAGGAAGCAATACCTCAAGCGAGATGAGCTGCAGATTTGAAGCTCTTGAGAAATCAATCGTTGTTTTTCCTTGCCTCGCTTGCCACTCTTCACGTAGGTAACTGCGATCACATAAATCACATTTATGTAGTTCACTTATGCTGTACAACGAATATTCATTATAAAATCCATGCATTTGACTAGGCATGATAAGGAAAAGTGAAAAAAAAAACGGAGAGTAAGAAGATGTAAATGGATAAAATATTAATCAAGAGTTCCCAAGTAAAAACGAATGATGAACTGCAAACCAACACCGCATAGTCAGCTTTGATCTCAAAACAAAGATTGGATCCAGCCTCCTATTCATAAGTTGCACCCAACACTATACTAACCAGCAATTACTCTCGAGGCTATATGTAAAAGTACCGTGACTTAAAATGGTCTCCTAAAACCCATATGTCAAGAACGAATAAATGCCATGGCAGCGAACTTTAATGAAACGTTGTAGAGCATACCTCGGAAAAATGTTTACGAGACCACCTTTGTGACATCCTTTAATTGAGTCCAGATGCAAGATGCAGGGAACCCTTGATGGATTTTCGACTTCATCATCAGCAGAGTGAAAATTAATTTCTAGGGTTTAAAAGTAAGTTAAACAAGTATAAGAAAATAACATAGCAAGTTCATCTTACCAGGAGAAGGAACCAATTCACCTGGATGACAGATGATAATTAGACTCCAGTGAAAACTGCAATCAAACGCAAGTATAAGCCGTCTTATCAGCGGTAAGAAAAAAAGTAGTTCTGTGTGTGAAGTATGTTCACCTGCAGTTTATAGGAATAAATATATAATCTTTTTCAAAAAGATCCACATTCTTAGTCCACTTCTGCACGCGTTGGTATGCTTCCCTTCCTCCAAACGTGCTAGGTGAACCTTTGTCTAAGTTTGCCAGCTTACGGAAAAAGAAACAATTGAAAAAGTGGAATCTGCCCCGCTCCTCTGGTGGAATTCGACTCTTAAGGTACCTGCAAGTCTTAAACCCAACTTTACAACCCGACATGGTTTTTAATTATAATATAAACCCCTACCATGTAACATATTTTAAACAAACGAGAAGAGACTTCACTTTTGACTCATAAAAAAATGATGCACCTAGTCTTGCAGTTTTTGGCTTGTAAGCATTCTGCGTTTCTACAGATAGTTTTTATTTCCTTTTAATCTTCAATATGGAAAGATAGTAACTTACTTGATATAAAAATCAATGATTGTGTCATTAATGAAACGTCTTGGCTTCAGAAGCTCAATGTCTTGCTTCCTAACGACTACAGCATCCGGGTCTCCTTGAGGGTAAACTAGGTCTTCAAATGAATCAGCGAGACTGAAGATCAGAATACAAACAGTCAAGATGTAAGATAAAACTAAACGGGGGTTCAATATCATAGTATCTAGATTATTTTAAGGCACGAAGTGTTACGATGTCATGCATAAACATATTGGGTATATATCTCAGGGAACTAGGTGGTGCACATAGCCAAATTCATCATATAGCACGCCTCCTAATTCTAATAGAAAATTCTTCCATAATTTTGCAGACATCTAACTTTCAGGTCAGCATACATAAGTAAAAAAATAACATAAAAGAAGAGTACAACACCAAGTTGTCAGATTACGTTTACCAAAATTTAAATGTATAAACCATGTCATTCGATGATATTATAGTTTACACTCACTTGGTGAGTGAAGTTCCCAAATTGTGTCCACTGCAAGCACTTTCCTCGCTTTCTCTGTCAACATTCAACAACAAATTTAAAGTTAGAACCCGCCAGATATTGTTCCTATCTTAATAACTCATCTCTCTCATTTTCTTTCTAAAAACTTTTCTAGGATTTAAACCTTTAGTGGTCCTTGTTAGTATTGTCAAAATCCCTTTTCATGAATAGATTTGTACAGTTGAAATCTTCCAAGAAATCTATCTAGCTAACGAGTAAACAGTTGAACGTCATACATTTTTATATACGACAGCACATATATATTTTGTTCACTATAGCCTCAAGAGGAAAATAGAAGAAGAAAATAAAAAGCACTAACACAATGGTGCCAATACGTATTTTCTTGATGACTTACGTTATGGTATCAAACCAAATATCCTTGTATCTCGAGTTCAGCAATTTGATGGTTTCTACTTCTTTAGACCATTTAGAGTCATAAACAGAAAATTTTAGGAGATCAATGCCTGTCAGCAGGGGGGGCAGATGTTAGTTAGACTAGAGCTGACGTTGTAAACATCAAAAAGCTACCAACAGAGAAATATGATGTGTATGCCTTTCTTATTCAGCTCACAATTTCCAATTTAAGAAACCCCCTCCCACTTAAACAACATTGACATAAACAAATGTGAACTTTAGGTAAACCTGAAATCTCTTTCGCACCGTCAACTGCTTTAGGATCCCTGGACTTCAGAAGGACGTTGACAAAGGCAGTCTCAACCTAAAAATAACAAATCAAGTATCATAAAAAAACCATCAACCCCTAAATGAAGATTTAGCAGAACTCACCTCTGAACACCACTGAGACTCAATTCTGATGATGTCTTCTATTGTCCACTGACAACCAAATGTCTCTGTAGTTGCATTTACTGATGAACTTTCAACATTCATACAGTCGCGTGAAAATGTCAACTTCGAGTTTGTACAGTATATATCTCCATATACAATAACATCAGGAAAGATGAGAACTTGTGAGTTTTCCGAATCCTGTAAATGCAGAAAAAGAAAAAGCATGAGATAATTTCTGCATATAAACTCACATTCACAACTCTTGAGACAAACAGCAAATCGAAATCTTTTCAGAGGAAGACAAGCTTATGTGTGATCCTTAACTATCTCTAATAAATACTTAATAGTACAACTCGAAGAGACTTACAACTTCATGTGGATCACAAGCAGAATTTGCGGCTTCTTCTCCAATTGAGGCTAAAATCATTCAGAAGTTCCTTTAGAGCAAGTAACTTTGAGAGAAGAAACAATAACAATAACTGAAACTAGATAGAGAATACTATATGCTAAAAACCTTCATCATTTTCCAACAGAGATAATGAAGTTGATGAATTGATTCCAATTCTTCCATGGGAGCCATCAGAGATAACATCAATCAGGTCACACTGCAATATGTTGTATAGCAAAAAATCAATAAAAAATTCTACACAATCTTATTTCTTAGTAATAACTCCTTCATGACTGTATGACAAAGGCTCACATTTTCATATCCGCTGAGTTCAGACCTAGAGCGTTCTTCTTCTGCTGGGACTGCATAAACCAAAATTTAGTTTAGCCGAGCTAGATGACGAATTGATAAAAGTTCAAGGAAATGGTGATTGCTGGAAAGGAGCTTCTGCAGTAACTCATATAGACAATCACTGATTATTTTATGTGACCCAAATACTTTAATCACAAATGAAAGAATAGTTTTCAGGGCTCATTCCAGTGTTTAAAGTGGCAAACTGCAAATGAGTAGCGGAACCACAATTCCCCTCTTTGTGTATACTTTTTCTCACATAATCAAAGGACCAAACTCTAACTCAAGTCAATGCTGATCATCCACAATAGCACTAGCATCTGAGAACTACAATTTACCCAGAACAATGTCATCATTTGCAGCCCTCCAGTATATAGTTCTCGTACTTTCACCTTCAACATCAATAACTCTGTGGTCCACTTCTTTGCTCTCGCTTTGGGTGTCCTGCGCAACTGCAGTTGAAAGATGTTACACAAGAATAAGATCTTCCTTCTCCTGTGTTACCATGTAAAACTTGATGTTCTAGCTCTAAGAAAACATCGTGATTACTCAATTATAGTTTCGATGCATCACACAGGAGTGAACAACTCTTGCATCAAACATTCGTTCCCAGACACTAAAAAACGCAAAATTCAACAAAATAAATTTCTTAATTAAAGTAAAAGACCACCTTGATCTTCCGGCTATCATAAACCCAACAGATTTCCAGGATAGTGAAAAACAAATCGACCAAAAAAAGGAATAAATCAATAGAAAACAGAGAGAAGAAAAACTTACAGATTCGAAGGAAGTCATACTTGTCGATGGCGCGGGGAGGTTTAGTTCCTGGGGAATCGAACTTGCGAAGGAGTTTCATCGACATCTCTTCAACATGTTTATCCTCGTCATTGAAATCGAACACTCCGATCTGCTCGCGCTTACCGACGGATTGATGAACTGACTGCAGAGTCATCGCCGCCGGGAGAATACTGAGTTACAGTTCCGACGGGGGAAGAGGAAAAGAGGCGTATTCTGTACGATGATGCACCAAGAGACGGAATTTGAATTCGATCCTGGTTAGCCGGTTAGGTTAATTAAGGGGAAAAAAATTCAAAAAGGTTGATTTTGGAAAATGGACCACAGAGAATTTGAAATTCTACTGATTACAAAGTTCGTACCGATAACTGTGGAAACATTTATCTGCTCGCGGTAATTCTTTTTTCTTCTTGATAAAATGTTGGTGGAATTTTTTAGTTTTTAGTTTTCTATATGTTCTAAATTTTCGACACATATTTATAAAGTTTTAATAATGATCATTTTAATTTTGCTTTTATTAAAAAATACATTTATTTTTTTTTGTTGAATTTTGCGTTTTTTAGTGTTAATCTTCGAGAAAACAAGAAACATTTTAAATGTGAGAGCAGTTTTTATAAAAGAACATGTGTGGTCGATGTTAAAAGCTGCCTTAAATGTGAGAGCAGATTTTATAACGTTCTTTTTTCAAACATGCAAGCCATCAACTTCTTTGGCAAATAAATGTGAGAGCAGAGTTTCACTTTCCCTGATCACGAGTTTCATTTTACCCATTTCTTCATCTGATTAAAAATAGAACCATTCCCTTTCTTCACATTCATTCATACACAATATGACCAAACGCAGCGTTTCAAGGAGGCTAGTTACCTGTTTTGCCTCCCCTAGGCTCTCCTTTAACGTCTTGTGCCTCGTTGTCACAATATTTGTTCTTGTTCAAATCTGGTCATTTCACATTACCAACAACTCACTCCTTCCTTCACTATTCACATATCTGAATCAGCAAAACGAGACGGCTTACCTGGTGGAGAAGCTACGTGAGTCGGTAACATTTCTTCCCCTTAAAGACCTTCGTTATGCAAATAAACCCCTCGTAGGTCATACATGGTTTATGAGCTCTCTCTACGATAACCAAACCAAAGGTGAGGTTCAGTATCAAGAATTTCCTTCGGATTCTTCGAAAGGAAAGCTTTTGTGCTTGAAAGGGGTTGATGATCACGATGGTTCATGGAACTACTATGCACTGGCTTGGCCTCAAGCTCTTCCGGTCAATGCCACTCTCCTGGAGGGGTTGACGTTTGTTTCCTATAATCACTACGATTACGGTAACATGTGGCATGGACTGTCCGCCATGGTCCCTTTTATTGCTTGGAGCTTAAGAAACAAATGCGAAAAGCCTCAAAGATGGGTTTTATACCATTGGGGTGAACTCAGGTTCAAGATGGGGAATTGGTTGAGCAAGATAATCACAGCGAGTTACGATCAGAACACCGAGTTCTTACGTTTTGTTGATGAGGACAAGCCGGTTTGCTTCGAGAAGGCGGTTGTTATGAGACACAACGAAGGTGGAATGTCAAGGGAGAGAAGAATGGAAGTGTTTGATCTCATTAGATGCAAAGCGAGAAGATACTGTAACATAAGCTTGTCTGAGACATCAGAACCGAGAATCGGTATGACATTGCTGATGAGAACCGGAGCAAGATCGTTCAAAAATGAGTCAGCGGTGATCAATGTCTTTAACAGAGAGTGTAAAAGTGTAGAAGGGTGTGAAATGAAGGTTTCTTATTCAGATAATCTAACATTTTGTGAACAAGTGGAGCTGATGAGAATGACTGATGTGTTAGTATCACCACATGGTGCACAGCTTACTAATTTGGTTCTAATGGATAGGAACAGTAGCGTGATGGAGTTTTTACCTAAAGGATGGGTTAAGCTTGCAGGAGTTGGACAACTTGTGTACCAATGGGGAGCCAACTGGTCAGGAATGAAACACGAAGGCACGTGGCATGATCCGGTTGGGGAAATATGTCAGTTTCCCGATACAGATAGGCGATGTATGTCGGTCTACAAGAACGGTAAGATCGGATACAATGAGACTTACTTTGGCGAATGGGCGAGAAGCGTTTTGGGTAAGATTAGAGTAAGAGAGATGAAAGATGTTGTGGAACGCAACCACGGTCATGGCACGTTAGATGGATGTCAGTGTTAATGGGAAAAAAAAAATTAGGCAAATACTTAAGACTTCGAGTATGTATGATTAATTTTTTGTAAGTAAGTTTTAATATCCAGTAAAGTAACTTTAATTCCATCAATCTTTTTTGTTCCAATATATCCTTTACTCACTTTTAAGTCTTTAACTATAATTTTTTTTTTAATATTGATAGATCTAGCACGAAAACCGATCTAAACCAAAAATACGTGGTTAGTTAAATAAGTAATTTAAGTAGACAAATTGTATGCATTTAAGTCAAGAGTACTTAAAGAAAAGAAGAAAATATCTCGTAGAATGTAAAGCGGCAATAAAGAATTGTAAAACCAGGAATCAAATAAGAGGATGCATGTGTAGTGTGTTGGTCGACTCCAAATCTGCCACATATATATTGGCGTTGCGCCGGTAACGTTGCGTTGACCTTTATGTTCCTCACAAGATTTAATCACAAATTCCATCAAATCAAACCAATTCAGCTTCACTCTATTGAATCGCTCCTAATTCACAATGACGACTAAAGCTAGTGTTTGGAGAAGGCTAGTTACTTGCTTATCCTCCCTTAAATTCTACTTGAACGTCTTGTGCCTCGTTGTCACTGTTGTTGTTCTTCTCCAAATCTCTTCATTTCAAATAACTCAACACTCCATTTCACTCCCTCCTGCTCTACTGACATACTGGAAACACCAACAACAACCTGAATCAATATCTCACAGTGAAAAAGCTTACTTGGTGGAGAAGCTACGTGAATCGGTGACATATCTTCCTCTCAAGGACTACCGTTTTTCAAAGAAACCACTCGAGGGTCATACTTGGTTCATGAGCTCTCTCTACGATAACCAAACGAAAGGCGAGGCTCAGTATCAAGAATTTCCTTCAGAATCTTCGAAAGGAAGGCTTTTGTGCTTGAAAGGGGTCGATGAGCATGATGGGTCATGGAACTACTACGCGCTCGCTTGGCCTGAAGCCCTTCCGGTCAATGCAATTCTCCAGGAGGGCTTGACGTTCGTGTCTTATAATCAATACGACTACGGTAACTTGTGGCATGGACTAACGGCAGTAGTCCCGTTTGTTTCTTGGAGCTTAAGAAACCAACGTGAAAAGCCTCAAAGATGGGTTTTGTACCACTGGGGAGAACTAAGGTTCGGGATGGGGCACTGGTTGAGCGAGATCATCACAGCGACTTACGGTCAAGAACCGGAAATATTACGGTTTGTAGATGAGGACAAACCGGTTTGCTTTGAGAAGGCGGTTGTTATGAGACACAATGAAGGTGGAATGTCAAGGGAGAGACGAATGGAGGCTTTCCACCACGTTAGATGCGAAGCGAGGAACTACTGTAACATCAGCTCATCGGAGACATCAAAACCGGGAATCGGTATGACATTGCTATTGAGAACCGGATCGAGATCTTTCAGAAACGAGTCAACGGTGATCGATGTCTTCAAAAAAGAGTGTGGGAGAGTAGATGGGTGTGAACTAAATGTTTCGTATTCGAATAATCTAACATTTTGTGAGCAAGTGGAGCTGATGAAGAAGACCGATGTGTTAGTATCACCACATGGTGCACAGCTCACAAACTTGTTTCTAATGGATATGAACAGTAGCGTGATGGAGTTTTTCCCTAAAGGATGGCTCAAGCTTGCAGGAGTTGGTCAGCTTGTGTTCCAGTGGGCAGCTAATTGGTCAGGGATGAGACATGAAGGCTCTTGGCATGACCCCGTTGGGGAAATATGTCAGTTTCCTGACACCGATAGGCGATGTATGTCGGTCTATAAGAACGCTGTGATCGGATACAATGAGACCTATTTTGGTGAGTGGGCGAGAAGCGTTTTGGGGAAGTTAAGCATTAGAAAGAAGCAGGAGATTCCGGAACAGAACCAAGGTTATGATTCGCTAGATGTATGTCCTTGATGTTGATGGAAGATAGTGTAATTTGATGAGGTATGGTCAGCTCTATAACTTATGGATATGTTTTGTTTGGTACAACTAACATATATTCAACGAATTAGCACGCTAAAATTTTTTAACAATATTAACCGTTCCTATTCTTAATGATGAAATCTATAAAAAGAAAAAAACAGTCAAAGGAAATAAAATTGTACTCGTTATCTCTTTTTTAGTTTCTCCTATATAAACAGTCTATTATGAGAGGAAATAATCAATCAAATAAAAAAAACACGCACATCAATTAACTGAAGAGCTTTTATTTCTTTTCAACAGTATGGCCTCATCTAAAATCTTCTTAGTGACTTCTCTTCTCATGGCTATGATGTTCTCCATGATCACTTCAAGCTACGCCTCAAAACAACTTACCAAGAAACAAACCTTAAAACCAAATTTTTTTAGACCCCATTTCCCTAGACCCGGTTTTCCTCAGTTTCCAAGACCCGGTTTTCCAACAAATCCCATGCCATTCCCTCAATTCCCGAGACCCGGTTTTCCGAACAATCCGACCCCCAGTTTTCCTCAGTTTCCGGGACAAGGTTTCCCAAACAATCCCATGCCTTTCCCTCAATTTCCTAAACCCGGTTTCCCAAGTAATCCAACACCCGGTTTTCCTCAATTTCCGAGATCCGGTTTTCCTCAATTTCCGGGACAAGGTTTTCCGAAATTCCCCTCGCCTGGATCACCCTTCGGAAACTACCAGCCCGTTCCATCCATCTCCACTCCGACCACTCTCCCCGCAACTCCGACTTTGATCCCTTGAGTTGTATCCTCCAAACTTAAACTCTATATGTTTCAATTGAATTCAAGTATTGTAACCAAACTCTTTGGCATATGTGAAGGTTGTCATCTAGATAAGCTAACTTAACATGTATTGGTGGGCTATAGGATTGATGTGTATTGACTGTAACATTCATTACTCAGCTTTTTCAAAATTTGTAACTGTATAATTAATGAACGAGATCGAGCGATCTAGAATTGCAAAGTCGATCAAATAAAACTCTCTTTCGTATACCTCCACTACAATGGACAAAAATGATTTATTATCAAGAAAACCAAAAGAAGAAACATGAATTCACAAACATTGGTCCATGAAGGGATCTCCCCAAGTTTTAACCAAGTAGAATTAAGAAATGATTTCAACACACAACAGCAACAAAGAAGATGATCCCATTCCAAAGGGATCTCTGGTGTTTCTCAAAACTATGAAGATTGTGGCCATCACCAAAGTGACCGGTCTTTAACAGCAATCCCACTGCCTTCTTTCTTGCCTCTGCTTCCTTCATAATCGACGGTCCATTTCTCAAATGTACAGTTTACAAAATCATAGTAGCCGCCATGGAGCGACAGTGATCCTTCCCGCACTTTCTCTTCTATCCATGGATAACCAAGCAGCTTTTCTAACGAATGATTTATCGACGTCTGCACGCTTGTACATTATATATATAAGTTCATCGACTAATAGATGATATAAGTTACACTGATGATATACCAAAAGGCATCACCTTTTCACAATGTTGGCACTGATGATCAAAATGGAGATCTGAAGCAACAGCTTTTGTGCTTTCCTTTGCCTTTTTCCCCACAACTACCCAGTTTTGTATGAAACTACTGTTATCAGGAAATTGCAATACGGCCAAGATCAACAATTAATAAATGTTTGTTTTTTTTTTAATAAGAGTGATAAAGAGCTGATTAAAACCTGGAATCTACTTCGTCTCCCATGCCCATCAAAGCTTGGATTCCTCCACAGCGGCTATGACCAATGACTAAGATGTTCTCCACCTACAAGTTTAATAGATTACTCCCCAACTCTTCAATGAGACAAAGAATTATAATATGTGTAGTATAAAATGTATTTACACATTGTGTTTATGTGGTGTATGTTGCCTTTGGATTTGAGTATTTTCCCAGTGGTTCAAGTTTTAAAAAAAACACTAATTGCGTGAAAGAAACAGATCCCTGAACAGTCTTAACTGTGGACAATCAACATTTGTTAAGATAAAAGGGTTCTCTCTATTGAAAGTATCTTGAGAACAAATTATCTACTCATAAGCACCGTGAAACACAGATATACTTGCATACATATGTTTTAAAGGGGAGTATGTAATATAACTGTAAGAGATAAGACACTTACCTTAAGTGTATTCACAGAGAACTCGAGAGCAGCTTTTGTTTCAGTAGGTCCAGACTGTAGCAGTCAAATGCAAATAGATGAGAAGTGAACCAGCCCGCAAAACAAAAAATGGCGGTCTGGTCTGCAGTAGTAAATTGTGTACCTCATATGTAGGTACCAAATTTGCAATGTTACGAACAGTGAATGCTTCACCCGGTTGAAATCCGAGGATGGCGGAAGGACAAACCCTAGAGTCTGCACAAGCAATCACCAGAAACTGTTGCTTAAAGTGTTAGCAATGGTACCCTTCTCCAGGCAACATTTAAATTACAGAAGATATATCTCAAGCCATCCATGAACAAATAACTTTTTAAAGCTACCTTTGGAGCTTGAGCATCTGCCAGTTTTTTGAAGTGTTCCAAGTTATCCCTGTTCATTGGATGAGATGACAGAAAGCCAATCAAATCCTCTATAAACCATGTAAATAAGCAAAGGACTGGAGAAATTGGTTATCTGACACTTACATGTACTTATGCTTCTTGAAGGCGAGGAACCGCTGTTTCATGTCGTCAAATACATCGGTGTTATTTTGTCTATCAGTTGTAACATCATAGGTACGGTCATTAGCTTCCTGAGTCAGTCCAGGTGTCTTTCCTGAAGCCATCAGTTGCAAGTTGACAGTTTTTCTTCTGCAAACACCACACAAATAAACTGAATCTCAACTTTTTCATATTACAAAACATTTCCACAGTGATTTTGCCATTTCAAGCATACAAAAAGAAAAAAAACAAAGCTTCTTTGCAAATCTAAAAAAAGACAAGCTACTTATATAGTCTAACAAACGAAAACATAATGTTCATGCAATCAGATACATCGGCAATCCCAAATCAAAATTACAAATCATTATCCTGACGGTATCAAACTGAAAAGTCAGTAAAGCCCAGAAATTTACCTAAAGGAAGGCGGAATTCTCAATTGGGTTTTCTCGATTTCCTTGAAATTGTCCTTGGAGCCGAAGATCTGAATCAAAATGCAACAGAAGAAACAAACCCACGATCAAATTCCGACGAAGAGAGAGAGTGAGAGAGAAAAAGGAGAGACTTTTGACACATACCGATTGGTTTTGGAGATTAAAGAGAGACTTTGAAGTAGGATTATGGGAGATAGAGAAGTGCGTGGGAGAGGCAGCCATGAAAGAGGTGTTATAGAAAGGAAAGTTTGGTATTTCGAATCTGGAACAACAAGGGACAGGGCATCTGAAGAGCATTCATCTGAAAGAGAAGAAGCCTCCTTTTGAAATTAAAAAAAAAAAAGTTAAAGAGGTGGAAGTGAATGCATTTCTCCAACAAAGACGGAGAAACCAAAGTTTTTGTGTCGTGTCAGTTTCCGACCCCACCGTCAAATTCCTTATGTAGCTTTTTAGTCAAAAGTTGACTTATATATAGTTAAGAAGAGAATTGATTAAGGATTATTAACATGCTTAATTTGAGTGAAATTTGCCATCGTCAAAGATTGATTTGAATTAAGCAGATGGTAGTACTAATTTACTGAGTGCTAAAAAACTAATTCCAGGAAACCAAAGCCTCTGGCTCTGTCAAGTCTCGTTGTGTGTCATTTTCTATGTAAAAAACAGCGTGAAGTTAGTGTGAGAAGAAAGAAAACAGCATGATTTGTAAGCAAATGACAAAACAAAACCCCAATTTAACTGAAGAACCTTAATTTTCCTGGATACATTAGTGAACAGAACAGTGGATAGGAAATCAACTGCATCAGCTCATTCGGATCAATAGAGCCACTAATGTTCAGGGTCTTCTTTTAATGTTTTGAGTAACAAAGTGAACGTTTTGTTTTGAGATTTTTTTTTTTTCATTTTTAGAAGAAAGGGATGTGTATAAGGTGTTTTAGAGTGAGCTTTGATGACAAAATTAACATAACTGCTGAATACAACTGTTCTTAAAATAAGTTCTTTACTCTGTTACAAAACGCTAAATCTTAAAAATTGTGTAAATCCATCAACAGAAAACGCACTTGAATTTGAGTTTAACAGTAGTTCAAGAATGATATAAAGAGTAGCATTCTAAATGAAACTTATTGTATTTTATAATTATCAACTTAATCTACAAAAGTGGCAGAAGCTGTAAGAACTCTTTGACTTGAAAAGAGTGGCAGCTTTGATAAACAAAACGCAGTACTATCTATCAACCTCTTATTTCACCTTTGTACATATAATCAATCTTTCGTGTTTGATTTGATTTTCTTCATTGGCCACGATGACCATCTTGGCTACAACAACTCAACAAAACTTTATAGTATATGTCTTCAAGAAACTTACTTTAATGGACTTGTTTGTATTCATATCTCGTACTACTTTCCACTGTAAGAGATAGATCTCTTCAAGAAGCTTGACCTCCCAACAATGGAAGATCCGATATTACCTCTCTTGATCTTCTCTTTTCCTCTACCAGCAACAGCTTGACTTACCAACGAATCCAACGACATTGATCGTCTCACTCGCTGCTGCGACTCATCAGCTTCGCCGTCTCTACTAATAACACTAACAAACCCATCTGCTTCTTCCTCAAGATCTCTCTCGACTTCTTCATCGATTTCACCATTTTCCTCTGGAATCCTCACAAGGGTCTCCTGCAGATCCTCACTAGCATCATCAGTTACCGTGTTGGACACGACAATAGGAGCACGACAAAGCGGGCAGTTGGTGTGTGATCTAAGCCAAGTGTCAATACAAGAAAGATGAAAAGCATGTCTACACTTTGGCAGCAACCTAAGCGTCTCTTCTTCTTCGAACTCGCTTAAACAAACCGAACAATCGTTTCCTTCCACAACACCATCTTTTTTGCTATACTTGCACACTTTGATCGAGCTTATAACCATTGGATTTAAACCGATGGTTCTGATATGCCAAATCGGATGATCGATGATAACCGGAGATGGTCCATCAGTATCCCAATTCCTAGCCTCCTCCATACTCCATCTTCTTGAGATTGCTATTGATCTCCTCCTTTGATAAAACTTGAAGCAGAGGACGAGAAAAGTAAGGAGAAACAGAGTTGTGATGATAGACGAAGCCCCGATGATTAAGATCCTCTTTAAGTAATCGTCGTGGTGAGCCACAGGCACAGGAGGTGGAGATAAGCCTGTATCTACGGCGAATTTGCAAATCAAAGGACACTCGTCTATACAAATGAGTGAACAAGGTCCTGAATCGTTCAACTCTTCGATGCAATCCGCCGACATACATATGGGCATGTTGTCGGTCATATTCTCCGACACAAGTCTGTGAAGGAAGCTCATGATCCTTGCTTCAGGATCATCAACAAGCTAGAGAGAAAGAGAGAGAGAGAAGAAAATAAAAAGAGAAAAGACGATGAGAGTCTTCGTCTTTGTTATCTCTTTTGCTTTCTTTCTTTAGAACCAAGTTTGGTCAACAAAAGTAGGTCGACGGTATCTATCATCTTCATTTCATCGTAAGAATTGATTTCTTTCTTTTTTAAGTATTAAGTTATTTTATAAAGAAAAGTGAACCACAAAATCGTCTACAGAACAAAAAAAAGGATAAAATTTCAGACTGAAAAATATAGGTCTAGACATTTTTTGGTGAAAAATAAAACAAGCATATCGCCCTCACAAAGTCGAACTAACATTAAATTGTATTGATTAGTTTAGCAGTGTTAAGGGTAGTTGTTTAGTAGATTATTTGGTGGTGTGTGGTTTTGGAATAATGAGGTTTATCTTTATTAAGTAAGAACTTAGAAAAGTGGTTTTGACCAAAATAGTTGAAGTGAAGAATAAAATACAATATAGTGAAATCGATGGACACCATTAAATGGCATATTCTCAGTTTGTCCCAGCACACAACAAAGTGCATCCGCTGCCTATGCTGGACGTTGCTTTATGTGATGTGTTACCGCTCTATTTGGATCCTTTTTTTTTATCACAATAATAATATATGGACTTTATTGTGTTTAAATTAAATCATTTGAATAAACCAGACTATAAATGATGAGATTTATTTTCAGAAAATAATTATTGTTTGCTAAAATGGTATCATAGCAAAGAAAATCTAAATTTGTTTCGGCTTATGTAAGAGCAATTGTGAGAGAATCATTTCTTTCTCGGCCAGTAGCACAAAACATTTTTGTGATGCAAATTTGTTTGACACTATTGAGTCAAGATTCTTTATGGTATGGTATGAAACCAATATATGAATATATATATTTTTCCTGATTAACACACCGGTTTGTTTTGGTCAAGTCTATATTAAAAACCGAACCCGTGAGGGAGATTTATTTCGAAATTGATTAAAAAAAAAAAATTGGTTTTAAAGTTAAGAGAATTGATAAAAAGTTGTTTAAAGCTGATGAATGTTAGAACAATGGTTCCAAAGTTCAAGCATTGGTGGACCTAATTACGATTATATGGCAAAACAAAAACAAGTCATATGGAGACACGCACATTCCGACATTCGAATGATACAATGGGAGAGATCTAAAATCTAACGGTGGTTGGACCAAAGCAGCTAAGCCCCATAGATTTCTCAAAGGATGTGGTCGTGGCCTGTTTGGATCTGATGAAATCAGCGGAAGAAGAAGAAGAAGAAGGAGGAGAGGGACGAGATGGGATAGTGATGGTACGGACGTGAGCCATGCCTTTTTTGTAGAGTAAACGGAGAGGGTAATTCCACCGAGCAACGCCTTGGTCCTTAAGCACTTCCACCACCGCGATCGCTGTCGCCACCGCCAACGAAGCTCGCTTTCCGGCGCTCATCTTGTTTTTTCTTTTTAAAAATCTTATAGTTAAACAATGTTCCGATCTTTAGATAGTTAGCTATGTGTTTGGAGATGCGTGGAGAGTTGAGTTTATAAAGGTGAGAGAGTCGAGAAAGTGATAAAGAACGAAAACAAGAGGCTGAAGAAGCCGCGCAAGTAGTATTTGTTAAACTGGACGTGGTTTTGTTACTACTTTATGCCCTTAGAAAAACTGTTACCTGTGGGTTTGATTTTCACATTAGTTAATTATTTACTATTTCTCTTACTTCATTTTGTCCTACATTCAATAGTAAATAATTAAATACCAATAAAATGTGGATTAATTTAATGTTAATTTTGTTAAGTGTAATCAATTTATATATATATTTTTAATAAATGAGTCAGTGTGTTGTGATATCTTATTTATTTTACACTAAACGTCAGTTTCATCTCAAAGTCAAACTTCAAACTTGATAGAAAGTAGGACCCAATCACACGCGTTATATAATAGTAAGCCTATTTATTGGGGACTTTGGTGTTAATTGATCGAGCAATTCAGCTTAACCGTAGTGGAAGTAGGAAGTGAGTTCGTTAGTTCAGGTTTCTTTTACTGTTCCAAATGAAAAATATAGTTTAAGCACTGCACTAATATCATCATGATCTGATTCTCAAACTATTGCCATCGTCTCATCATCCTCCGACCATGACCTCCATTTTGATTTACATAAACTTTACAATATTCAGATATCATCATCATCATCATCATTATTCAGACACTAATACACCTCATTATTTTATTATAGCAAATCCAAATACTCTTGGTATCCTTCTTCTTTAACTAAGCCGCTGGAATGGTGTAACCTAATAAGATTCAAATCCAAAATTTGACATATGCTTAATAAGTATACGAAAATGAATAATACTAAGAAAGATTGGAAAAAAAAGGGTGCATACTTCCACATTTATAACCGGAGGGGATCTTCTTGCCGCAAGAACGAGCAACGTAAACCACTTTGTCCATATCAATATAGTTGGTAACATCCCTTGAAACGTAGCGGCATGCACAAGGTACGTCGATAGGACGTATTAGAGCACAACAAGACCGAGACGGTGGCGGAGAATTTGGTCCGGCGTTGCTGACGTAGCGTTGACACTCATTCATCAGTCCCGACAAGTTAGCTCCACAGACCTGAGCTGTCGCCACGTCGACATTGTCAGAACCGATCATGAATAAAGTTATTGCTATAGCCATCGTCTTTATCATTCCACTTCCCATATTTTTTTTTTTTTTTTGGTTTCTCTTTGTCAACGAGTTATATAAATTTGTGATGAATATTTTGGTCAGACGACAGATTTGTATTTATAGTGTAAACGTTAATGATCTGCTTAGTAGTTTCAGTAACAATTTTTTTTGGTTTGTAGTGGAGAGCAAAAGGGGAGGGAGTGCTCTATATTCTTTATTTAATTTTCAAATAATGATAACAAGTTTGGTGAGTTTTAATATATTGTTTGTTGGTGGAAATGTCTCGTGGCAACTTTTGAAGGAGGTTCCACTTATTTAGTGGAGTGGTTGATCTTGCCGAAAGGACCAAAAGGAATTAGTTTTTGTTGCTCAAAAATAAAAGTTCAGTGGAGGATTTTTGATGAAAATTTATTTGTCACTAAATTAACGTCTTTAATTTAAAATGTTAACAAACAAATCGTTAAATTTGGTGAAATAAAATTTCGATCGCAACTTCACTACTAAAATAGCTCATATATATCATTCATGATTTTTATTTCAAGTATTTATATAAACTCTTATTTATGCAGAAATCAAAATTTGCACAAGATTTGCCAAAATGACAATTTAGATCTAAATTTTGATTTAGATATTGTCCTTGTTCATTAATTTAGATCTGTCGATTATTTCTTTATGATTTGTTGACAGATCTAAATCAATGAATAACGACAAGATTTAAATCAAAATCTAGATCTAACTTTAAATATAAAAACAATCAATTCTATTACGAGGAAACCGTTGCTCCTGCAATGTCATTAAAATCAATCATTGCTCCTGCAATGTCATTAAAATCAACCATTGAAGACGAAATAAGTCTATAACTATCAATAAGGGAACGTGTGCCCAACCAAAAAACCCTTATGCAAAAAGAAAATTAACAAACAGGGAGCTAAGAGATCGCTCAGCCTTCTTTCTTCATTACCTTCTTCTCATTCAACCCTTCCACAACTTTCTTGAGTCTGTCCTAAAGTTTCTCCATCTCTTTCTTCATGTGGAGCTCAACTCCTTCCACCTTGAATCATCTTCCCTTGCTCCTCTACAGCATCCCACAGCCTTCCAAACTCTTGAGTGACTTTCTTCTCTCGAAGATAGGTTTGAATCCCATAAGTAACAGTTCCATTGCCGGAGCCAATGGCCTCTTGCAAATACAAGACAGACTCTCCTTTATACCAACCAGTAGGCTGCTGATGTCGAAAATGCACGTACCTAAGGAATCAACAACGGCGTCAATATCTAATCTAAGTCAATCACAAGATCAATATGGATCTACAGTGAAAATAAATTATATAAATAGAACTCATGAGCCGTTAGTATGGAAATACTTGTATATACAATTATAAATATTGACTAGATTGAAAAGTTCACGGGCTATCCTTGTTCGTATGATTATTCGTAGGTCACAAACTTTTAAATGTCAAATAATAATAACAAGTTTGGTGAGTTTTAATATATTGTTTGTTGGTGGAAATCTCTCGTGGCAATTTTTGAAGGAGGTTCCATTTATTTAGTGAAGTCGTTGATCTTGCGGGAAGGACAAAGAAGAATTAATTTTTGTTGCTAAAAAATAAAAGTTAGTGAAGGATTTTTGATGAAAAATTATTTGTCACTAAATTAACGTCTTTAATTTAAAGATGTTAACGAACAAATCGTTAATTTTGGTGAAATAGAATTTCTATGGCAAATCCACTGCTAAATTAGCTCATAAAAGTATATCACTCACGATTTTTATTTCGAGTGTTTACGTGGTTCTCTATCATTGATCCGATGTTGGTTACGTGTTGGGACGCAACGTGGTGTCTAAGCAACGTCGGTTGCTGGATCGCGCTTAGACGGGTTTTGAATATAGTTGTAATAATTTAATAAACTAAAGATCTAACCAAACGAAATGAGTTTGTGAATCAATTGGTTGATCTTGATGGTATATAAACTAGATACCTTAATTATGTTTATACAAAATTGAGCAACTATTGTCTGTATCATCGAGACAAACACTCGAGTATACGTTGTACTAATGGGCCTCTTTAGTACCAAGCTCTCAATATGAAACAAGTTAACGAATCAGGCCCACTAGATATAGAGTTGGCCCAAGAAAACTAAAGTCTTTCCTAACACGGTACGGTACGGGCCCGCACGGGATGTGAACGGGGTTCTGATTCAGAATTTATTTTTAAACAGCAGAAAACGATATATATTTTGGAAAAATTCAGAAAAATTCGGTAAAATTTGAAAAAATATGTAAATTTTTGAAATTTCGAACGCTAATCCACTGCTAAAATTAGTTCATAAAAGTATATCACTCACGATTTTTATTTCTATTATATAAATCTTTTATGCAGGTTAACAAATACATCACCCACGTGTGAACTCGCTGACGTGTCAGTGCCAATTTCATAGATAGACATTCGGTCTGGTTTAGTTTGGTTCACTGGTTTAGTATCCGATTACAGAGTATCTCAAGCATTACCGAATTTGCTAGAAAAAACAAGCTGTTTCTCTCTGTGCTTCTGAACAAGTCCTTCAAGACTTTTGGCCTTCTCTTCTCCATCTTTAAAATATACTCTTCTTCCATGTCCTTTAATACAAAAAATCGCCATCAACATCTAAAAAAATCTCCATTAAAGCAGATACAGGGCATATAGCAAAAAAATGAACTAACCCGGTATTATCCAATTGAAATTTAGGTTGATCAATCTTTCTACGCTCTCGAGCTGGAGAGGTACTGTCAAAAGGCCAACAACAATTATTATATTTTAGTAAATGATTAATTCAAAAACATTTATCCAAACAAATTCAACAGATTGGTCTCTACCTGAACAATGATTATACTGCTCTATAATGCTCATCCCAGATTCGTACATTGTTATATGGTCTCCAGTGAATAATGCCTTGAGAGGCTTATGGAACAGGCACACTGATCCCTGCGATTTTTTACAACGCTCTTATATCCCAAGATCATCGTGAAATACTTTTTAACAAAAAAATGAACATTTTGTTTTCATATATGTTTTTGCAGTTGGACATACTTTTGTATGACCAGGTGTGTGTATAAGCTCAATATCTTCGTTGAGGTTCCATGGTCCACTTCCTTCGAGCTTTAACTCCACATCAGAGGTCGAAGGTTCAACCTAACAAGATCCATTAATTGTCAACTAAAGCTGGATTTAGTAACAATACTGTTCCTCTAGCCAGTTTTCTCAAATTTACCCAAACACAGAATCTTTTTTCTACTCCCTACAGAACATATAACCAGCCAAAGAACTTTGCAACTCTGCAAGTTTTTTTTCCCCCACAGTATCTAGAAGTTGAAAATATATCAAGAATGGCGCAGAGAGTTTAGCAAGAGAGGTGCGATGACATACATCTTCAGAATGCAGAATTCGGGTACACTTGAATCGATCTGCCCATTTCTTGTGATCCGCAACATCATCCCTGAACGATGAAGTAGCTTATCCTTGTTATAAGATTATAAAAGGAAAACATGGAGTTTCTCCTTTTGGATGTTATCAACTCTACCTGTGAGTCAAAAACATGTAGCGAACACCACCCATCTTCGCAATCTTTCCAGCAAGTTTCTCCACGTACCTGGGACTGCAGCAAACAGAAAAACCATGGAAAAACATTGCGTCTACAATGTTATAAAAGTAACAAAGAGAATAAGAATCAACGATGCCTCCCAAGAACATACCTGTCAACAAGTATATTTCCCTCATGATGAAGGATCAAGTAGGGAGTTGCTCCGTAGGATTTCTTGGAATGAAACCCACAATGAAAAACGCCCTGAGCATTATACAAATCTCAAAAAATATTAGCCTCAGCGAAATCAGGAAGCCAAACATAAGGCAGCATATAAGAACAGGGTAGTATGGAACTATGAGTTCTCAAATGGAGCTTTATCAGTTAAGAACTTAAGATAATTGTATCCACGGCTATTCAAAACCTGAAGACAAAATCTCTAAATAGTTTCGAAGGATGCTTACAATTATCTAAGCAGACTTAGTTAACTAGCTAATAGCGATCTTTTAAAAAAATAGAAAGCTTAAGGAACGAGAAACTACAGGAAGTGCGTCTATATCCAGTGCAAGTGGAAAGGTCTCTTGAGCTCCCCCTATGTCAGTAGGTGGAGTTTCAGTGCGAATAGATCCCGTCGGACACGATAACAAGGCCTGAAAGAAACACAAAACCATGAGTAATCAAGAAAACCATGAGGATTCGTGAACCAAAAACATCATAAAAGGAATTTCTGAGTGACATTCTAGCAGAAATTTCGACAGAAAAAAAAGTAGTTGAGATATATCTTTAGGTTTTAGAAAATACACAATGAACTATCGTCAGAGATCATATAAAAAAAAAAGAAGGAAAAAAGAGAATGGACGGCACCTGAAGAGCACTCAGCCTTTCCTCCTTACAGGTTGGTTGTTTAATAACCGCCGACCTGTTGTCCACTCGGGTGAATACTTGCTGTGAAGATAAAAGGAGAAAAGTCTCTTTATAAACTTGCTGAACAAATGCAAATAAGTGAATTTCTGCTCTCGCAACAGCAAATGACTGTAATATTCTAGCTTGGTGTTGTAATGTAATGACAGTGATCATATCAGATAATTTTCTACATGTCTTAGAACTAGAGTTGCCAAAAATAAGCCATTTCAAAAAGCTAACCAAGATCCACAGTTACTACTTATACTATATCCTTGGTCGAGATCAAGACTAAGACATCGACTTCCCAATACTCAAAAATGAAACATCCCCAACTACTTTACCCTACCGATCTAACCGACCCAAATGATTAAAATTCTGAGCTTTACCCTACCAAATTCATTGTCCACGGAGCTGTTCATCGATTTCAGAGTACCAAGTACCAACAATGGAAAGGACCCACAAGACGTGAGATAGAGCAGAGAAATATAGGATCTTTACAAGTTTCGAAAGAATAGAATCTTACCGGCACCATCCAACGACATGTATCGCAATCAATACAAGTATTGTCTGCAAAAATCGATTGAACCAGATTGCGTTATCGATCTCTCTTTGGTTCGCGATTAGCAACAAAAGTGAATAGACTTTACTTACCGACAAATATGTCGCCTTCTGCGTTCTGAGTGCGTCGTCTCGGGTTCTCATGGCTTGTCACTTGAGCTGCTTTGACAGATCCAAACACTCTCCTTCTCGCTAAAGCCGTCGAAACAGAAAAGGAAGCTTTCGATGAAAAGATCGGTCCCTGTGAACGAAAGTGATACGAGGGCGCAGAAGCCGCGGAGGAAGAAGCAGAAGCCATGACTGGTGTGATTCTCGATTCTTTCTTCTTCTCTCTTTGATCTGGATGAATGATGATGAGTGTAGTGGATGAATGATGATGAGTGTAGTGGAAGAGTCGTAGACACAACGCTGGACTCATCTCTTGAACTTCGCAGTGGAAATATTCAATATTTAAAAATCTAATTTTGACTAGACGACGACCCGGTTTATCAACTGCTGAGCTAATCTGTTTCGCTTTGGTTTGTCCTAAAACCGTCTCGAAGTGAATCCTGCCTGATAGAACACGTGTAAGCTTCTTTCTCATTGGTGCATTTTGTTATATACACGCTAATATTGTTCCCTCTTGTAAAGTATGTACATTTGGTTCTTTGGGCCAATGACGATGGTGAAGGTATGATCTTTTTTCTTCCCTTGTCTGGTGTAAATTGAAGTGTTTTTTTTTTTTTCATAATTGAAGGATAAGGCCTTAATATTTGGAAATGAACTGCAGGTGGTACTGATGCCGTTGTTACGCCTGCAATGTCAAGTATACGTCAACTATAGGGAGAAAGGATTTCGAAAGCATCACTGTTGCATTATTAATGTGTATGAAGTAACATGTAATCTGCCTCTAACTATAACCTCCTTCGGGAGCAAAGGATTGGTCGCCACTGCTTTTAAACTTGTTAAAGTTATCAAAATAGATTAGGTTATATATATATATATATATATATATATAAACGTCTCTTAGGTTATTGCAACATTTTTTTCATCCGTCGTTTATGTTTTTCAATTGTTTTTCCGACTCGGTATAGGAATGCCACCAGCGCCTCTTCTCGAACGTCCATCACGATGCTAGAGCTCAGCGTCTCGGAGAATGATGGCTGCGATAGTTAAAGGGTTGAAGGATTCCGATTTTGAAGCTAATGATGATTGTTGGGATATGATTGGGGCTTTGTCTAGGATCTATCTCAAGGGAAACAATAGTGCTGCAGGGAGTACCTTAACAAAGCCACTCTGTTGTCTCTCAAGCTGCAAAAGCCGACTCTGGTTGGCTGTTAATAAGACTGTTTCTGAAAACAAAAAAAAACGTCTAGAAATCACTATGTTGCTGACTCCAATACCAATGAAATAAGAGTACTAAAGTCGGTTTTTGCAGCTAGAGAGATAAGAGAGTGATCCTACGAAGGTGTTTCAAGAGGTTAATGGTATGGTAAGACGTTCATAAAAATTTTCACAATAAATGATGAAGCTACAATTGAAACTGTTAGAGTAGTCAGTGAGGATGATGCAGCCACTTGGGAAACTACAAGTGCTTGGGGCGATTCATTTAATCATGCTTATGGTCGAGTCTATAGATGTTGATATTGGAAGTTTTGTGTACAAAGTTTGTACACAATTATAAACATATGTGAGTATGAACAAGCTGCTGCTCATTGTCCAATCGACATATTTATGGAATATAAACATTCAGTTTAATGTGAGTTTTTAAAGATGTTTAAATTTTTTTTTTTTAGATTTTCATAATTATGTCATAGAATATAATGTTTGTTATAAATGACCTCAGATTTCTATAAATTATTCCTCTTTATCAACTTAGTTATAATGAAATCTCTGCTTAGTTTTGGTAACATTTTCATTTGGTTTGTCCTGGAGAACATGTGCATTGCACTATAGTATTATTTGTTATCCTTTATTTAACTTTCACTTATATGATCTAGATGAATGATGATGAGTGTAGTGGAGTCGTAGACGCAACGCTGAACTCATTTTGAACCTGAGAGTGCAAATGAAATATGAGATTGAATTTATGAACTTTCTCTTGCGTTCTTTTGGAGATTGATTTTAGGAAATCTAATTTTGACTAGACGACGACCCGGTTATTAACGGTTGAGCTAATCTGTTTCAGTTTGGTTTGTCCTAAAACCGTCTCGAAGTGAAATCCCCGATTGGACACGTGTAAGCTTCTTTCTCATTGGTGCCAGGTCTCTCCATTGAAGATCATCGTCTCTCTCTCGTCACTCAATTATCCCAAACACCGTTTCTAATCCTGTTTCCTTGGATCAGATTACGAATCTGAATCACAATCCCCGAGATCTACCTTCCCGCGCCAGTGTTTATCTTCTCGACGGTTATTGATGTGGAACGTGGAAGAAGGAAGCAGTGGAGGCGGCGGGTCTGAGATGGATGATGAGATAACCGGAGACGACTCGACGACGTCATTGTCGCGCTGGGTTTTCGATGAGAAGAACGATTATGACGAGCTTGAAGATGATGATTACGACAACGAGGGGTACGAAGAGCATCAGCACGCGGAACTGGATTCCGACGACGAGGACGACAATGTGGAGCAGCGTCTGATTCGAACTAGCCCTGCCGTTGACTCTTTCGATGTGGACGCACTTGAAATCCCCGGAGCTCAGAAGAACGAAATCGAGGTTAGCATTTTTATTGAAAACTTTACACCTTATCATTTCGCCAAAGTGTTGAAGTTGAAGAACTTGCTCTATCTGTTTTTGCAGGACTCGAGCATAGGAAGGAAGCTCATACTTGCTTTGCAGACTCTAGGGGTTGTATTTGGTGATATTGGAACGAGCCCATTGTACACCTTCAGTGTCATCTTCAACAGATCTCCAATTAACGACAAAGAAGACATAATCGGAGCCTTGTCAATGGTTATATACACTTTAATATTGTTCCCTCTTGTAAAGTATGTACATTTTGTTCTCTGGGCCAATGACGATGGTGAAGGTATGATCTTTTTTCTTCCATATCTGGTGTAAATTGAAGTTTTTTTTTTCATATTTGAAGGATAAGGCCTTAGTATTTGGAAATGATCTGCAGGTGGTACTTTTGCTCTGTACTCATTAATCTGTAGGCACGCAAATGTAAGCCTGATCCCAAATCAACTTCCGTCAGATGCTCGCATATCAGGCTTTGGTTTGAAGGTTCCATCTCCAGAACTTGAAAGATCCTTGATCATCAAAGAAAGACTTGAGGCGTCAATGATCTTGAAAAAGGTTCTTCTGGTTTTAGTTCTTGCCGGCACTGCTATGGTGATTGCTGATGCTGTTGTTACGCCTGCAATGTCAGGTATAGGTCAATTATAGGGAGAAAGGATGACGAAAGCATCATTGTTGCATAAATTAATGATGGTTTGGCCTTGTCCTGTGGTCGATGTGTATAAAGTAACATGTAACCTGCCCTAATTATAACCTGCTTTTGGATGCAGTAATGTCTGCTGTTGGTGGTCTGAAGGTTGGAGTTGGTGCTATAGAACAAGGTAACTCGTAATTGTAGTTAACGTAAATCTTATTATTGAAAGTGATTAGTGACCGCGTTTTGCGATTAATTTCTAACTGTGGCTTCATTTGCAGATCAGGTGGTCGTGATATCAGTCAGCTTTCTTGTGATCTTGTTCAGTGTACAGAAATATGGAGCCAGCAAATTGGGACTTGCTTTGGGTCCTGCTTTACTTCTATGGTTTTTTTGTCTTGCGGGGATTGGCATTTACAACCTTATTAAATATGACAGCAGCGTATTTAGAGCGTTCAATCCTGCGAATATCTATCTCTTTTTCGAGAGAAACCCTGTTAATGCGTGGTATGCACTTGGGGGTTGCGTTCTATGTGCAACTGGTAAATTTCATATTCTCGGATAAACTTTTAAATAGCTTACTTAATGACTTTTGACTAAATGTCATTGCTCATTTCTACACATGTGAATCTTGTCTCAGGATCGGAGGCCATGTTTGCAGATCTTAGCTATTTTTCAGTTCACTCGATCCAGGTAATTTAAGGAGAGAAATACTCATCCCTTCCTTCTGTTCTTGTGTGATAGTTTTCTTGCTATGTCATCTGGACTTTTGATTAAATGGTAGTGTTTATCTGCAGCTTACTTTTACCTTTCTGGTGTTACCTTGCCTCTTGCTGGGTTATTTGGGTCAAGCCGCATACCTCTCTGACAATGTCAACCACGCTGGGGATGCTTTCTTTTCGTCAGTTCCAAGTAAGATCCACTAGCTTCCACAGTACGTCAAGATCAAAAAAGGGTATTCCTTCATTTGCTGGCTTGATTTTGCCGCTCATTTCACGATTCTAACTGTTTGTTACTCTTTGTTTTTCTCAGGTTCTATATTCTGGCCGATCTTATTCATCTCTAATATCGCTGCTCTAATTGCCAGCCGTGCGATGACAACAGCCACGTTTACATGCATCAAACAATCAATAGCACTAGGCTGTTTCCCACGTCTTAAAATCATTCACACCTCAAAGAAATTCATTGGACAGATTTACATACCGGTTCTGAACTGGTTCCTTTTGGTGGTGTGCCTGGTCGTTGTCTGCTCTATCTCAAACATCTTCATGATCGGAAACGCATATGGTAATAATATTTTCTTCTCGTAGCATCTAGTTCGAGGCAACTTGGGAAATTTGGCTGAAACTGATTTTTAGTTACTCTTTGAATTGTGTTACGACACAAGGTATTGAAAGCTCAAGAACTGGCACATGATTATAAATGTTCTTCTATTATGGAGATGATGTTATTATCGCCACTGTTCTTCAGTTCTTAATTCTTTTATGATGTGTGATTTGTCCATTAATCATAGAAACTAATATATATGCCTCTGGTTTCGAATTGCGTATCTTCAGGCATCGCAGAGCTGGGAATTATGATGACTACAACAATTTTGGTGACCCTTATCATGCTCCTTATCTGGCAGACGAACATCATAGTCGTGTGCTTGTTTGCAGTTCTTTCCTTAGGAGCCGAACTGATTTTCTTCTCGTCAGTTTTATCAAGTGTGACTGACGGAAGTTGGATAATCCTGGTGTTTGCCACGATCATGTTTTTCATAATGTTCGTTTGGAACTACGGGAGTAAACTGAAGTACGAAACCGAAGTCCAGAAGAAACTACCGATGGACCTACTGCGAGAGCTGGGAAGTAATCTTGGGACAATTAGAGCACCCGGTATTGGTCTTCTTTACAACGAACTAGCAAAAGGAGTTCCGGCTATATTTGGTCATTTTCTAACCACACTCCCTGCAATCCATTCAATGGTTATCTTTGTGTGTATAAAGTATGTCCCTGTTCCAAGCGTGCCTCAGACTGAGAGGTTTCTTTTCAGACGTGTCTGCCCAAGAAGCTATCATTTATTCCGCTGTGTTGCCAGGTAAACAAAGCTTAACCGCTTTTTAATATAGATGACAGTTTAGTTATACGTTTTTCTATAAATTGATCTGTTTT